ATAACCTAACTCACTTCGGACGGCTACTTACACCTATCCTCTCCGCACAGGATAACTATATATCTGGTCAGAGCAGCCACGTACTGTTGACCCTGGCATCGACCCTAACCCTGCAGTTTCCACTTCTTGGGTTGCTGCTGAGTAAGGCAGCGGTCATGTTGACTCGAGACTCCTGTTTTACAGGCGTCCCTGCTGAACTTCACAGTCAACGGCTTCTTCAAAGAGAGTGAGTGCCTGACTTATTCACATTCATCAGCATCAACACGGCATCAACATCATCATCAGTTTTATCACCAACAGTAGCCGCATCAATTGCAATGCAATGGTGGTTTAACTACACCAGGTGCATTTGGCGTCACGTTTCCTACAAACCATTGTAGTTGATCTTCTGCTGTGGTGGTATTTGCCCACAACGCGGTTATCTAATGCCCGTGTTGCCTGTGCCATGTGTGAATGCTCATCGTCGTCACCATCAGCCATAATCACTCCACTATTGGATGAAGGCCTCAAGCCATCACCGTTTCTCACGACCCTGCAATGTAACAATGTACACAGCGCCTACGCACGAGTCGACTTCATCGCTTCCGTCTCCTCGGTGGCTGCCTTGTCATATTCGTTCCACTCCCTGGCTTGCCCTCTCCATTGGCGTTCTTTATTATCGGCCATCCTTGCTGAACATTTGTTTTTCTTAACAGTATGAATGATACCGTTTACCTGCGAATGTTCTCTAAATCCACGTGTTTTACTCTTTCTACCTGTCAATGTGGATGCTCAGCCGAGGGGAAATGCCGTGAGTCAGTGAGGGCCTTCTCGAGGGTGTTTCTCGCCGTGCCGGCCGCCAACGGCGGGTGAGTCTTGAGCACCGTGGCACACACGTGCCTCGCATTCTGACGCTTTACAAATCACATTGTACACACACACACAGAGCCCCGAAGCGAAAGCCAGGGTCTTGAGTGACATCTCTACTGGGTTTTTTTTGCGGCGTGGTTCAGGTTTCTAATTGAAGTGCGTGTCCATCCTGCATTGACACCACTCGCCCCGCTGCTAGTGACGCGATATTACGTTGCACAATGTGCCTCTCAGCTCGGCAACCTGTACACCAACAGCTGTGAATCGACAGCAAAAAAAGACCTGTCAACGTGATTAGCACGGTTGGCTAAGTACGGTGTGAAAGAAGTTCAACAAACATAGATACATTCTATACACACTTGGACTTAAGCGTACTGCACACACCTCGCAAGCACCTCACTCACCGGGGTGTGTGCCTCCTTTCCTTCCCCCAGTGCACTCCATGGGAGGCATAAAAACACAAAGCACGCGAGGGACAATGGAAATAACTATAAATAGGGTTTCCCTCCCTGCACCAACCACCAGTGACTTCCTCTTGCAAATGAGCAGTGCTTGGAAATTTAGTCTGTATGCTGTGCCTAGCGTTTTTTATGTGGTTTACAGACTTAGAGCTGATTCACCAGCCGGTTGTCTGATTTGACTTCACCATCCGAGCTACCTCCCACCGCATATCACAAAACTCTCGTGTCTCCTTTGTGGAAATGCCTCCGCGTGATGACAAATTCTGCTCCATCATAATCTCACTGCAAATCCTAGGACCCCAATTTTTTATAAATACAACAAAAATCCATACATGACTACAAGCAAATAGCCGATGATTCACTTTCGGTGGCAACACATGTAATCCTTTATTAAGGGATATCCTTGGGGAGGATCCTACATTGCATATTTGGTCAGAACCGCATTAAGTGTTTTTGCATTCCTCGATTGCTGCTGCTCATCTTTCCTGCTTGCTTGTCCTCTGCTGCTCTTTCCACTTGTGCGCTCGTAACCTTAACCTGCCCCGTGTCTCCCCCCTCCTGCCCCTCCACCCATGCTGTCATGGTGCCGTCAGGCTGTGCATCGTGAACGACCAGCTGTTTGTGCGCAACGCGAGCACAGAGGAGATCCGCCGCGCGTTCGTTATGCCTGCGCCCACGCCGTCGAGCAGCCCCGTACCCACGCTCACGCCGCTCCAGCAGGAGATGCTGCAGGCGTTCTCCACGCAGTCCGGCATGAACCTGGAGTGGTCGCAGAGGTGGGCAAGGGAGCACGTGTGCAGGGCCTCACGACACGCACAGACAAATGTCCCCCATATAACCTGAACAGACTTTTGGGGCAAGTGCTGTTAGCGGGCACCTGTGAAGGCCGGCACAGTACACGAGGGGGTGGGTGGCCAGCACCACGCCCGACCACCTTTGTCTCCCCAGTGGCAATGTTTACACACCAGATATTCAGTTGAGGCTGAGTCGACCTATGGGAGGCCCTGGACCGGTTCAGATAATCGTCACTGGGGTTGGCCGTGAGTGGGAATCGAACTCGGGTCGCTGGATTTGTAGGTCAGCGTGCTAACTGCTGTGCCACCGCTCCCCACACGCACGTGTCTCTCGTGATGCAGTTTCTTGCTGTGTTTCAACAACGATCAGAAACGGCCCAGCGTGCCCTACTTTTATTCTCCCAATCCATCTCCCCTGCCTCTTTTTCTAGTCGGAGGCAAATGGCAGTGATAGTTTATTTTGAACGAGGTTTACTATAAGCTGTATTTTGCTTGCCTCATCCCAAACTAAAATCTGAATATTTTTGTACATTTCTGCTGGGGTTTTTTTTAAACACTTACAGTAAGAGGCGACCCTGACGGTGCGTCATTGCCGCGTTGATCATGTGATTTTACAACTGTGTCCTAAGTCAGCCCACCGCAATGTCTGCTGCTCTCATAGGAAAGTGAGCCAGGTGGCTCAGTGTAGGGGACTGCACGGCACACTCACATTTAAGAGCGGGTCATCCGCATTTTCCCTCCACATTTAGAAACATGCGTTTAGAGTATTTGGCTGCTATACATTTCCACATGATAACCCACTTGTGGCCAGGTCGCTTCTGAAAAAGAGCTATATAACTTAGTGGGCCTTACCTGGTAAAATATAAAATAGTTTAGTGAAGAGTGGGCGTGACCATTTCATGCTGCCGTGGGAATGGGAACCAGTGCCCGGTTTGCAAACCGGTTTATGGATACGCGGCATTGACTGGTTTCCCCTCCATTGCTTTGTGTGCGTTTACCCACAGATGCCTCCAGCAGCACAGCTGGGATTTCGAGCGGTCGGCACAAATCTTTACTCAACTTAACGTAAGTGCCGTCCCTCACCTCCACCGCTGACCGATACGCGGGATTGCAAATGGACGGTTGTGTTTGATGAGCATCTTCTAATCATACTGCTTGTCTCCCTTTTTCATTCCGCCCCCCGCCTCTCTCTCCCCCGGCGCTGTTCGCTGCTCCGGTTCCGGCTGTGGCCACCGCTCCGGTTCGGATCTTCTCGTCGACAGACTGCAGGGCATATTCCCAAGGAAGCATTCGTGAAGTGATCTGGGAGGCATTCCCCCCCCCCCCCCCCCCCCCACTGAACTTGGTTCCGGACAGAACCTCGCTCACGGTCCAAAATTTTTCCTTCACGTCGTCGGCCTTTCGTCTCGCGTCCTTTTTGCAGAATCCTTTTTTTTACAATGGTGGGGAGGGAATTATGTAAAAACAAAAACTATGGCAACTGTCTCTCCCCCACCCCCCCTCTACTCTTTTCCACTGTACAACCAAGCCATGCTGGGGCCATGCCAAAAGCAGCCCAGTACAACTCAGGAGGCACAAAGTTGTTTTTCCACTGCGGAAGCGAAGCTGCATCATTGACGCCTTACGCACACAAGGATTCAAGACGCCGCGTGAATGACGCGGCGACGCCGTGTCGGGAGTTGCGCCAGTGCCACAATGGACGCAGCGTCGATAGTCCTGGCCCTGCTTGGCCCCGAGCCAGATACCAGTGCAGTTATGGTTTGGTTCCGGCTCTGCGCGGAAAATTATCGGTGAAAAACCAGTACTGTGAGGGCCCCTCCTCCTGGGCGGGCTTGGCTCGGATGTTCCATTTGCAAAGTGGGAGGGGGGGGGAGTACCCTTCCATCTGACCCACACTTTAAAACCTAGGCACGTACTGCTTGTTTTGATCTCGACTTCATTGTATCAAAAGTTATTTAATGGAAATAAAAATCCATCGGTTGAAACTCAGTACAAAAGAGACAGGGAGCCAGTAATGGTTAGAACTGCGCGTTTTTTATGTTGGTTGTGTAACTAACGTTTTAACAAGTATTACGTTTGGAAAATACGATTAATGCTTAGTAACGCTTTTAGCTCCCGCAGCGCTTAAATCATAGCTCCTCAAAGCCCCCTTCCCCCCCACCCACTACAGTGCAGATATCCTTATTTACCAGTCGAAAGGATTCCTTAAATGGTTGTGTAAAGGCTTCACTAATTTGAAGATCACGCGGGAATGTGAAAAGGCAGATGGACAGACAGACCATGATGGGAATGAGAGGTCACTGGAGCTCAAGAAATCTACTTAAGGATCCATGTTTCGTAGAGTTGACACAGGTGAGCGTGCGTAGCGTATCTTTTACCGTTAACTTTAAGGCTTAACGAATTGTGCTTTTTTTGAAGAAAACCTGGCTTGTACATGTGCAAAAGTCATAATTGTATTTACCAATTAGCATCGCAATGAATGAAAGACTAGGGGCTTATGTGTTGACTTTTGAGAGTTGTGTGTGTGTGTGTAAACGGTCACACTTGGCAGAGTAAATATGAATCTTAGCCAAGTGCCAACTGCTGTGGTGCTTGAAAACCGTCTTCTACTTTACGCCTGGATGTGATACGCTTTTTTTTTATAAAAATGTCTGGATATGTGGAAACTTTAAAGTTTATGTAATTTTTTGAGCAGGGCTGGTTTTTGTTGTTTAAAATGAGCAAACGACACAATAATAAAAGATGATCTCTGCTATACCTCCATAATGTACGTTTTTTTGTTAGATTGCGTAAATATATAAATGCGTCGTTAAACCCGCCACCACCCAACACAGCCAATTAGGTTTGTCACGTAAACAGAACATGCCAATTCGTTACTAGTACAGCACACTGGTGTGTTGGAGAGAAAATCCACACCATTTACAATCTTGACAAAGTTTCGCTATAAATTACAACTAGCATCATCAGGCAGACAGCCAGATTTGTGGAGAAAGCCTCGTGTTTCGTTAATTAAATAGAGGGATAGATGTGATGACGTTACTTGTGAGCCCTTCACGTGCGAAGGGGGGGGGGGGGAATTAATGCATATACAATGGGCATCTGCAATACCTGGTGTTGATTTTTGTAACGCCTTTGGGGTATGTTGAGCTCAATCAAGGCAGGTAGTGCTGCTGTTTTTGCATTCGTTTAATTTTTCAGATTCTCAATCCCACCTCGGCCAATTCCATCGCTGTGGGGTCCGGCCTGGGGAAAACCTCGAAGAAGACAAATTGGTCTCTCAATGGGAGCTTCTGCAAGAACTAAATTCTGCATTCAGTTCTGAATTAATTCCAACTCTACTCCTAATCAAAAAATTATACACCTATATCACTTTTCACAACACAGTACAAAAGTAACATTAAAACGAATGAATAATACATTTAGAACAAATATAATTGACCTTTTCAGATCTGCATGTTAGAATGACTCGAAAGGTGATGTGGGAAGCGTTCTTGTTGCACTGCAGGGATACCGGTGTCGCGGATGGATGATGAAGCCCCCCCCGGGTGCTACGTATTTTTTGATCACGCCTTGACACAGTCGACACCGGCACAGCGTGTGTAGCAGCGATGCTGGCTCTGTCGTTGCTCTGCAGAACCATCACTCACCAGGCACTCCTCATGTAATACTGTACTCTGCAGCAAATGTCGCCTTGGATTGTGCATTCGAAATTTTACTTTTATCTTTTGTATTACAGAAAAGCAATATTAAATTACAAGATGTAAATGGGCCAAATTTGGTTTGCATGGGCATCGACACCCACTTAACCTCACCGCCACCAGAATTAGCCTGGTATTTCGGACAAAACACAACACATTTTCGCTGCCCCATGCGGTTTGATTTCAGTCTCTGCAGATGACACCTGCCCAGGCCTGATGGGGCAGTGTCGCATGTGACGTGGGCAGGAGGCCCCGAACCAGGCTGGGCTCCGAGCCGGGCTCCGGGGCTCTGCGCAGACCCAGGCTGCTATCCAAGTGGCCTGGCCCGGACAAAGCCTGCAGGCGACGATGCTGCCGTAGTCTCTCCCGCCAGCGAGCCACCAGCGCCGTAGCCTCGGCCGCCGGAGTTCCTGGTGGAGCGTCCCGTAGGCCCTGCGCATATGTGTGGGGAGCGGTAGCGTAGCGGTTAGTGCACTGCGCTACAAACCCAGCGAACCGAGGTCGATTCCCGCTCACGGCCAACACCAGCGACGATTATCTGAACCGGTCTTGGGCCCTCCCCTAGGCTGCTATAAATGACCACATAAGCCACTTTGTTGAGCTATCATTTGTGGCCAGGTCACTTCTGAAAATAAGCTAATAGTGCAAGGGCTTTACCTGCAAAAATATTAATTTTTTTGTGATTTGCTGACCTTTCCCATACTTTGCACACCCGCCCCTACTGGCCGTCTGTAAGGAGCTAGCATGGAAGAGTAGGCCAAAAAAGTACCCAATAGAGAGCAGCCCTCCAGAGCAGTGGCGCTGGAGCAAGGAATTGTCAGGCCGCACCTTTTACCTTCGCTTTGTAGTTATGCATTACCAAATCCTGGACTGCAAAAGTACACTTGTAATTCAAAGATTCCGACGAGTGAAGCCGCTGCAGTTTGGTTGCAGGCCGAGTACGGCCAGGGGGAGTGTGTGGGCACGCTCCCACCGTGACACTCGCAGCCTCGGCTGCCCGCAGCACGCGTGCTGCCTCCTCCGCGAGCGTCCGCGCGTTGTGCACGAGGGCCTCGTCCGCGGCGCGGTCCCGCGGGACCGCCTCCTTGACCCTGTGCCGGGGGTGGAAGGAGGGCAGCTCAGTGGGAGGGCGCCTCTCGAATGAGCTGGGCGGCGTTACGACAGTGCAAGGACGTAGCCATGGAGTCAACATTGGGGGGGACCAAATCTTCCAGGGGGTCCCCCACCCAGAAAAAAAAATCTATTTGAAAACTAATTTCTTGCCTGGAATATTAAAAAATTCACTAACACAGATGGACTTTTTTTTTTACAATAAGGTCTAATAGTGTATTGTATTACATTGCTCTGTTTTGTTTTACCTTTTCTTGTTTCATTGTATGTAATGTCAGATTAAGGATTCATTAAGTACGACCATAACCACAATCATATAAACTGAAATGTATTTTATAGCAATATATTGGGGGGGACATTTTGAGCATATTTGAATATTGTGGAGGATGTGTCCCCCCGAATATATATTATAATTACGGCCTTGCGACAGTGTGTATGTTATGTACGTTGAACTTCTTTCGCATTGTTCGTAGCCAACTGCGCTAATGTGTGGGGGAATGACAATAAACAACACACAGGAGTTCCAAAGAAATACGTTTTCAATGTAGATTTAAAAGTCCAAAGCTCCAGTGGCTTCCTAATATTGGAAGGTAGAGCATTCCAGACGGCCACAGAAGCGCATCTGGAAGGGCGCGATGCTGTGACTATCTTTGTTCGATGGCTACAGAAAAGCCACTGTGAGGATGACTGGAGTTCACGTGATGGGTTATGCTCCTTAAGATCAGCAGGGTAACAGTGGTTAATTTGTGGCCAAGCACTTTTTAATGAGCGAGGTAGCACGTTTTGCCGCTTGCTGCTGTGGTTGGCCAGTTCAAGCCTCCCAGCCACCCTGATTAATTATTGCGTGTGTATTAACCGTAATTTACGCGCCGTCTGCATAACAGGGGACGTTAAATCTCCAAACGTTATGAGAAAAAGGGTACGCCATGTGCGCTGGTGGCATGATCCAAACTTGTTAAATTACGACGTTTTATTGGAATAACCGCAACATTGCTCCCTCCTGACGAATGCCCACTTGCAGGCTGCTGCTGCATCACCTTGTGCCACACAGGGACAGCTCTCATCAGGGGGTCTTCTAAGCTAAAAGAGACAAAAAAACAACTTCACATGGCCACTGGCATGATTGAGATGCAATATAAGGCACTTTGAGATCCTGGGACATTTAAGCGCACTCTACATGTCAATCCCTATCCTCTCAAGGAGTGGTTCCTCCCAATGGGGGTGATGGTGCTCGGTAGCGCTGAAGCTGACGCGACATTGGGGCTCGACGAGAACGACTCCGCCGAAACGCAGCCGTCCCAGGGCCCCTTTCAGTCAAGTTCAAGTTCATGTATTAGGTATAGCCCTGTGAGCCATTCGGCTCTTGAATCGGGTGCAACCGCAACAAACAAAAAAACGTGAACAAAAAACATCTTAAAGTGAATATGTGACTAAGTGCAAACAGAAAATACAAGAAAAGACAGCAAAATATTGCAGAAAAAAACACCGTACACCAACGCTGTGTGCAAAAATCCCAGTGGGATGCAAGTCAAACAACAACAACCACAAGACAACTTAGATTAAGGCCATCAGTCTAACTCTGTACCACAACAAACAAACATGGCTAAACCAATACACTTTTAGAAATCACCAAAATAAAGCCATGAAAGCAATGAAAAAGCAATCATAGGAACTGTGACGGAATTTTCACAATGGCATAAACAACATGTACTACCAAAACCCTGCAGCCATAGTCGCACCTGGCGAGGATAGCGATCTGAGTGCCTGCGGCGAGGACGCGCTGCGAGTGGGAGAGCAGCTCGCGGGAGCAGCGCTCCTCGGCGCAGAGTCCCGCCAGGGCGCCGCCGAACCTCTCCAGTGTGCGGGCATCCACGGCCAGCGAGCGGGCGCACGCAATCAGTCCCTCGCGGCTCTGTCGTCGTCAACAACAACAACAGCGGTGGCGATCGACGACACGATTTCAAGCGGAGTCTCTTTGTTGAGTGGGATCCTGCAATGATACTTTGACTTGCCTGTGTGGAGAGGTGGAGGTGGTGGTTGATAGTGGTGTTGAAAATGGAAGTGGTGGTGTTGAAAATGGAAGTGGTGGTGGCAATTATGGAGACGGTGGTAGCCGAGGTGTTGGATACGGTGATCGTGGTGGTCGTAGCGGTGGGGGTAGATATGGAGGTGGTTGTGCCAGAGATGGTGATTGTAGTGGTCGCAGTGATGGGGGTAGATATAGAGGTGGTTGTGCCGGAGATGGTGATTGTAGTGGTCGCAGTGGTGGGGGTAGATATGGAGGTGGTTGTGCCGGAGATGGTAATTGTAGTGGTCGCAGTGGTGGGGGTAGATATGGAGGTGGTTGTGCCGGATATGGTGATTGTAGTGGTCGTAGCGGTGGGGGTAGATATGGAGGTGTTTTTTTCTGGAGGTGGTAGTGGCGGCAGCGGCGTCTCGCTCGGTCACCTTGATGGGGCCCCTGCGCCGCAGGAACAGCGCCATGTCCTGCACGCGGGACGCCATGTCCTGTGCCACCCGTGCCACATCAGGCACAGCTCTGCTGTCCCACGGGGCGAGCGGGCACGGCCGGGGCTCGATGCGTCTGGCCTGCCGGGTGCGGGGGGCCAGAAGGGGGGGGGGGGCGTGCGGTGGTGCGAGAAGCGAGCGAGCCCAGGAGAGGGGGGGGGGCGGTGGAGGTGGCGGGGAAAGCAATGGCATGCGGCGGACAAGGTACAGGATAAAAGCAGGTGGCGGGTGGAGCGGTGGGAGCAGCGGTACTTGTCGGGAGGTGAGTCGTAGGGGTTTGCATACTGTGCTATAATCCCAGAAAGCTGGGTTCTATTCTTAGCCACGCACAACACTCTCGATTGAAAATTCATTTATTTAGGACTCCTTTTTGCGTTTAGTTGTCCTTTCCCTGCACCTCCCATTTGCACGGTTGGCTAAGTACGGTGAAAAAGAAGTTCAACATATGAACCTTATGGCGGGACCCCGGGGTCGATGCTACATCACCCCTTATACCGTGCTTTTTAGGTGCTCTCTCACAGCACTTACCCATACAATCTGCAAGGCTAAGCAGGGGAAGAGGACCATTTTCTTTTATCTGACGGTGGTATATGAATATTATAATGCAAAAGGACATGGCAAATGTATAACCGTATACCCCCAATCAAGTTTTGAGCTCCAAATAGAGAAGAATTCGGTTTAATTTTAATATGTACATCAGATGGCCATCTTAACCCACTACACTTGCATGAAGATCCATCAACATTTTTTTTTCAATCTACAAAGAAAGTTCTCATAACTATGATGCCAACATATGCTACGTTTACTAAACGAGGTCCTCACTCCCACGCGTAGTAGCCAGCACGCATCAGTTATAATTGTGCAGAAGAAGAGTAGGATGAATGCACGCAGCGTTGTTATCGGAGTAAGCCAAGATTTGTCAAATTAAATTTAGTTGAAACCCACCACCCTACAGTTTCCAGTCTTAAGCCATGCCAGATACAAGTGGATATTTAACAAATAGTACTGTGTAGGTTTTCACCGTTGGGCCGTGTGGCTCTCCAACGCGCTTTCAGGTTGTCCGACGTTTCGCTCCACGTGCCAGGAGATTCTTCAGGAACTAAATAGAACAGTTCAGTGCCAACGTTTCGCTCCCAGCGCGTGAACCGAATTCGGTACCTGAAGAAGTTCCAAGCATGAGGAGCGAAACGTCGGACATCACGCTGAACAGCACGGGGACCGTCCATGAATGACGTCACGCGATTTTTGACGATTTTTGACCCCCCCCCTCGTCACACGGCGTCACACAAAGTCAGACCCCCCTCAAATATGACGTCACAAAGCTCTGCCCCCCCCCCCAAACATTTTAAAACATGCTTCAAATCGCTTAAAACTATTGTCATTGTAGTGCGTATTTCATGTGGCAATGCACTGTAATGTTGTCGGAGAAAACATTTATAAAACGTCTATTGATTTAAGTAGATCGTGTTGTCTACATTTATTTAAAGTTGCGCATTTTTATGTGACGTCACATTTCTCACCCCCCCCCCCCCCCCTCGTCACACATCGTCACAAATGTCTGACCCCCCCCCCCCACCGAGGTGCGTGACGTCATTTATGGACGGCCCCACGCCGTAGAACACAGAAAAAACATGTAGGATGTTTCACAAATAGAGCCGGTATGCAATTGAATTGGGAAGACTGGCAGGCATGGAAAGGTGGGCCGTGGTGAGCCTAAAGGACTTCAGGTTAAGAAAGGCCTGTCATGATTCCAGTGGTTCTTAATTCTCCAGTCACCAGCAACACTCCAGTTTCACGTTCGTATTTGTCTCTCTGGCACAAACGTGATTCTATGAATGCAACGCGGTACCAACGCATCCTATGGATAAGGCGATTATTTAAGTAAACTACCATCGCCCCCTAAAAGTGCCTTAGCATGAGTGCCTTGAAGGCTATAAATGATTTATATGGAATTAAATTGTACCGTTAGAATTGTGGGTGATTCACTTATAGACACCCCACTGATCTCTAATTACCACCTGCTCTTCTCAACAGGTGAGTATATAATGTGAAAGCGAAGAGTCCATGCCTTTACAGAGGAACAGATCATGAAGGTGGTAGCTTTGGATGCAGATTCACCATTCTGCTTTCTCTATAATTTCTCCCTATTTTTGAGCGGGGTATCTATAAATGCACTTTAAAGTATTTGGTAATACCTTACTGCATATGCAAAGTAAAAGGTGCAACCCAACAATTCCTTGCTCATCCGACTGCTGGTGGAATGGTTTCTACCAGAGAGAGCTTTACAGGGCTTCTCCCTATAGGCTACTTTGGCCTACACGCCCATGCTGGCCAGACGGACACTTTGAAAGAGGTAATTGTAAAGTGTTGCACCACAATCAGAAGCTTTACTCATCCTGGAGGATAGTATTGCACATAATTAACATCAGCATAACAAGCCACTCATGGGACTAAATTTCCTGGACCGGAGTTGGGCTTAAGACCCAAGGTATTAAGAACCACTGTCCTCAAGCGATGAACGAGTCGGGGATGGAGATAGAGGCTGTGACTCAGCGGGCGGGTTACGGGAAAGTTTGTGCTATGGAAGCCTACGTGTGTTCAAGTGGCAGCACGACGACACCAGTTATTATCCAAACTCTTAGGTTTTTTCTGCATGTGCACCAACAGGTGCACCAACAGTTCCTCATGCACTCTCTTTTAGCCCGGCCCCCCCCTCCCAATACGTTCCATTCATTGGCTACCACATTCAAATAAGCCCCTCCCTCCTTCCTCCCCCCTTAACTTGTATTTAAGAACTTGTATCTTGGAATCTTTGCCTCACTGGATTAAAGCAAATCTAGCTGTGACGGTCCCACCTGATGACGGAGACTTGTGTTGCCTCCGAAACGTCGTGATTTATTATTTCATTTTATTTCTATTATTACTTTTAGTATTTTTTTATTTTATTTTTTACCTACGTGACTTTACCGAAAAAACCTAAGAGTATGAATCCTTGCAGTCACGAAAGCTTCAAATCCAGTTATTATCAATCAGCGAATATAAAAGACGCTGTCGATTACTCATGAGTGAGCTATTGATGTGATAACCATGTGTATGCATATAGCATACAAAGTACACAATATACACAGGCATTTAAGGTACTGGGTGCAGACCAGTGGTGCTGCGATATGAATTCGGTAAGCCAAGTTAGATTCCTGGTCACGGGCAACATCAGTGGTGAATAGTATCTGACCCAGTCCTGGGTGGTTGCCGGATTTCACCAACCTGCACGGACCAGCGTGGTAAAGTATAGTCAAACAAACACATTGGCTGCCATGGTGTGGGAAGGCTTTTATCCATCTAGTGCAGGGGTCGGCGACCGAGATCACAAGAAGCCACATTTTTTTAATTCGGTAAGAAATATTCTTTGGGTCTTTCGGTAAAGGCACGTAGATAGAAAAATCATTATTATTATGATTTTTTTTCTATCTACGTGGCTTTACCGATAGACACAAATAATATGAATTCCTGCAGTCACGAAAGCTTTAAGTCAAGATTCGGTAACAAACTCAATACTGTATTTCAAGAGCCGCTATGCGTGTGAATTCGAGTCGGTGGTCCTCAATAGATATCACTCGCCACTATGTTAGCCGCGGCTGGGATTCAAACTCAAGTCACTGAGTTTGTAGCGGATTGTATCAGCTACTGCGCCACAGCATCACCTAGAGCCATGTTCAATAATGGACGAGATCAGAGAAAACTGAGCTGGTACTGCTGACAATCGTCGGTTCGAATACAGGCAACTGCCTGCGCTTAAACTGGGTCCTCAGGTGTGGTGAGTTTATGGTCTCAGCCCGGTCACCAATGACTGCGCAAAAATCCTCCCATTAAATTTGGTTCTGCACTTAAATTGGCCAAATTCCAGCTCTGAGAATGAAAATATTGGTTTGACCGGCATGAAATGCAGAGCAAGTCTGAATGCTTCCCTTTGCTGTGTGTGGACCGTAGGTCACTTGAAAGAACCTGAGAAGTAGCTCTGTGATATTTACTTCCTTGGGCCATTCTACAGAACGAATTGTTGCACTGCTCCGCGAGAGATCCAAAATGATACTTCGCCTCGGGGCGTGACGCCGACCGCACAATCTGAACCAAATTCTGTGAACGTGACGTGAAAATAATGATCCTGTGACCGAACCGCCGGTGGATGTCTCACGTGCGTGCTGGGTGACGGTGCTGCACCTCCGCCACAGACGGACGCCGCTTTCTCAGCGGGGAGAGGCGGCGCCTCTGGGACGCGGGGACGATCGACGGCCGCGGGTTCCGACTCCTGCGCCGCGCGCCCGGCTCTCCCCGCCTGCCGCATCTCGGCAAAGAACGCCCTCCTCGCGGCCGCGGCCGGTGACTCGGGCACGCTACTCCCCGCCCGCTTCGCCTCCTTCGCCGCGCCTGGCGAGGACATGGGTGGAACCCCGGGTCGGATCTCCTCCTCCTTCTCCTCTTCCTCATCGTCTACCTTCTCCCGTGCCGACGCGTTCTCCTGCACAGGCTCCAGCCGCAGGCGACGAACAACATCCCGGACGGTGGGGGATTCGGGGCCGAGATGCGCGGAGAGATCGGCGGCGATGCTCCCGCTCGCCGCGCCCCACGCCCACGCCGCCAGCTGCAGCTCGTCCCGCCGCTCGCACCAGCGCTCGTCCCGCAGCTCGCCGCCACGCTGCGCCCGGGCGGCCGCGTCCGCCGAGAACCCGACCTCGGGCTGGCGCCGCGATGCAAGCGCGAGGTCGATCTGCGCGGCTGACCACCGCAGGCTGCGGCAAGCGGACTCCACCGCCGCCCCGAGGTGATCGTTGCTCGGCCGCTGGGTCAGCGCCGCTCTCACGGCCGCCTCCACTTCTGAGAGTTGCTCCTCCAGGCAGGTGCGACTCACGACTTCAGCAACCTCCTTCCCCGACTTCTCGTCCTTCCCCTCATTCTCCTCCTCCTCCTCCTCGAGTCCGAGTGTCACCAGGAGGGCCCTTGCGGACGATGCCGTCGCCCGGTCGATGAGAGCGGATAGGATGTGGGCCCTGGCCTCCACCTCGGTGCTCAGCAGCTCGACGCGTGCCGCGAGCCGAGCCATTGCCCACCCTCCGGGCGAAGCGGCGCGGGCGAGCAAGAGCCCCGCCGACTCCGCCAACTCCCGAGCCAGCTCGCACGCCGAGTCACCCGCGCCGCTCATGAGTGCCACCTCGTCGAGCGTGAGTGATGCTAGGCCGCGGTCACGATCGCCGCTGCTGTTGTCGCCGTTGCCGTGACCGCCGTTGCTTCGTGCCGTCGTCTGGGCACGCGCTGCCAATCCCGCGGTTTCCTTCAAGCGCTCGCACGTCTCCAGGAGCGCCCGCGTCTCCACACCCAGCGCCGGGCGGTCTCCCTCCCGCACGGCCCTCACGACGCCACCCGTCAGCCCTGCGGCGACACCGCCGCCAACGCAGGTGCGACGCCGCAGCGCGCCGAGCGCCGAGGTCACGCACGCGGCCCACGCCAGGCACTTCCCAACCGCAGCCTCGCACCGCTCATCGGCGTCGCCCGAGCCGCGCTCCGCTCCGTCGCCGCTGCCGCGCCCGACGAGGCCCCTGGTGGCTTCTTCGACGGCGAGCAGCGCTTGCTCCAGGCGTGGCTCTGGGCTCGCGAGAGCCGCCTGCTCCACCCATCCCGCGCGCCTCTCCTTCGCCGCTCTCAGGCCGCTCGGCCGGTCGCTGCCACCCTTCTGCATGAGCGCGGCAGAAGCGGCGAGGGAGGCCGCGACCTCTCGGACGGCCGCGATCGGGCTCGGCTCGTCCGTGGTCACCGCCGCGTCCGACGCCTCCCGCGCCAGGCGCAGCCACGGCTGCAGGCGGCGCGACAGCAGCTCCTGCAGCTCGCGGATGCCGTCGCTGCACCGCAAGGCGAGCGCCATCGACGCGGCGCTGTACGCGTCGCCTTGCCCGCCGTCCCGGATCCGGCCTGCCTCCTCCAGCAGCCTCGATGTCATCTCTCGCAGCCCGGAGATTCGGCCGTCGATGTCGCTCCAAGTGGAGTCCTCGCCACATCGGGGGTCGCCGAGCTTGGCCTTTGCGACCGCCTCTCCGTAGCTGTCCACCAGCGTACGCACACGCCTCTCCGAGCCTCTAATGGCTTCGTCCGAGTGGGCCAATCCGGCTGCACGAACAACTGCCGAAAATGCTGGCAGCAAGGAGAGGTCGTCCAATCGGCTTCGAGTTGCTTGGCAGTCATCCTCATGGCCACCAGCGGCAATAGCCACACCGCAGCACGCACGCTTATCCTGTTCCGGATCACGACGATCACAGACGTGCTGGGCGGCAGTCGAATGCTCACGGGTCATCATCGCCGCCCTCCTGCTGGCAACGTCCACCACATCCGGGATCTCGGTGAGCTCATCCAGTCCCTCGTTCCGCAGGTTCTCCCGGAGCGGGCTGAGCAGATCTGGATGGCAAGCGGACCCGGACAGGCCCTCCCGCACCCGGCTAGCGTGGCCGACCAGCTGCTGGGACCTCTCAAGCAAGGCGGCCACCACCACTACAAGGCTCTCATTCGAGCATGAAAGGTCTCCATCACCACCCTCCCCACGTTCTCTGCCATCCCCACTCTCAGTGGCTCGGAGGTGTCGGTTGACCTCAAAAGCGAACAGCGTTGTGCAGCTCTCCAGCGGACCGACCAGAGCCAGGAGTCCGTTGCGAAAGAGCGGATCATCGTGGTTGCTCACAAAGTACCTGGCGGCACGAGCCATGAGCTTGGCTCGCCCGGCCGTGGCGCGTGCCGTCTCGGCGACGTCCCGACTCCCACCGCCTCCCCGGACGGCGTCCTGGAAGCGGTGAGCGAAGCGGCCAAGCGAAGCGTTCACGGCGTCGGCCAGGCCACGCACGTCCACGGCGCGGCAAAGGCTGGCGAGGAGGGCGTCCACCTCCCGGTGCCACTCCTGGCGGAGTCCGCTCTGCGCCAGCGCCCGGACGCCGACGGCCGTGAGCTCTCTGCGCGCCGCTGACGCCAGCCTGCGAGCGAGCGCCGCGCGGTTACGCAGGGCGAGCGCACGCCGGGCGTCGCTGCAGGACGCGTGCGCGAGAACAGCGCCGCGCACCATGCCGTCGGCGTGGGCAAGGAAGGCGTCGGCGAGCGGGCCGAGAGCGCCGTCGTCGCGGCCGCCCTCGTCCCCCCCGTCGCGATCGTCCCACGCCCTCAGCAGCCGCTCCAGCGGCTCGGTGGTCTCGGCGAAAGCGTCCGCCACGCGCGTCGTGACGGCGAGCGTCAGGATGCGCTGCAGTGCCGCCGCCTCCCGCAGCATCTGCTCGCGCTCATGTGAGAAGCTCCCGCTCGCAGCTGCCGCCCGTGCCGATTCTGCGTCGGTTTCCGGAGTTCGTAGCCGAGCTGCGAGGCGGCTGCGGCACTGCAGGAGCCGCTGGCATGTCTCGGAAAGCCTCCTGCGCGTCCCCTCGTGCTCGGTCTCGCCCATCACTGTCACGGCGTGGGCCGCCACGGCCTCCACCAGACAGTCCAGCGTTACCGTTTGCTCGCTGGCGTTCTCCTGCTCCTCCTCCTGCTTCGTGCCGGGGTTCATCCGACGCAGCGTGGCGACGAGACGAATGACGTTGTCGGCGAAGGTCCCTGTCGCGTCGCGGGGCGACCCCTCGTCCGCGTGGACGACCTCTCCGTCACCGCCCTCGCTCCTCCGCCGCCGTCCTTTCCGGGCCGCGGCCGCGACGCCGGAGACGGCACGGGAAAACCTGCGCACGGCGCGGTCCCTGCCCGCGGCCGCCCGCTCGCTGCCCGGGCACTCGAGGCTGGTGCGCACGGCCGTGTGGATGAGCGGCACGCAACGGCGGGTCGTTTGGAGGGCGCGGTCGAGGCGGCGGCGCCGGCGCCCCCCGGCCTGCATCTCGGCCGCCCGGGATTCGCCGAGCGCCATGAGCAGCAGCAGCGACTCGGAGAAGCCGCGCGCCTCCGTCGCAAACTCGGCGGCCGACTGCACCGAGCCCAGGGCCGACGCTCGCTCGTGCAGCCACTCGGCGGCTCGCTCCACCCTGCGCACCTCAGTGTCGTCCGAGATCGTCAGCACCTGCGCACCGGTCACGAATGACGGATTCGATTTGTTGGCCGGGTGCACAAAGTGGTTGATTCATAGAATTTTAAGTGAACGTGTCTCTGTATACCAAAAAACGTAGGACTGAGCGCATATCCATTGGCTGCCCTGAGCCTGGGCCACCAATTGAAAATACAACCTTATGATTGTGAGTTGAAGGGTCACCGCACTCTCTCCCGCCTCATTTTGGCAAATATTGAATGCTAATCAGATGACGAACTGAGAGTTTTAGTCCTCAGAGATTGAATTTGCCATCTGAAGTGACAAACCAAACACGATGTGATGGGTTTAACACGGATTTGAAACGTGGAATCTCAGCTACGTAGGTATTCGCGGTTGTGCCCTGTAAGCTCTCCGACGTGTATCCGGGTCGGACCGCGTTCTGTTCGGCACGATGTCCGACGTTTCGCTCCACGTGCTGAATATTCAGTTTCCCCAAAGAGGTTCTCGGCAAACGCAGCAAAACGTCAAACATCGTGCCGGACGGCACGTGGCGCGAACCCGAAAACACCTCGGGGTTCTGCGGCACCTCGAGCATGGCTGCCACGAGCGCCGTGGCCGACGAGAGCAGACGGCCGACGGCGACGCGGCGCCGGCGCCGCCGCTCCACCCGCAGGTCAAGGGCGGCAAGGAGCACGGAGCGCCCGGCCACCAGCAACCGCTCCGCGGCGGCCGGCATCTCCCTCCGCGTCGTCTCGTCCTCGCTCTCCGCCGACAGCCTGCAAGGTGCAGAGGTCCCAGTTGGTCAGGCACCACCGTCGAGTGTCGTCGGGCTTGATGTCCGACGTTTTGCTCCGCGCGCTTCTTCGTGGAGCCGGATTCCTCGCCCGAAGAAGCTCCGAGCACATGGAGCAAAACATGGTACCACGTGCGGTACAAACCGAAAACGGCGCAGACATAAAGACCTACATGGTAGCACCTCACCATCACTTCCTTTTACCAGGTCCCCCCCAGGAGTGACAATGGCACAACACGAAAATATAAACGAGCCCCACCATCGGCGAACCAAGTAAGTTGTTGTGTGCCGTGCCGTGTGGCACTAAAATCACTAGGACACGGGTCGCAAACCAAAATTAAAAAAAAATTGTTCGAATTTGCAAAAAAAAACACTTCAAGAGCCGCTATGCATGTCATGAAACAGTCCTTAAAGAGGCTCGTGCGGCTGCAGAGAAAGTAAGCGAAGGCTGCCTCCCGATTACCTCCTGCTGGAGACAGCCAGCGCCTCCGCTGCCTCCGCAAGTGCTTGTGCCTGTGGCTCCAGGTTGAGAAGGACATCGCAGCGTTGACACTGTTGCCGCTCGTGTTGATGGCTTTGGCGTGGATGAGGATGATGATGGTGGCGATGATGATGATGATGTTGTTCGTGGTGGAGGGCCGAGTCGCACAGCAGAGCGAGGTGGACGAGCTGGGCGGAGATGGGCGCGAGTACACGCTGGGCGCTGAGGCTCGGAGCGAGCGAGCTCAAGCCAAGTCCGCTCCCTGCTAGCCCCGCCAGGGCTAGGGCCTCCATCGTTCATTCGCCCAGAGTCTTTCTCTTCCTTCCCCTGATCCACCAGCACAAGAGACCACAGCGCTCAATGTCAGCCAGACAAGTCCGGAACTGCCGTTTGAGGAATTATTTTGGCGCACGCCACATTCTTCACATTCGTCTCACTTTATGTTGTGGAATTTGTATTAAAATAATAGTTTAGATCCACAAGGCACCCTTAAATATACACACTGTATTTGTACAACCCGTTTGTAAATCCACTGCTGGATGAGGGGCCACCGCACTCCGTGCTGGATGTTTGACCATACTTCACCACACTGGTCAATGCGGGTAAATTGAAGATGAAGGGAATCACATGCAGGACTGTGGTGGGGGTTTTACTATTCCTACTGCCCTCTTCTGCACACGTTGCCTATAGCACCTGGGTTGTTCCTTTGTGCTCGGTTGTCGCCCATCCAAGCACTGTCCAGGCTAAATCCCTGCTTAGCTTCCGAGATCTGACGAGATCGGGCGATTAGTTCATAGGCTACATTTCATCGCAATCATTAGCCACGGTTAATCCACCACTGGATGAAGCTAGGAAAACATCTCAACCATACAGAATTGCGTACACACGGCGCGGTCGTATTATGTACACAACTGAATTTTTTGATATGTGCTGAATGTATATTTGCGTGCACTATATCACACGAGGGCATACGCAATTGCCTAACGTTACACTTTGCAATCTGTATTGCACGTGCAGAGTGGGCGGTAAGTCCCCATACCCTTGCCATCAAGGCTATTATGGACTGCCATAGGTAAGGGCGTATAGGGAGTTCTCGCCCATCCTTTATATACTGTATGCTATATATACTGTATTATATATACTGTCTTGCTATATATATACCGCTGTTGTGCACTCTATGCACAGTGCATATGCTGTACATGATAACAGCGCGGTGATGATGATGATGGTGGAGATGATGATGGTGGTGGTGATAGCGATTATTAACAAAGTATAACCACAAAGCCGGGGGGGAGGGGGGTAATACTTGATGATGATGATGATGAGCGAATTAAAACTCACAATCAGCCTGGCAGGTAAACTGATGATTACGATGATGGCGATGATGATGATGCTGCTGCTAAAGGTGATGATAGTGATGATGTAATGACGGCGACGATTATCACAGTGATCATGAATGACGATGGCGATGGTGGTTGTTGTTGTTGGTGGTGGTGGTGGTTGTTGTTGGTGGTTGTTGTTGGTGGTGGTTGTTGTTGGTTGTTGTTGGTGGTGGTTGTTGTTGGTGGTGGTGGTGGTTGTTGTTGGTGGTTGTTGTTGGTGGTGGTTGTTGTTGGTTGTTGTTGGTGGTGGTTGTTGTTGGTGGTGGTTGTTGTTGGTGGTGGTTGTTGTTGTTGTTGGCTGTTGTTGATGGTGGTGGTTGTTGGTGGTAGTTGTTGTTGTTGGTGGTTATTGTTGTTGTTGGTGGTTGTCGTTGGTGGTGGTGTTGATGGTTGTTGTTGTTGGTTGTTGGTGGTGGTTATTGTTGTTGGTGGTTGTTGTTGTTGGTTGTTGGTGTTGGTGGTTGTTGTTGGTTGTTGTTGTTGGTTGTTGGTGGTTGTTGTTAATGGTGGTGGTTGTTGTTGATGGTGGTGGTTGTTGTTGGTGGTGGTTGTTGTTGGTGGTTGTTGTTGATGGTAGTTGTTGTTGATGGTGGTTGTTGTTGATGGTGGTTGTTGTTGGTGGTTGTTGTTGTTGGTGGTTGTTGTCCGAATGAGGGGGGCGAGTGTTGGCACCCTCGGCCGTGGAGACGGAGAGATTAAATAATGTCGTGTTCGTCAAGGGGGAGATGGAGGAGGAGGGAGGGGGGGGTATTGCTAACAGTGTTAACTTACAACGACAGGGCAGGATCGTGAGCGCAGGCTGAGCTGAGGCCTTCGTCCAGCAGTGGACTGAGCACGGCTGCTGACGATGGCTCAAATTGCAACGCGTCAGCACGGCCGATGGTGATGATGGCGACAGCGATGGTGGTGAGGGGTGATGATGATGTTGATGATGGTGATGTTGGTGATGTTGATGATGGTGATGTTGATGATGTTGATGATGGTGATGATGTTGATGATGGTGGCGACAGCAATGGTGGTGAGGGGTGATGATGATGTTAGTGATGTTGATGTTGGTGATGTTGATGATGGTGATGTTGATGATGGTGATGATGTTGATGATGGTGGCGACAGCAATGGTGGTGAGGGGTGATGATGATGTTAGTGATGTTGATGTTGGTGATGTTGATGATGGTGATGTTGATGATGATGGTGATGTTGATGATGATGATGGTGGCGACAGCGATGGTGGTGAGGGGTGATGATGATGTTGATGATGGTGGCGACAGCGATGGTGGTGAGGGGTGATGATGATGTTGTTGATGATGATATTGATGGTGATGATGTTGATAATGTTGATGATGATGTTGGTGATGATGGTGATGTTGATAATGTTGATGATGATGATAATGTTGATGATGATGATGTTGTTGATGATGTTGATGATGATGTTGATGATGATGATGTTGATGATGATGTTGAATGGTGACGTACCGAGAGGAAACGCAGAGCACGACGGGAGTACAACAGCGGCGAGAGACGCCGTTGTCCCTGGTTACCCAATCAGCTGTTGTCAAGGTTTAAGGGGCCGCCCATAAATGACGTCACGCGATTTTGGACGATTTTTGACCCCCCCCCCTTGTCACATGACGTCACAAAAAGTCAGACCCCCCCCACTCTCAAATATGACGTCACAAAGCTCTGCCCCTCCCCCCCCCCAAAAAAATATAAAACATGCTTCAAATCGCTTTAAACTATTGTCATTGTAGTGCGTATTTAATGTGGCTCTGCACTCTGATGTTGTAGGAGAAAACATTAAAAAGTATATTTAATTAAGTAGAACGTGTTGTCTATGTTTATTTAAAGTTGCGCATCATGAGTGGACCACCTATAGGCCATAGGTGGTGCACTGCATTTCGCAATTATTTAGTTTCCACTTTTATTATCTGTCTTGTGCCACATGCTCAAGTAGTGCCACTTCTCTCTGGCACCAATCTCTTATGGTTATTGACCATTCCTCAAAAATGTAATTATGGCCAAAATGGAGTGAATTCCACCACATCTCGCCATCACTTCCTTCTGCTCGACATATCTCGTCCCAATCGAGTTCACGTTGTTTTCACCGAGGTGATAACCTTTTGCGAAAAACTACTATGATGTTTCTCATTGGAACCTCCTTGACTCCTTGTAAAAAAGGTGTCAGTTTTGTTGCCAGATAGAAGGGTAAAAAAACAATTATCATACTGTGATGTTGTCTCAGTTTGCAAGAAGTCACCTGGGGGGGGGGGGGGGGTGGTATTTAGTCTGCCAGTAGGAGACGATGATTGATGCTGCTGTGTGTGTGTAGGATCCCAATTGAGCGATTTGTGGGACAAGCTGGACCCCGATGCAGCTGTGTTCATACAATATTTGCTTTGAAACTCTTGGAAAGGGAGAGACAAACCCACCGCTGTGACAGAAACACGTGGCAATCACGCGGCCGCCATTCATGCAGTGGATCGACAAAAGGGGATCGTAGCACCGTGTTCTCCGGACTATGATCGCACGCCTCCCCATGGATTTAAAGCAAAAGCTGGGCCATGCTTCTTTTAAACCGAGGGGCACCAGTTTGCGTAACTTCACTAACGCAGGGCACGCGTTTGGGATGCGTCTGAGACTTTTGGGAGCGTCTTGCAACCCGAACAAGAGGGCATCGTGTAATTAATGCGCGTGTGCTGTGCGTAGTTTTAGATCGATTCTTACCCCCGTGGGATCAGAATCTATGATTTTCGATTGTCCTGTATTCTTATTTTCTTACAGGTAATGTGGACTCTCTCTTTCTCTCTGTGCAGCCGCTGGAGGCCGCTACACATTCACGAATCCGCGAAACGCGATACAATCTTTGAGATGGTGGTGGTGGTATGAATCAGCCAACCCATGGCACCTGCTGGGTCTGTCCCGAGACCTCCTGCACCTAGCCTGGCACAGTAGGGGGTACAGCTTGTGATGCATCTACCGGTCATCTCAATCAGCAAACCCATGGCACATGCTGGGTCTGTCCCGAGACCTCCTGCATCTAGCCTGGCACAGTCGGGGATACAGCTGGTGGTGCATCTGCCGGTCACATCAGTCAGCCAACCCATGGCACCTGCTGGATCTGTCCCGAGACCTGCACATAGCCTGGCACAGTAGGGGGGAACAGCTGGTGGTGCATCTACTGGTCATCTCAGTCAGCAAACCCATGGCACCTGCTGGGTCTGTCCCGAGACCTGCACCTAGCCTGGCACATTAGGGGATACAGCTGGTGGTGCATCTACCGGTCACATCAGTCTGCCAACCCATGGCACCTGCTGGGTCTCTCCCGAGACCTGCACCTAGCCTGGCACAGTAGGGGGTACAGCTGGTGGTGCATCTACCGGTCATCTCAGTCAGCCAACCCATGTCATCTGCTGGGTGTCCCGAGAACTCCTGCACCTAGCCTGGCACAGTAGGGGGGTACAGCTGGTGGTGCATCTACCGGTCATCTCAGTCAGCCAACCCATGGCACCTGCTGGGTCTGTCCCGAGACCTGCACCTGGCCTGGCACAGTCGGGGATACAGCTGGTGGTGCATCTACCGGTCACATCAGTCAGCCAACCCATGGCACCTGCTGGGTCTGTCCCGAGACCTGCACCTACCTAGCCTGGCACAGTAGGGGGGTACAGCTGGTGGTGCATCTACCGGTCATCTCAGTCAGCCAACCCATGGCATCTGCTGGGTGTCCCGAGACCTGCACCTAGCCTGGCACAGTAGGGGGGTACAGCTGGTGGTGCATCTATCGGTCATCTCAGTCAGCCAACCCATGGCATCTGCTGGGTGTCCCGAGACCTGCACCTAGCCTGGCACAGTAGGGGGGTACAGCTGGTGGTGCATCTATCGGTCATCTCAGTCAGCAAACCCATGGCATCTGCTGGGTCTGTCCCGAGACCTCCTGCACCTAGCCTGGCACAGTCGGGGATACAGCTGGTGGTGCATCTACCGGTCATCTCAGTCAGCAAACCCATGGAATCTGCTGGGTTTGTCCCGAGACCTGCACCTAGCCTGGCACAGTAGGGGATACAGCTGGTGGTGCATCTACCGGTTATCTCAGTCAGCCAACCCATGGCACCTGCTGGGTCTGTCCCGAGACCTGCACCTAGCCTGGCACAATAGGGGGTACAGCTTGTGGTGAATCTACCGGTCACATCAATCAGCCAACCCATGGCATCTGCTGGGTCTGTCCCGAGACCTGCACCTAGCCTGGCACAGTAGGGGATACAGCTGGTGGTTCATCTACCGGTTATCTCGGTCAGCCAACCCATGGCACCTGCTGGGTCTGTCCCGAGACCTGCACCTAGCCTGGCACAATAGGGGTACAGCTAGTGGTGCATCTACCGGTCATCTCAGTCAGCAAACCCGTGGCACCTGCTGGGTCTGTCCCGAGACCTGCACCTAGCCTGGCACAATAGGGGTACAGCTAGTGGTGCATCTACCGGTCATCTCAGTCAGCAAACCCATGGCACCTGCTGGGTCTGTCCCGAGACCTGCACCTAGCCTGGCACAGTCGGGGATACAGCTTGTGGTGCATCTACTGGTCATCTCAGTCAGCCAATCCATGGCATCTGCTGGGTGTCCCGAGACCTGCACCTAGCCTGGCACAGTAGGGGGGTACAGCTGGTGGTGCATCTACCGGTCACATCAATCAGCCAACCCATGGCATCTGCTGGGTCTGTCCCGAGATCTCCTCCTGTCAGGGAGCGAGCCTTCGACACTTTCACGTGGGCAGCTTCAAAGTGCACCTAGCCTGGCACAGGCGCCGTGGTGACATCGTGAATGACGGAGGCGTTGGTAGTGGTGGTGGAGGTGGGAGTGTTGCACGTTTACACCCCCCTAGTGTTAAAACGAGCGTCCTGCAGCAGGAGGTGACATCACCACCACCACCACCGTCATCATCTTCCTTGGCTTCGGAAGCGGAAACCACAAAGTCCTGCAGAGTTCAAACATCGGAATCGGAGAGCGTCCGGTGTGAAAGCTGACCCCTCCTCCATCTCCCCTTCCCCCTCCTCTTCCTCCATCCACCCTCCCAAGTGTTTTGTCTCCTCGCTCTGCGCTCTTGTGCCGCTCTTGGTGTTACCGATTGGGTGTGGTGGACCACGCTGACAGCTGCTGCTGCTGATGCTACCCGGGCACTCACTCTGTTGCAGTATTTGCTCTTTAGTCGGCTTGCTATCTGATAGTTGGGTGCGTAATGCTGCACGGTCACGGCCGTACAGCACCGCTGTTTAATCGAGGGTGTATTGATTAATGTACGTGTAGTTTTAATTTTTTTAAACGAACGGATTTTTCTTGTGCGTTTTGTATTGGGTTATGTTTGTGTTTGTGTGCAGATGTCTCATTTAACTCTTAAGTCGTGAAGGCGTGGGGGGCATTGATAACGGATGGAGTTGGAAAACGTTAGCAGCAATAATGTGTCCCCTTTTAAACAAAGAGTGCAACCGCCAACCCATTTAGGGCATCGTTGTCAAATTTATCCGATTACACCCTCCCCCATCGCCTGGGTCTGAAAACAGCTGCGATTTATCCTCTTAGAACTGTGCTCTGCTGCTCTGTGTGTGCACATTCATCCCTGAAAATACCGCAGTGTCAAAGCCTCGTTTGGGCGTTTGGCACGAGAGGACTTTTTAATGTTTTGGGTGGCACTGGTCTCTAAAGCCGGCTTCGACGAATTCTATTCTTTGCAGTGCATGTGGGTGAATTTGTGGTTAAATGTGGATCTAGTTTGGTTAAGCAGTTGTCATGCTTTTGCAGCGGATAGATTTTGCTTAACCCATCCAAGTTGTGTTGTATTGAGTTAAGCTGGGTTCAGAGAAAGCTGGACTTTGTTGAGCTAAATCCATGATTTTTTGTTTTACTGGGCTAAGCTTAGCTGTTGTAGAGTGGCTGGTTCAGACTTGTGTTGGGTTTAGCTGGGCAGGGTTCGGGTAATCCGGGCTAAATGGTGTTTGGGCTTAGCTAACCTGGGCTGATGTGGCGTTAACCTGGGCTGTGTTATGCTACTTTGGGCTGGGCTCAGCTTAACTCTGCTGAGCTGGGCTAAATTCAGCTTAGCTGGACTTGAGTTTAGGTTGAGCTTGGCCGAGATAAACTTGAACTGGGTTTAACTGAACTTTGCCGAGCCGGACTAAGTTCTAACCGGGCTGGACTTTCAACCGAGGTTGAGGCTGGACTGAGCTAAATTTCTGAGGCTCCATCCCTGGGCTGGCAAGGCGAGGAGGAGGAGGAAGAGGAGGAGGGCACCATGTACACGTTTGTGCTGCGGGATGAGAACAGCACCGTCTACGCAGCCGTGGCCAAGCTGCTGCAGAAGTCTGGCCACTGGAAACGGCTCCATCGGGACAGTCCTCGCTTCAACCTCATGCTGGGAGAACGCAACCGCCTGCCCTACGGCCGCCTGGGTGCGTGTGTGCCACGTGGTGTGCGTGTCTATTCATTCATGTGTTAATTCATTCATTTGTTAATTCATTCATTTATTCAGCGTTGAGAGTGGCTTGTTTAGTAATAGGTTTTTACCCTTTCAGCTGGTACAAAAACTGACACCTTTATACAATTTTCGATTTAAAGCTTTCGTGACTGCAGGGATTCATCTTCTTGGTTCTTTCGGTAAAGTCACGTAGAAGGGAAGTAATAAAATAATAAAAATAAAACATGATAAAATAATTCTCACGACGTTTCGGCCACAACGCAAGCAGCCGTCCTCAGGTGAAGACCAGGTCTGTCGGGGAGACAGCGTCTGAATGCAATTCACGGCTGCTTGCGTTGTGGCCGAAACGTCGTGAGAATTCTTTTATTATGTTTTATTTTTATTTCCCTTCTACGTGACTTTACCGACCTTTATACAAGGCATCATGTTTGCAATAACCACAACACAAGCAGTCAAAATGCAAACAAAAAGAAACAACTCTGATAAGATAATGATATGCACTGTCCTTGAAGTTGATTGGTCCACATCCGAGACAGCTTTTCTTAGAGCCTAGTCTCCATTGGTGTTGGACCAGATGACGCCAAAAGGCGTACAACTCAAAAAGGTGTCAGTTTTTGTACCAGTTGAAAGGGTAAAAACCTATTACTATATTTTGCCACTGGTAAAGGAGGTCTCATAGTGGCTTGTTTGTTCACGTGTCCATTCGTCGGTTGAATGCGGACAAACATATTTGCGATGGGATGGTACATCCCATTTATTTGCTATTTGCATGGCTTTTATGTTATGGAGCGTGTCTATTCATCCCTATGATTTATTCACGACTCGTATGACCTGTATGTTCAATGGAAATGTAGAATTCCTGGTATGAAATCCGTTCGGCCTGCAGCTCACATTCACTGCCGTTTCCCCTTGTGTGGAAACGTCATCATACGGTACTGTATAGGAACAGTATCCATTCTGAAAAGTGCCCGTACCTATGTTTGTTATGCTATGGTGTACACTTGGCATTTGAACTTTCTAAATATCCTTTCACGTCAGATTGGCGGGATCGATAACGTAGCCTGTTTCATCTCCATCGGTCTTACAACTCTGTTGTCGTAGAATCGCTCATGGATATTTTGAACATCCCAGGCACGTCATTGATTTGCCAACAAATTTAGCACAAAATAGATTTTCATGACCTCCGATTAGCATGCTTGGCTACGTACGGTGCGAAAGAAGTTCAACAAGCATCACCCGAAATCGGTGGCGTCACGTAATTGGCACGACACTTGCACACGGAAGACAAAATAGGGGGCTGCGGGGGGAGGGGGGGGTGCCCCCCTGTCCACCTTTCCCCCCCCCCCCCATTCTTTACAGCCTGGGGCTTGGTCCCCCCCCCCATCCGGCCCGTGGGCCTCGGTGCCAGTGGCGTGGCCCGCACATCCGATAGCCACGCCGCTGCGGAATCAAATGTCGGTAGGGCCCCGCTTGGGCGGCTGCTGGCACCTTGGGTTGGAGTGGGGTGGGTAGATGAGAACAGCGAACAGCGTAGAAATCCTGACCCTGTTCACTCCCGTTGCCAAGGGGTGGCCTTGGCTCGCAGACAAATGAAATTGTTGGGCCACCTTTCCCAGCATGCGCAAAATTGATTTGTTGTCCGCCGTGCCCAAGCGGCTGATGGGCACAGCCCTGCCAGGTGCCCGCCTCGTTCTGCGGTGTTCAGGGGAGTGGCTCGTGTGGCTTTTGCGCCTTTCATCCCAAAATAGAGTAAATTTAGATTCGTGTCGCATCTTGATAATAGTAGGGCGGGTCTCTAGCACTGGACAGGGATGATTATTTCAATCCAATAATGAGGAAACTTCATATATCATAGCAATAGTGCATGTACTGTATATAATATATATATATGATATGCATTGTGGGTATTGTGCTGCAGTCAGGGTTAGCAGTGGGGTTAGAATTTAAGGTCATTGAGTTTGATGATGGCGTCCGTTCATTCATTCATCCTGGTAATGTGATCAACGTGGTCCCAGTGTGTACAAGGTGCAGCGAATTGTCAGGAACTCAACGTCTGTACTCGGGCTGAGTTTTGGATGATGTTTTTGGGGATATTGGCCTTTCAGTCAGAGTTACAGATATCTTTTTCTTCACATTTTGAGATTTATTACATGTCAACAGATATTGTTTATTCACTAAATAGTGATCCTTTTAATTATTTTAATACGAATCGGCTTAATCCTTGACGTAAAGTTCCGTCAGCAAATCAGTAATTTTAATGCCAACATCTTAATATTTTAACAATGTAAGCAAATGTCATGTGATGTCACTTGCGGGAAAAGTAAGGAAGTGATGGCACTGCCTGCGACAAGAATATTTTTTTGCTGAAGTGGTTTTCCCATCTGGTGATGATTGCTTGTGTTGCAGTGGAAACGTCGTGATTTAGTTGATTTTATTCTCTACCTACGCGACTTTACTGAAAGAACCAAAGAGTATGGATCCCTGCAGTCACGAAAACTTCAAATCTAGATTGGATGGATCTGATATCATTATAACCCGGAACACACATCTCCTTGTCTGTGCAGTGAAACACATTCCTGCGGAGGGAGCTGGTAGAAACGTTGGGTTGCTCGGTCAATGGCCAGGGTCAACGGCGGCGTGGTGTATTCCGCAAATATGCCCGACTGTGAGGGCGGGCACAAGCCGGCGTGAGTAGGTTAAACGTTGAGTTTTATAAGGGTACCACGGGGTGACCAGCACCTCCCCACCCAGCCCCACCCCTCCCACGCCCCACCCAGCCCCACCCTCCCCACCCAGCCTCTCCTCACCATCCCCACCCAGCCCCTCCCCACCCAGCCCTACCCTCCCCACCCAGCCCCTCCCCACCCTCCACTCCCCACTCAGCCCCTCCCTCCCCACCCAGCCCCTCCCTGCACGACTGACGGACACAATAATCCACTGTGGGCTGGTGTAACCTGGCGGTTCCTACCAGTATTTTCACGGACGCTTGAACTGCACAGCATTTGCTTTGACTCTGCATGTCTCGATCCGCTCTACACAGTACGCTTGGACAACCGTCGTCAACACGTCCACATTGATCCTCGCCCGCTCGGCTCGTATTTTCAATAAACAATATCAATATATGCCGAGAGGAGAAGGTCCTTGTTTGTAGAGAGAAGGTCATTGCCCGATGGGCATCTGGCAATGCACCACCAGCATTGTAGTGGTCTTGGCAAGTCTGGCTGCGCTGTTGGGGCGCCGAATGTCGAATCCGGTCTTTGTGTGTGTTGGCTTGCGTCGAAACGATGCTGATGTGAATAAGAACAAAAATCACTCTCAGAAAGCCATGTGGCCGATGATGGGATGTGTAAAATAAAAAAAGCACGCTTTCAAGTTTTGTGTGGAGGGACAGTTGTGGGAAGGACGTGTATTGTCATCTTGGTTATTTTCGTACCTCCGATTCGCACGGTTGGCTACGTATGGTGCGAAAGAAGTTCAACATACGTACATACATTTTCAATATATACAGTGCGGTTCTAAAATTGACATGGTCTTTTGATCCGTTATGCACATCGGCAGCCCAGGAAAGATTGTCCTCCCATCGTTTATAAAAACGAATACCTTTTCGCTGGCAAAGTTTATGTTCAAGCCCCTTGATATAATTTTTTTAACATTTATAAACATTCCCTGCGTACATTTACTATCCCACATTCTCCCTGGTGAAATGAGTAATGAATTTCCGCGAGCTCTCATCTTGTTACGTAAAGCACATTTTATTGAAGTGCTGTATTATTGATAATAATGATATAGTACGTACCCTGCACACGCCATGCATACGTGTGTGTGTGTGTCTTTGTGGAAGGGTGGCACTGCATTATGAATCCAGCTACCCGATTTCGATTCCTGGCCACGACTAACGGCGACGAATATTTGAACTGGTTTTGAGCCTCCCTTAGATTGACTCAGCCTCAAATGAGTACCTGGTGTGATATGTACTCAGTGCTGTGTAAACATCAGCACTGGGGAGACAAAGGCGGCTAGGCGTGGTGTTGGCCACGCACCTCCTCGTGTGCCGTGTAGCCTTCATAGGTGCTCGCTATCAGCACTTGCCCCCCAGCACCAAAGGCTATACGGGTCATCTTTCTCATTGTGTGTGCATGCGTGTGTGTGCAGGGCATGAGCCAGGGTTGATGCAGCTTGTTAATTACTACCGAGGCTCCGACAAACTGTGTCGCAAGGCATCCCTTGTCAAGTGAGCTCGATTTTTGCGACACACACACACGATTCCATTTCTATCCATACTCACGATCCCAGTTGCCTATTTCACAGATGGGTGGCTTGCAGCCCGTGGGCTACATCCAGCCCAAGATTTAAGTTAATGCGGCCCACGACTCATTCGTCCGGCAGCGACAAATAACTTCAAGCATCTTGGCTGCACTAATCGGGCACTAGAGGGGGGAATATTATTGACCTGGCAACACTGAGCTTCTAATTTTAGTACGTCCAATCACTTCTGTCACTACAAAAATGCCATCTTTTGACCGGCCAAGGGTTTTTAAAAGTCCTATTTGGGCAAATGCTAATGGTGGATAACTCACATTCCTATGGATGGCAGCAGTCATGCCAGAAAACTTCCAGTTCAATTACTGTAAGTTAACTTGCTCATTTTTGTTTCGCAATTAACTAACGCTTGGCGACCCCGGGCGGGACAGGCTGATGAAGGCGTCCTCATCGCCCTCCTGCAAGCCGGCGTCGTGGCTCCCAGAGTCCTACGTCATCTTCCCGCTGAGTCCCAGGACCAGCCGACGGCTGAGTCCCGGTTCGAGTCCCGGTTCCAGCCCCAGGTCCAGCCCGGGTCTCAGCCCAGGCAGGACAAAGCCACAGGCACCCGGGCCAGGTTCTGGCCGTGGCGGTGGGGGTGGCGGTGGCTTTCGGGAGCTGGCAGAGGCGCGCAGGCGGCACGCCGAGCGGCAGGCGGATGAGCGCGAGGCCTTCCTCGTCTGCTTCCGCCAGCGAGCGCAGAATCGGCAGGGCAACGTGTGGATCGCCAAGTCATCTGCCGGAGCCAAGGGTACGGGGCGGACAGAGGGATGGACGGATCGGATGGATCGGTGTTCTTCACTAATTTTCAGAGGGGGGGGCCACTATTGCCAAAAAGACATCATCGGCGCGAAGACCACCGCACATTTGAATCAATTGGGTTTGACAACACGATCAGGTATATTCTTGGTTCTACGTGACTTTACCGAAAGAACCAAGAATATGAATCCCTGCAGTCACGAAAGCTTTGAATCGAAATTTAACACGATCAGGTGTTTTAAAATGTGTGTATTGTCGGGGGCCACCAGGGGCCGCCCGTGGCCTGCGGGCTGTACAATGAAGAACACTGAGATGAACAGATGGAGGGATGGATAGTTCGAATGGATGGACGTGCGGCTAGATGAGTGACCCCTCGCTGGATCGACATGGCCTTGAATGAGAGTGCTTGGGGTGCCATCTTTGAACATCCGCACTAAGGAGACGAGAGTGGGTTTGTTTCATGCTGGCCACACCACCACCACATGCGCCGCGTCAGCCTTAAAAGTTGGCTGCTAACAGCGGTGACGTGGTTGAGTGGTAGCGCATTTTCTGCTTGTTCATGTTCATGGTTTGATCCCTGCTTCCGCCGTGGTTAATACCGTGGGGTGTATCAACACTGGACGTTAAAGAGCCTGTGTCCCAGCGTCACGGTCCAAATTTGCCGAATTACTCGCAGACTACTTGATAACATAAAAATCCACATCACAACATCGCTCTCTATTGACAGGCTATTCCTGTCTGAAACACTGCGCTTTCACGATAACCTTGTGCTAGAGGAATTGCGTGAATTCCGGATGTACTCTGTTATTATTACTTGCCCCAACGGTCTGGTAAAGGCTACACGGGGGATCTTTGTCTTTGCTCGTAGGCGAAGGCATCTTCATCTCGTCGGACGCGGACGAGCTGCTGACGTTTGTGGATGAGCAGAGCCAGGTGCACGTGCTGCAGAAGTACATTGAGGAGCCCATGCTGCTCGAACCTGGCCACCGCAAGTTCGACATCCGGTGCGACAGCCGCAGCCTCCGCGCGACTGCTCTGACCGACTCGGAGAAATTCGCCGATTCGTTTGTACCAAATGAATTCTCGTGCTAACTTCATAACAGTGCAGGTGGTTAGCGGTTACTCTGATGGCGCGTTCACCGCATGTTGCAGAGATTCGCGGTTCGAGCCCAGCGGCCGTCCCGATTAATACTGCGGTGTGTGTTAGCCGTAAATAGGCACTGTTAATCTGATGTCACGGTCCAAATTTTCCTTAATTCATAAGTTACTCGCGAATTACTTGATTGTGAAAACCACATAGCAAAGTCACACTGCCCCTCCTGGCAGACTAATGCCGGCATGGAGGCTGGTGCTGCGTACCCCTCTGTGCCACACAGGAGCAGTTGCCACTGGGTGGGGGGGGGGGGCAGAGGTCGCAAACGGGTTTTGATTCTTTACCCGTACCCGGCCGCACCAGGGTCGCAAACGGGTACCCGTACCCGTACCCTATCTGATACCCGGCTACCCGTACCCGGCTGGATATCGGGTAGGGTACGGTTACGGGTACCCGATTGCGACCTCTGGGATGAAGCCATGTTGCAGGCGTGGGTGGGTTGATTCTAGGAACTTGAATTGTGTTAAGAGACAAGACGTTGGGAAATGAGTGACAAACGGTTACTCACCAGTGACTCACGGCCTACCCGTACCCAGCCGGGTACGGGTAGCGGGTATCGGGTAGGGTACGGGTATCGGGTACCCGATTGCGACCTCTGGGGGGGGGGGGTGGTTCCCTTGGCTAGGCCGCAGCAGGGCAGTGGAATGCTTGAGATGAGATGTTGATGCAAGGCTCTTGGGAGTGGCGGAGGCAGCTAAGCTGCACCCTTATTCTAAGGTTTTTCGGTAAAGTCACGTAGGTAAAAAATTTAAATTAATAAAAGTAAAATTAAAATAAAATAAAAATCACGACTTCTTCTTGGTTCTTTCGGTAAAGTCACGTAGAAGGGAAGTAATAAAATAATAAAAATAAAACATAATAAAACAAAAAAAATCACGACGTTTCGGAGGCAACACAAGCTTCCGTCTTCAGGTGGAACCGTCACAGCACGATAACTGTATCAAGTAAGAGAAATTCCAAGAAAACAGTCCTTGTATATATACTGGTTGAGGGTGGGAGGAGCCAAGGCAGGCCCTGGATATTATTTTATTATGCACCCTACACATTCAAATCTTTATTGGTGTGAGTAGAGGTGAGGTTGCCTGCTGGGTAATCACCGTGGGAGCTGCCAAGGCCCACAACCTTCACGTTTACGTAGGCGCCAAATAAATAAACCTCACAATTATCTTCAGCTTCTTTCGAATTCTGTACAAATGTGGGCCAAATGGGATGGCAAACACAAACGAATGGAGACTGAACATACGAGACGGGCCGTACAAAAGGCAGTGCGAACCAGTTAGAATCCTGATCCTTAGAATCCTGATCCTTGATCGTGACTAAAATAACCTGAAATTATTTTTGATTTGAGTTAAACATTATAGCTATTTTTCCGAAGTGACCTGGCCACAAATTATTAGCTCAACGAAGTGGCTTATCATCACGTGGAAATGTATAGTGTCCATATAATCTAAACGCATGTTGAGTCCAAATGTGGAGAGAAAAACCGGAGGACCCAGAGAAAAAAAAAAATCCACGTGACCACGGGGAGAGAGAACGTGCACATTCCAAATATACAGAGTTCAAGGTCGGGATCAAATCCACGACCTCCTGTATACCGCTACACTAAGCTTTCACGCATCGTGCATGCCTTGATAAGGGGCTCGCTAACGTCAGTTGCCCTGACAGTCTGTTAAAGGCAATCTGTCTTTGTGTGCGTGTTTGCCCGCTAGGTGCTGGGTGCTTCTTGACCCTCAGTACCGCATCCACCTCTACCGTGAAGGCGTTCTCCGCACCTCATCCGACCCCTACGACCCCAGTGACCTCGGCCACACGACCAGCCACCTGACCAACCACTGCTTGCAGGCGAGGATGCCCGCAGCGAGACACCCGCAGCCTGGGCCTACAACAGGCGTAGTCAAAAGGACTTGAGCAAATGTTAAAAAGAAAACTCGTCAAAAAAAGCAAAATCTTATAGTCCCAAGTAGCACAAGAGGCCCAGGATTAATGGCAAAAATAGGGATACATAAACTAACAGCTCAAATATTGTAATGAACATACAATCCAATTAACCCTTTCCGTTGACATACAAGTACATTCCGATGATGTGCGTGTACGTCATCGGAATGGAATCGAAATAAAATGTAAAATAAAATATCGGTACCGAGCCTCCCACAAGGCTATGCGGGAAGGAAGTGTGCCGCAGTTTGGTGCCAGCTGTCACGGAGTGCGGTCGTGTCGCTCCAGTTCTCTGCGATGAGTAGAATGTCTTTACAAACTACGCCTCTCTAAATAAAATTAACGCCAACCGCTTGAACACCTTGGAAAGGGTTGACATGAAGAGCCACTTTAAAGAACTACTTTATGAGTCTCATTTCTATGTTGTCTGTAACTCTCCATCTCTCTCTCTCTCTTGTCTGGATCTCGTCTGTTGCCTCTCACACGAAGTTTGTAAATTGAAAAATTAACCCGTAAAAACAAAGTTTTTCACTATAAATTCTTTATATGCGTGGCGACTAGAGTCCTCTCGTCCTCTGGCTTGAGATGGCTGCCACCTATGGGTCAGATGAATGGCTGCCACCATTAAGCAATTGGTAATTCAATATAATTTATTTTTTCCTAAAAAGTGTAAAAGTTTGGGAAAACATTTTCACGAAAATAAATTGTCACGCACAACGAGTCTGTGTGCAAAATGTCAGCTCGATTGGATCACAGGAAGTGGGTTAAAAAACGACCGAAAGATTTGCACGGTCATAAGCAAGCAAGCACGCAAGCAAGCGAACTTAATATATAATATAAAGGATTTAAAAAGGGTGGGGGGGGGGGCTCCCAAAAGTGATTTGTTGCTTCGGACCCCCGATTGGTCGGCACCGCCACTGCTCCTTCGCCCAACACCCGTGGGGGGGGGGGGGGGGGGGGGGGGCTGCACTTCTCCGTTGGACGATCCTGAAGCAAGTGGTGTAAATTCCACATTCCTATGACACGGGCCAGTCACTCCATAGGGACAGATGCAGTTAGCGACCCTCTTAAGCGGTACTCGTTTCATTGCGATTTCCCCCCCCCCCCCACCTTGGGTGGAGCGGTGGCATAGTGGTTAGCGCGCTTCCGCTATGAACCCACCTCGCAGCGATTGATATCACAATCGGTCCTAGACCACCACCCTCCCCCGCCCCCACCCCCCACAAATTCACCATCCTACACTGACCAACCTGGTGAAATATGGTTAAAAACTAAAATCCCCCATGATTATCATGGCCAGGTGAAACCTTAATCCATTGGTGGATTGAGAATGTGTGGAGTTATTATTTCATCCGCTTTCTCGCCGTCCCTCCCTTTGCGCGCATCGCCGCCGCCAGGAGGCTCTGTCGGGGAACTACGGGCGCTACGAGGAAGGGAATGAGATGTTCTTCCCGGCCTTTGAGGACTACCTGCGCAGCACGCACGCCATCGGCCTGGAGGACTCCATCCTGCCTCAGATCAAGCACATCATCAGGTGCGGCGGCCACCGCGGTAGTAGGGCGGCACGGTGGCGAGATGTTCACCTCGCCTGGTATACGGGAGGCAGTGTCTAACGGTGGGGTCCTAACGGCGGTGGGGTGGTGGGTGGGGGGTAGTACGTGGTCGGCTGCAGGGGATGGGGGGAGGCGCGCTGGCCTTGATTAGGCTTGGGTGGGTGCCATACCATACGGCTGGCAACCGCGGCGTCTTAACGGCGGAGTCTTAATGGTGGCGCCCCCTTTTCGCAGGGAGTGCCTGCTGAGCGTGGAGGCGGAGGTGAGCACGCACGACCTCTCCTACCGCAGCTTCCAGCTCTTCGGCTTCGACTTCATGGTGGACGCCGCGTGGCGCGTGTGGCTCGTTGAGGTGAACGGGGCCCCCGCCTGCGCACAGTGAGTCCTGCAGGGCGCCGCGGGTCGCACGTGCCTTGTTTATGTTTAATACAGGGACTCCTCTACTTACGAACATTCGACTTGCGAATTATCGGAGATACGAACAAACCTGTACGTATTTCATGCAGATGCCACATGAAGGACCAGTGGCATCTACATCTGCAGAACGTGAAGATCCAGTGGCATCTACATCTGCAGAACGTTAAGAACCAGTGGCATCTACATCTGCAGAACGTGAAGGACCAGTGGTATCTACATCTGCAGAACGTGAAGAACCAGTGGTATCTACATCTGCAGAACATGAAGAACCAGTGGCATCTACATCTGCAGAACGTGAAGGACCAGTGGCATCTACATCTGCAGAACGTGAAGAACCAGTGGCATCTACATCTGCAGAACGTGAAGAACCAGTGGCATCTACATCTACAGGAGATTACAAAACTTGGAAAGCCATTCCCCGTGTTTAGTGTACATGCCGTACCACGTGTTTGGAATTGACTGGAGTAAAGTTGGACTTACAAAAAATAGACTTACGAACAGACCTCTGGAACCTAACTCGTTCATAAATAGAGGAGTCCCGGTACATATGTGTGTATGTGTGTGTGTGTATATGTGTGTGTATATTTATGTGTGTGTGTGTGTCTATATGTGTGTGTGTGTTTATATGTGTGTGTATTGGGGGAGGGGTAGTGAAGTGGTTAGCGCGCTGCGCTATAAACCTGGCGACCCGGGTTCGATTCCCGCTCACGGCTAACACCAGTGACGATTATCTGAACCGGTCCTGGGCCTCCCCTAGGTCGACTCAGCCTTAAATGAGTACCTGGTGCGGTGTGTAAATAGCACCACTGGCCACTGGGGAGACAAAGGCGGTCGGGCGTGGTGCTGGCCACCCACCCCCTCGTGTACCGTTCCGGCCTTCATAGGTGCTCGCTAACAGCACTTGCCCCTACAGTCTGTTAAGGCTATACGGGGGATCTTTGTCTTTTTTGTGTGTGCGTGTTAACACGCGCGTGTGTGTGCGTGTGCGTGTTAACACGCGTGTGTGTGTGTGCGTGTTAACGCGCGCGCGTGCGTGTGTGTGTGCGCGCGCGTGCGTGAGCAGGAAGCTGTACGACGAGCTCTGCCAGGGCATCATTGACGTGGCCATCTCGCCCACGTTCCCGCTCACCACGGCGGTGTCCGGCGCCTCCGTGTTTGTGCAGCTCTAGCCGACGGACTCAAAGCACTCGGTCCCTCCCTCCCTCCCTCCGCCCACCTCCCCACAGCTTCATTTCATCTCACCGTACCATTAAGCACTATTGTAATGATCCAGTCGTAAGCGAGCCTCTTCGCTGTCAAACCACTTCTCCGCAAATTGCACGCCACTGTCCTCCTCCCCTTTCTCCATCGCCGTCGTCACCACCCTCGTCGTCGTCACAACGAAGGTCCCGATGCACGACCTCTCAGAAACCCTGTTGAGGGGTCGCTGCACTCGGGGATGTTTGACGAATTCCTTGTGGAGTGTCGGGCGGGGGGGGGGTGGAACCTCGTGTACGTGAAGGGTACCCTTTAAAAAAATCCGCACAACTAAGTTGAACAACCTACTGGCTTGCACTGCCTTCTACGTGCCACCTCGTGTCACTCCGGAGTGGGAGGCTAGGTCACGAGATAATCTCTGCGCGGGCCGCCAACCCTCGCCTCCAAATCCCCAGATTACGCGCGTCTGCCTCCACACCCGGCTACTTACGGTGAGCTGCAGCGAGTGCAGATTTACATGCACGGTCGGCACCCCCCACCCCCCCCAGAGTTACGTAACATCATCACGATACTATTGCGAAATATAACAGCGTCTGGACGCGCGCGAGTGTCTGTTGCGGGAAGCGGTTAGCACACCTCCCTATGAACCTGGCGCCCCATGTTCGATTCTTAAACCATGGCTAACATTGGTATTATTTGAACCACGATTGACTCGGCCTTACGTGGGTGTCTGGTGTGATGTGTGAGCATCAGCGCTGGGGAGACAGTGGTGGATGGGCGTGGTGCTGGCCACACCACCTCGTGCGCTGCCCTGTCCTTCACTTGCCCCATCGGCCTTTGTAGGTGAGAACAGTCACCTTTGTCTTTGGGGTGAATGAGCGAGTGGTGGTGGAATGGTTACCTCGCTGCACTACGAACAACGGTAATCTTGGGTTTGATTCCCGGGCCACGACTAACACGAGCGGAAGGCTGCAAGGCTCGGCTCGGGATGAACGTGAGCAAGCCAAACGGTCACGTACAAGTTTCCCAAAGATCGCCGAACGAGATGACCTGTTGACCTGTCCTTACGAGGAGAGCAATGACCGATGTGGTGGACCGTGCGTGGTCGACTAGAGAAAACTTTTCCTTTTCATCCAATGCCTTAAGTGACAATTGGCTAGGCTTGGTAGCCAACATGCTGCCTAGCCCCCCCCCCCCCCCAAAGACTCGTACTAGCAGTCACAGAAGTAAACATTCCTCTTCCACGTCGCGCGAACACTTTCACTGAGCGACTCGCAACCCCGCCCCCCCGCCGCTCCCCAGGGTCGCCCCCGTCCGAGACAACGCGCACGCTACAAATACTGGGGGCCACGAGTGCAGAAACGGTGCTGTCCGATCAACTTGTACGTGGAGTGCAACGCTTTGCAGTGTGCAACGTTTGACGCCGAACTTTATTTATACTCCTACGTGCGAACACAGCAAGGTAGTCGCTCAGGTCCGGCCGCGTGAAGAGGGTTTGTCCAAAAACGCGTGTGTGGCTTTATACACGTCCGTGCCTGGCCATTTCGGATTGTGTGAACATCTTGAGAGGAGGGACAGGAGAAGGACGACAGGCGAGGCACAAATACTGGCGCTGGGTGAGGGCAGCTGATGGGTCAGGGGCGGATATGCGAGTGTTACAATCTTCCTCGCTGCTGCTGTTGCTGCTGCTGTTACTGCTGCATGCATGTGCGCTGCAGCCCGAGTGCTTTCTGTCAAAAGGGCTGTGGCTAAATCCATTAATGCCCCAGTGTTAAGCCTTCCGGTTTCGCACATTGAATTTACACGGCAACAGGAAATTAGGCTGACGCTGTAAATGCGCCCAAGAAGCCGCTGCGCTTGTGAGCAATCGTGTTTTTAAAAATATTTCTACACAACTTAGTTCGCGCAAATTTCACGTTTGTTTTAGTGTTACCCGTATTTATTTTTTGTGTACATTTCAATTTCGCATAACCGGGCAGTGAAGAGCCGCTCGAGTGCTTCGTGTTTTGGAGACGTCGGTTTTGGAGGGATTTTTCGGCGGCTCTCGAAGCGTGGCCGTCCGCACCCACGACGCGCGCCTCCAAGACCCCGCGCGGTGCGTCACTTCCAAAAAGCAGAGGGGCAACAACGTGGATTTGGCTCACTGGGTTTTAAAGAAAATTTTAAAAAACCGCACGTGACGGTTCGCGAACCATCACGATTCGGTTCACGCATCGATGCTTTGTGGCCCACTTTGGCTGCAGCATTTAAAAAATGAACGAGTCTCACACCCGGCGCAGGACCATGTAACGTAACGACTCTGATGTCCGATTCGCAAACGCGAAGGTGGCATCGTGGTCATCGCAGCGATGAGCCACTCCACCACTTCTCCAAGGCCCAATTATCTGGCTCGGCTACTTCGATGTAAAATTATAGTTGTTGCTCGATTACAACAGCCATACAAAGAAAAATACTTTTTTCGCACCGTACTTAGCCAACCGTGCTAATTGGAGGTGTGGGTTAAGGACAACAAACTAAGGACAACATAACGTAACGTGCACAAATCTAAAATAGTGAATTCTCACAATCACGATTCGAATCCATTTACAATCGGTGAGTCTACGTATCGTTGTGCCTGAAAGTGACCCACACCAAAGTCAATAATATCGAGGGTTAAAAGTAGTGCTTGCATTGCTAAGCTTCCAGAGTGAAGGGAGTTGGGGTAAGTGGACTCTGCCGCGTTTCGATTTCTCTGCTAAAGCTACCGCCAGAGGTCATTATTTGCAAGCCTGTCAACGAATCGCAAACTCACCATTGGAACCTCATTTGCCAGTAAAAAATATAATTGGTTTTTTTACCCTTCTATCTGGCAACAAAACTGACACATTTTTTACAAGGAGTCATGTTTGCATAGACCACAATACCTGCAGCCATAATGCAAACAAAAAACAACTCTGAAAATATATGCACTGTCCTTGAAGTTGATTGGTGCACACTCGAGACAGCTTTGCTTATAGCCTAGTCTATGCAAACATGACTCCTTGTAAAAAAAAAGGTGTCAGTTTTGTTGCCAGATAGAAGGGTAAAAAAACAATTATCGAATCGCCAACTCGTGAAAGGGGGACGCCACCCACAAAACAAACAGCCGGTTGTTAGGTCGTTAGGCACCCTTTTAAGGGTCAGGTGTCAGCAACCTGTGGCTCTTTTAAGGACTGCTTCGGGAGGTTATTTATTAAGGACCTGCTCGTATTCACGTGCATTGACTGCTCTTGAAATGCGTGTTTTTTTACCGAATTCGAAAAAACATTTTCTTGTTATTTTAGCTGCCGTCCCCTGTGCCCTGGGCTGCCCGCCATGGGTTTTGTGAATGGTTAAAACAAAAAACTTAGTGCATCGTGGCAATTGCTCGACTTCGCCTACAGCGCTGCCATGCCTCTTTTTCTACGTGGTCGATGCGGTAACACCACGGGGGGCGCCCGACCTGCCCTGGCAATTTCCCCACCACTCGTGGGATCGGCTGCCATCCTTGTCCTCTTCCTCTGGGAAGAGAACCAGGAAGGCACCAGTTCGAAACCCCTCTCATCCTGCCTCTCAGCCAGAGGTCGCAAACGGGTTTTGATTCCTTACCCGTACCCGGCCGCACCAGGCTCGCAAACGGGTACCCGTACCCGGCCGGGTAGGGTACGGGTATCGGGTACCTGATTACGACCTCTGGGATGAAGTCATGTTGCAGGCGCGGGTGGGTTGATTCTAGGAACTTGAATTGTGAGAAGAGTCAAGACGTTAGGAAATTAATGACAAACGGTGACTCACCAGTGACTCAGTCTACCCGTACCCGGCCGCACCAGGGTTGCAAACGGGTACCCGTACCCAGCCGGGTACGGGTAGCCGGGTATCGGGTAGGGTACGGGTATCGGGTACCCGGTTGCGACCTCTGCTCTCAGCTCTCGTCCACCTTGGTGCGTCCATGCTCCACCACCTTTCTGCTTCCGAAGTCTTTTTCCTCCCCAATTTTTTTTTGACGTCACATCCCGCACCTCGGATTAGCATGGTTGGCAAAAAAATGTTTCAACGTGTTCAATATACATACATGTATATTGAACTTCTTTCGCACCGAACGTAGCCAACCGTGCTAATCGGAAGCGCGGGAAATCGTACATACACCCTAGCCGTCGGAGTCGACTTTGTGTCAGATTGTTCTGACATGGGGGGGTATCGCTCTTGCCTTCTTCCTAATCTATCAATTTCTGGCTCGATATCCACTCTTGCAGTGCCTGAGCAGGTTGTGTCCACAAGAGCCGCTTCCTTGGGTTGCATCCTCCTTTCAGCGTCGTGCAAAGACGTCGATAATACAACGATCGCCCGCGATGGGCTTTTGAGGTTGTCACCCCCCGACCGCCAAAAACTTGGCAGGACCCTTCTGGAAAAGAAAATAAGAGTCGAGACTCGGTGAAACTTGGCCAAGTAAACTAGCGTGATATTGATTATAGGGTTTTCCCCCTTTTTTCTGGCAACAAAACTGAAACCTTTTTACAAGGATTCATGTCTGCATTAACCATAATACTTGCAGTCAAAATGCAAACAAAAACACAACACAAAAAAACTAAAGTATTGTGGTTAATGCAGACATGAATCCTTGTAAAAAGGTCTCAGTTTTCTTGCCAGAAAAAAGGGGAAATACCCTATTATTATATTTTGGTACTGGCAAAGGAGGTCTAATGATGTAGCGCGATAAGGATATGCAACCCAGAAAAGCGAACAGCTCCTGCGAGAATGCAACAAAGCCGTATGTCCCGGGCTGTCCGTCACAACATTTTAAGCTCGACTCCATAGCGCTTGTGACAGCGGTGTGATGTGTATTATAACTTCACCGCAGTGATGTCGCTCCAGTGTGTGTCCCAAGTGAACCTTGTCATTTAACAAGCGCCCAGTCCCAGTCTCGGACTGTCCACAACATTCGGGTAGAGGAACGTGAAATAAGAGCCATCTGTGTGTGTTTTTTCATTGTCTTTTGAACATGTGTGGAACTCATAAGTTATTGCTCGTGTTTTTATTTATTACTATTATCTTTACATTTGATTTCCTGCTGAACGAGCAGTGCAGAATGAAATTAATCCCTTTTTGGAAATGTAAAACAATGTCTTATGTCTCGTTTTACACGACCCGAGGTTGGGTGGAACGGTGGCAGAGTCGTTCGTGCACAGTGCCGCGAACCCGTTTATCCACGTTCGATCCCAGGTCGCAGCTCACATCGGTGGCATCTGAAGTCTTACATGGCCTTGTGCCCCCCACCCCGCCAATCCACCCGGACCGTCATGGTGAAGTATGGTGAAACAACCACCACGACGGACACGATGTGTGGAGGCCTTTGTCCAGCGGGTGATTTGACACAGGGCTGTATATTTCATGGGGGCTCCACAAATACTTTAAACCATATGACGTGACGATCCATTGAAGCTTCATTTGAAAAATGCTGCTGTGAACGCATGGAAATGAAAAAAATGCCTTTTTGAACGCAGGAACAAATAAACTCAATGGAAGGAAATAATCGTTATGCGCGAGCACGTGTCTTTTCCAACGTTTATGGCAGGGGTGGGGTAACTATTCCTTTCCGTGAGCCGACTAGAGATTTCCACAACATTTGGCGGGCAACGAAACTTTAGTGCCCACTAAACCTTTGATCACGCGATAGAACTATGCATTGAAATTATAAAAAATAATCTTTTTTATTTTACTAGGTAAGGCCCACCGAGCTACATAGCTCATTTTCAGAAGCGACCTGGCCACAAATGATAACGCAACTTAGTGGCTTATCATGTGGAAATATTTTGCAGCCAAATACTCTAAACTCATGTTTCTAAATGTGGAGGGAAAACCGGAGGACCCAAAAGGAAAATCCACGCGACCACAGGGAGGAGCTTGCAAACTCCAAATATACAGGCATCAGGGGTCAGGATTAAACCCACAACCTCCTGGTGGATACCAGGTGACAAAGTTAACATCTTGCCACCGTAGGGCCCATTAACTATGCTCAAAACAACTTTACAGTTACTCGAGCGCTCTAAAATGAGAAAAGCAGCGTTGCCAGGTAGAAAACATTCTCCCTCTGGTACCCAATCAGTGTGACGGGATAAAAATCCGTCACGTGGGTATAGGCCGTATGTGGCGGTGGCAGCAGCAGGCTGTAGGAAAGTAAGTAGCGGGCCATGGTCTGGCCTCACGAGTTTTGTCGAGGCTCCCACACCGCATGGTTTGGGAGAACCGTCACACGCTGCTGCAGTTTGGTCGGGTCACTGCGTGTGCTGTGGCCAACAGGCCCATCCTCCCATTGGCTTGTATTACCGTTGCTATCCGCACACACACACAGAGCTTTCCTCGAGGAAAGAAAACTGCGAGATGTTTTCACGTCCAACACACTTAATGTGAGCAAAAAGAAACTCGACACGTTCAACAATAACAGTGCGTCCCTCCCCACATTCCACCTCCCACCAAAATGAAAATGACACCAAAAATTCAGCGCTGCACCCCTTTTCACTTAACAATAAATAAGATACACCGCAGACACAATTTGCAAAATACAAACTGTGTTTTTTTTTATTCACGAATGTCCGGTGTTTTACCGTCGCAGTTTTCATGATGGCCATGTTTTATGTTACAAGTTCATGCATGGGACTTTCCCAACGAAAATAGCAAAATACTTTAAAATCGATTATGTGGTGTATTTCTGCAGAGATTTTGGATTTTTCTTTTGTTACGAAACCACGGAATTATATTAAAAGTACCTATATTTTTTACATTTTATTAGCTTACAACAAATGTTAACACCATAAATTTTGATAGCCCAAAATCTTAAATACAATTAAGAATGCCATTTTAGTTGCTACATGTACATTAACCACGGTATATTTTTCCTCGATTGTATAAATATATGGTAAGCCTATAGGATAGTGATCAACATGGACACACTTGCAGAGAAGTAGGAGGTAGTCACCCATTCTAAATGTTACAACAATCGGTGCAAGAGAATCCCCACTGCCCCCACTTGCTACAAAAACACCACCCACACCATTCGTGTTTATAATAATACAAATTGGAAGCTCGGTGACAAAAAAGTATAATTAAGCACCTAAAAATCAGCTACTACTAAAATGGTAAAATCTCCCAAGTTGGGAATGGGTGACTACCTCCTCCTCCGAGACAAAAGCCACATTGTGCAAGTGGTTTCTCGCGTAAATCTTTACAAGAGTGAGGGCTCTGCAAAACCTTCGCGTGGCCTTTTGAACGCGAGAGCAGAAGAGTAAGCAGTGTGTCACGTGACAGTTTAAGGAGTGGCTTAATGTTTCTTCAGAACAATTTAATTTGTGATCGACACCGGTGAACAATAAAAACTCTACGTGGGATGGGTCATTTCGATCAAGTCGGTCATGGCGACTGGAAAATTTCCATCGACTACTTTATACGTGTTCTTGGTTCTTTCGGTAAAGTCACGTAGAAGGGAAATAATAAAATAATAAAAATAATACATAATAAAATAATTCTCACGACGTTTCGGCCACAACGCAAGCAGCCGTCCTCAGGTGAAGAACAGGTCTGTCGGAAAGACAGCATTTGAATCTCTTTCCGACAGACCTGTTCTTCACCTGAGGACGGCTGCTTGCGTTGTGGCCGAAACATCGTGAGAATTTTATTATGTTTTATTTTTATTATTTTATTATTTCCCTTCTACGTGACTTTACCGAAAAAACCAAGAAGATGAATCCCTGCAGTCACGAAAGCTTTAAATCGAAATTTACTTTATACGTGGTTCATTACCTGCGCCTCCCTTAAAAATGTGCGCCCCCCCCCCCCCCAACGACGTACCGACCGAAGGTGGGAAACCCCCTCCAGGCCACGCTTAGCGTGGCGTGCTTGATGGTGCCAATGCCATCACCAAAGCCCATCCATCACCTCCCGTACAACATCTTTGACAGTAAGAGTTGAAACTTTCAACCACCGCCCTCCAAAATAGTTTCGTGCCATCCAATTAGTAATTAAATCGATAAAAGGTGTCGTAATCATGAATTCATGTAATCGGATAGCTCAGCTCTGAAGCAGATGCACAAACACGTACCGTTGAGCACACAAAGATGAACACACACACACAAAGACTACGGTTGAAAACTATTCAACCAACGGCTACGTTACACGTTAAGATAAACAATCAGCTCGGTTGCTGGGTGACTGGGTCGGGAGGAGCGCATTATTGCTTTGTATGTGGACATGGCTGGGTGGCTGAGGGTGCCTGTTGCGGATGCCCGTGCCACAGTATTGAGCCAGCACCATCGAGATCCTCGGTTCACATTGAATGAGCCTTGGGACAAGTCAGTGGTCATGTCCATTAAAAACCCTGAGCCAGTGGTAGAAATTCCATATCCCTATGGAGGGGGTCACAGCCTCCCCATGGCCACTTGAATTACCACACAAAGTGGCACTAATCAACGTATCGGCCGTGAAGCAACGATGGGCTGAGTTGGCCCGAGTCCGCGATTTGAATTGACTCACAACGTTCAACCACACCACCAATCCGGCCAGCTCCAAAACGAAATAAGAGGGACTCCCCACAGCAAGCGGGTCATGTGGCTTATTACTTGACCCCACGTCACCAAGCTGGTCAGTGCGAGTTGGTAGAACGTGAGGAGCACAGCCGTGGGTGTACAATACAGCAATGGCCGCCACCCTCTGCTGCCCACAGTGCAGCACCGCAGCCCTAATGGAACCTGTATAATGCATGGTGGTGGTGGTGGTCGCACCTATGCAAACGCAATGGTGAGGATTAAAAAAAAAAGGTCAGCGGAATTAGAACGCATGACCGCTTTGTCTGCCCCATAACGACTCGACACCGCAAACTGTGACGCACGCACCGTCCGTCGCAGCTCGCGGGTCGGCAAACCGAGACCTATGACCTCCGGCGACAGCTCACGGCCGCGGCGTCCCCGCTTCCAACTCCCGCAGGACGTCCTCCAGCTCCACAACGGAGCGCACCGGGAACCTGCGGCAGCGCGTTCCACCTCCCTCGCCGCCGTCCCTGTCGACGATCGTCTCTCGAGCCACGGGGCCGCGCACCCACACGGCGGCGGCGAAGCCGGCCGCCTGCGCCCCGCGGACGTCGCACTCCAGGCTGTCTCCCACCATGACGCAGCGGCAGGGGCTGGCGCCCAGCAGCCCGCAGCACGCGTGGAACGCCGAGGGCGCCGGCTTCTCCTCGGGCAGCTCGCCGGCGAACACCACGACATCCACAAGCTCCGCGCAGCCGCAGGCCTCGACCTTGGCGCGCTGGGTGGCGCCGTCGCCGTTGGTGAGCAGCGCCAGGCGGTAGCGGCCGCTGGCGCGCAGCCTCAGCAGCATGGCGTGCGCCGCCTCGCTCAGTCGCATGTTCTGCAGGCGCGTCGTGTTCCAGAGCGTGAAGCAGGCGGGCGCCAGCGCGGCGGCGGCCACGGGGTCGGAGGGCAGGTCGGCGAGCAGGGCGCGGGCCCACAACTCCCTGCGCCACGCGTCCGTGGACGGGAAGGACGCGTCGGGGTCGCTGGGCATGAGCGCCAGCGCGCGGCGGAAGTGAGACACCACCGGCTCCGGGTCACGGCCCGGACGCTCCGACTGCAGCAACTTGCGGATCTTGGTGGAGGAAGAGCAAGGGGATGTGTGGCGGTGTTAGTTCAGCTGCGGGGGTGGTAGTCACCAGGCTTGTAGTGGTGCACAGATCATTGGATTAAAAGCATTATTCATTCATCTTCTTGGTTCTTTCGGTAAAGTCACGTAGAAGGGAAATAATAAAATAATAAAAATAAAACTTAATAAAATAATTCTCACGACGCTTCGGCCACAACGCAAGCAGCCGTCCTCAGGTGAAGAACAGGTGTCCTTCAGACGCTGTCTTTCCGACAGACCTGTTCTTCACCTGAGGACGGCTGCTTGCGTTGTGGCCGACACGCCGTGAGAATTATTTTATTGTTTTATTTTTATTATTTTATTATTTCCATTCTACGTGACTTTACCGAAAGAACCAAGAAGATGAATCCCTGCAGTCACGAAAGCTTTAAATCATTATTAATTCGTTGATCGTTTTTCTGCACTTTAATCCCGACTGTGCTGTAAGGCATCACATCATTCAGATCCTTCACACAGGAGTGCAACCCTTCGTGTTAAGAGCATGCCCTGTGGAAGCAGCCATCACAAAGCTACCTCTGGGATGCCTTCACGTGACCTCTGGTCCACCACTGTAAACAATTAACCGGTAAAAACAAAGTTTTTCACTATAAATCCGTTATATGCGTGGCATCGGTTTTATTGTATTATTCATTTCTGTTTTTCTTGAGTAAGAGTTTTATTTTTATCACATTGGTATTTTAAATAAAATATGAAAAAAAATTTTTCCTAAAAAGTGGAAAATTTAGGAAATTTTATTTCACGAAAATAAATTGTCACGCACAACGAGTCTATGTGCAAAATGTCAGCTCGATTGGATCACGGGAAGTGGGTTAAAAAACGACCGAAAGATTTGCACGGTCGTAAGCGCGCAAGCAAGCAAGCAAGTGAACTTAATATAAAGGATTTAAAAAGCAGCATTTTTCCCATTCCCCTTGTCGTCGACGGTGTGTGTCGCATAATAGAAAAAACAACGTTATGATTTCTAGAGGAAAATCATTGGTGACCAGGCTGCCACCATCAACTCGCGACACCTGAAAACCTGGCTTAATCACAGACCGCCTCGATTCAACCGATGATCTCAAGAGGTGTCAGCTCAGCACTCTGACCTTTGAACTAACAACAATTACTTTGCTCACGACACGAACATGAATATGCACGTGTACAAAATCGTCTCTTTGCGATTCGTGTAAAAAAGGTCATGTAAAGAACATGCAAGTATTACATTTGGGCAAGACAAGACTGTACAAACGAGACAGGGAAAAAAAACTAATACAAATCCAAACAGTGAAAATTATCAGAAATAATCGATTGAAGAGTTGAATTGCAACACGAAACATCATAATTATTCTAATTGCTGGCAGGGGGTATCATTATGTGGCTAGCGGTGATCCACGCCTCTGATCCATCGACTGCTTTTGGATGATGGGATGAGCTGATTCGCGCGGATTTTAGTGACGTTAAACTACAAACCTCCTGACCTGGGTTAATGTCTGTAGAGCAAGTAAGTTCATCACTATGTGGAGCCTTTTCAGTGTTACACACAAGGCTTAATTTCAGCCAGGTCGGTTCTGGTCAGTGACCCAGAAAATATTTCCGCACCCGGCACAGGACATCTAGTATACCTACCACTATGGCTGTGGATACAAGTCACGTGCCAGCTACTCCAGTCCACCGAGCAGCCTAGAAAATATTCACTGGAAAATTAAGCCCTTGGTTAATACACCCGGACTGGTGGCTCGGCAATCGAGCGAGCGGCTCGCAATTGTGAAAGGTTGTTGAGATTCTGGTCGGGTGTTGGCTCGGCCAAATAAAATGGTTGTTCTGTGGATATCCTTGCACCCACCATAGGAATGCAGAATGTCCGCCACTGGCTCAAGGCCGTAAAAACGAGATGGGCGCTGCGTCAATGTTCATTGAGCAGGAAATCAGCGACTTTTTTTTAACAACAGTTTCCCACCACAATTAATTCACTCCCTTAACGTGGAATTAGCTGAACATGCCAACTGGAGTCTCGAAACTCAGCTAAGACGTTTCGGCATAAATAAGGGACAATGTTTTGTTCCTGGTGACGGGCAATTCCCTTCATTCCCTTCTCTATTGTTGACACGAGGATGCCCGGGTGGAGATGGGGGATATTCTTTATACAACACCCAGGGGGGTATGCTCAATCAAATGGCATCATGACTCTTTGTCCACGTTCACCGAGGATGACAGACCCACGGGGGAGGTCCCTATACGTAATGTTTACAATAATCGAAATGTAAATAATTCCTGTGTTTTTTCCGTATACAAGAGACAGACGTATTGTATTTGTGTTGTATTTGTTTTACTATTGCCAAATCATCATACGACTCTCAAGGCGGCAGACTGCTTTCCAAAATATTTCCAAGAATTGGGTCCCATTGAAAATTATTATAATTGTATCGGTTTATTGTTACTTATAAAAAAAACTGACCAAAACTGAATGCCTACATAATACAACTAATAAGCTTTGAAAATAACGGACAGAGTATTGCGTTTTGTGGAGAAAGAATACAATAAACAGTGCTCTATGCGGTACTGTAGAAGTAATTCAAATGTGTAAATGATGAGGAAAGCCATACCAGCACAAAAATGAACTGCAGGCCAGAAATAAACAGATTTAACAATGTGCGCACACACACACACACACAGGTGTGCAGTATTGCATGGATAAAAGCTCTGAGCCTTATCTAGACCACCAGCTCTGAAGAACTGAATGTGTGGCCAATTTGTCATTTACACAACCGCAACTCAAAAGAGTTGAGAAAATGTGGCCAAGCAAAACAACCAACAGGCTGCGGTGAAACAAGACACAACCGTAGACCGGTTTCAACATCATTAGGATTCATCAGCACGGTACAGCCGTCAATCTTCACCGCTGACATATGCCTCATGGAGCCCCATATATGGAGAGGGCTTTTTACCTTGACGTAAATTTGTATGCAGGCTGGAGACGACGACTTTAGCAACACTCACACATAATGGTGTGCATTGCATTGAGTACAGCACTCTCTCACATTACGTGTTGTACAGATAGGCATCACATAAGCATATTATGGAGTTCACACACACACGCACATACGTATTGTACTTGGTCACATACTGGATGCATTGTAATTGGCCAAACCAGCGGGGAGTGACACACGACAGAAGAGCATGACAAATATCTCCAATACCAAACATGTCTAAAGTTTGTACGGTACATTTACACTACTGTACAAAGTTATCACAATGTCTATGCACAAGTAACAGCCATTTTTGGGGGTTATTTGACAATACTTCACCACGCTGGTCAGGACTTGTTGGTGGAGGTTGGTATGGAGCATAAGACGTGGGAGCATAGACGTTATACTGTATAGTAGTAGTACCATAGTCCAACGATACATTTTGCTGCAATGATCTCTGCTGCCCATCACCGAAGCCCCAATAGCGTCGATGACATTGACCTGGGTGCCACGGTGGCGAGATGTTAACCATCTCGCCTGGTATGCAGGAGGTCGTGGGTTCCGTCCCGACCCTTACGCCTTGCTGTATATTTGGAGTTTGCGGTGTCTCTCTCTCACTGTGGTCGCGTGGATTTTTCCCCGGGTCCTCCAATTTTTTATCTCCACATTTAGACTCAACATGTGTTTAGATTATACGGCCACTATAAAAATCAATAGCACGCATTTTAGAGTATTCGCCTGCTTTGCATTTCCGACGTGATAAGCCACTTTGTTGAGTTACCGATTGTGACCAGGCCGCTTCTGAAAAAGAGCTATATAGTTCAGTGGGCCTTACCTGGTAAAATAAAAAAATAGCTTAGTTCATTGTTAAGTTTGACCTGTTTGTATATTCAGGCTGACAACCCTGCTTAGCTTCTGACACCTGACGAGCTCGGTGGAGAAGGGCATCCGGGGTGATTCGGCGTTGGTGCCCCGTTTGATTGTGCCACAAATAGCAGGAGGAGCACACGGGTGGCTCCCGATTCAAACGAACTACGTGCTTGAAGCACCGTGCCTTGTGATAAATAACAGCACGGTGCCAAGCGTACAATAATCTGCCTGTGTGTGCGTGTCTACGGAATGCGGGATGTGAATCACACACACGGGGAGCGGTGGTGAAGCGGTTAGCACGCTGCTCTACGAATCCGGTGGCCCGAGTTCGATTCCCGCTCACGGCCAACACCGGTGACGATTATCTGAAACGGTCCCGGGCCTCCCCTAGGTCGACTCAGCCTCAAATGAGTAACCCGGTGCGGTGTGAAAACATCGCCACTGGGGACACAAAGGTTGGCCGGGCGTGGTGTTGGCCACCCACCCCCTCGTGTGCCACAGTGCCGGCGTTAATAGGTGCTGCTCGCTGACAGCACTTGCCCTTACAGTCTGTTACAGGCTACACGGGGGATCTTTGTCTTTGTGTCTACGGAACGCAGGATGTGCATCACACACGTGGCCACGGCGAGATTGTGAGTCATCATTGCTTGATTGTAAGGGGAGGGGAGGTAAAATTGGATGGAAAAGTTGCATACCAGTCAACCCATGCGGTTTAGCCGTATTCTTGTGCAGGCAGGGAAACGGAGTAAAAAAATGTTTTTTTGTGTGTTTATCCCCTGTTATGATACTTTATAGGATGAGCGTTGAGATTAATAAGGGCATGGGGGGGGGGTGATCAATAAAGTCTGAATTTGTCTGTAATAAGGTAGGGCACTGACAAGGGGTTGACAGGTTTGCAGTTTAACTGTTGTCAAGGAGTGGGGGGATCAATTCCACTGCTGGATAGGAACACCCAAAGCCGTGCGGATTGCAGATTTGGTCGGGGAGGGGGGGGCAGAAGGGGGTTATTTGACCATACTTCACCACGCTGGTCATTGCGGGTTCATATGGTGAAGGCGGAGAGGCGCATACAAAGTGCAGTCCAACAATGGGCAGTTCCCGCTAGTGTACCAGCAATAACTGAATATGGTAACACCACCACACAGTTCAGTATACACACAGCTCATTGTTGCAAATGTCTTTACACAGCACAAGGCTTTGTGGTTTCAAATTAAGTCACAACAAGTATCACAATCGACCTCCCAACCCAGTGTGCGGTCCAAACCCATAGACCATCACAGACGGAGGAGACACGGGGGGACCTCTCCGTCAGCACGAATCCAATCATCACATCTACTCATCCCCTATTGAAGGAACGAAACAGGACGATGCCTACACACATCTGGTTGCTGTCCGCCTGAGGATGCCGGTTGTAATTATTGGCGAAACGTCGTCCTCTTAATTGTAAATGTTGTTGTGGCCAACACACAACCGGTGCGTGTTGCTGCAAGTAGTGAACGAATTGTCGTGTTCTGTTTAAGTGGTTTAACGACACATTTATAGATTTACGAGATTAACCCCCCCCGCCTCCAAAACAACCCCTCGATTATCGATGACATTGGTCGCGAAAGCAACAACGAACCCGGCCACAAAGACAAAGCTCCCCCGTGTAGCCTCTGACAGACTGCTGGGGCAAGTGCTGTTAGCGAGCAGCACCTATGTTTATTCCACGCCGCAACCAGGTACTGTACTCGTTTGAGGCCGAGTCGACCTAGGGGTGGGGCCGGCGTTGTGTTGGCCGTAGAGCGGGAATCGAATCTCGGGTCGCCGGGTTCGTAGCGCAGCGTGGCGCTAACCGCTGCACCACCGCTCCCCACCCCAACCACACACAAAGACAAAGATCCCCCGTATAGCCTTAACAGACTGTAGGGGCAAGTGCTGTTAGCGAGCGCCTATTAAGGCCGGGAACGGTACACGAGGGGGTGGGTGGCCAGCACCGCGCCCGACCGCCTTTGTCTCCCCAGTGGCGATGTTTACACACCGCACCAGGTACTCATTTGAGGCTGAGTCGACCTAGGGGAGGCCCAGCCAACTCAGCCACACACAACAACAACAACACCAACACAACAACAACACAACAACAACACACACAACGCCCGCAGTAAACGCGTTACACGACACCGGCTCCTGCCAACAAAACAAAAAGTCCTCCTCCTCCTTCACCTTTTCGTACGCCTTGACATCCGCTCCCTGCGTGTCCACCAGAGTGTTGTCCAGGTCGAATATGATTCCCTCTACGTGGTCCATCTTTCTCGCAGTCGTCTCCTCCTCCTGCTGCTGCTGCTGCCTCTGCTGCTGCTTCTTCCTCCTTCTGGCTGCAATGAGGCTGCTCCTGCTCCACTCCCTCGCGCTATGCCGGTGCGCTGTGTCAATTTGAATTCCGTGACATTGAGACGGCCTCTCTTATGTGCACTGCGCATTGTGAAACCCACTCAGAGAGGAAGTGATTGCGTCACGTTTCTCGTCGACACGCCTTGCTCCCGATGTCCCCCCCCATCTCCTGTTCCCCCCTCCCCCTGTCGCCCCCTCCTCCTGCTCCCCCCCTCCTCCCGCCCCCTCCCCTCCTCCTGCCCCCTCCTCCTCCTGTTCCCCCCTCCTCCTGTCCCCCCCTCCTCCTACCCCCCCCCCCATCTCCTACCTCCCCTCCTCCTGTCCCCCCTCCCCCCCCCTGTCCCCCCCTCCTCCTGCCCCCCCCCTCCTGTTCCACCCCATCCTTCTGCCCCCCCCCTCCTCCTCCCGGTCTCCATTACATATTTATAATCCCACAGCCGATTGAATGGCTTTCCAGAACATAATTATCCTGCCGCGTGTTTATTTCGGCGGGTAAAACTAACTCCGGACGGGGCTTAGACGTTCTGGGTCAGAATCTAAATATGTATTTATCCTGGAGGAATCCGATGAGCTATAAAGCTCCCCCCCCCACCCCACACAGATATCCATTAGGGGCACAGGGTCAAAACTTTACAACACAAAAACTCGTCAGGAGTGCAAAACAAACACCACCCTAGAAAAATAGAAATAAAAATGAACTATTCCAATCCTACCAGGTGAGGCCCACGGAGCTATGAGCTTCCTGTTCAGAAGCAACTCGGCCACAAATGACAGCTAAACGAAGTGGCTTATCACGTGGGAATGTATAGCCGCAGAATAATCGAAATACTCCCAAGTCACATGCCTTGTGAAACGAATGTGCCCAGGATTACCCACGGCGTTTCCTGGCAAGAGCACTTACCCATAAACTCTGGGACCCTTCCGTTAAATGCGTAACGCAATATTGTAAACACCCCATGTGATGCCGTGGAACATTATGGATAAATGTCCGAATATAGGTCGGTAAATTTAATATTTGACAGTGTAAAGATAATCATAATAGTATCAATGTTAAATGTGTTTTCAGGAAGGTACTTTTTTCACTGCATCTCAAGGTTTGTTGGTGTCATGGTGAAACTACTATATAACAATACTTCCCCTTTTATTGCTTAACTATCAAGTGTAGTCCTGAATTATGGGTTGTTTGTATTTTTTATTGCAAGGCACGTTTGGAAATGCACCGCTGTATGCCCGAATCATGTCATTATTTCTCACAAAGCTAACATTTCAGACCATACACACACGGTAAATTGTCTGCATCAAAGGATTAGTGGGCAGAAAGAGCCCGCAATGTTTGATAACACACAGTGCCACCACATATCCCTAGAATCATGCAAATACAGTGGACGAGGGGCAATGAATGCATATAGGCACAGTCCACAGTAACCTGCTGTCTAAAGAGCACAGTTATCTTTGGAAAGATAACAGAATTTAAACCCCCTTGCCTTATTCTTCGGTGATTCATTAAGGCCCCCCCTGGAGTGTGTGGTATTAAATAATTACGTTGCAGCTTTTGGACACGGGTTAATAATTGTGTTAGAATGCCAGGGTAGCTTTAAGTCTAGATTACAAACTTGGTATTCATTACTTTAGCGTATATATTTAAAACGTGTAGTTTACAAAGTGTCATTCTTTTTACGTTCACATCATTTGATTTGTCCGGATAAGAACTTCAAAAACACAATCGGCGTAAAAATAATTTTATTTCAAGCACGAATACTTGCGATATTCACGTTTCCCTGTGGGCGGTGGATGCATATATACAGTATCAACAAATCCAATTAGAGAAAACGCATTCACAAAGCAGCCTTGAGAACACAGCTGTTGTTTTGATAGCTCAAGCAAGGCAGCGTGAATAAGTCGCTGCGTCTCAGTTTACTCCCCGTTTCAAAACATCACACCACAATCACAAAGTATAAACCGCACTCGACCTCAAAATATCACTCCAAAATGAGTCCCTGCAAAGACAAGTGTGCTGAGTTGAACATCTGTTCACAGGCTGTGAGAAGGCAGGAGACATTCCACATTGTTTTAATGACGGGGCAAGTCAATGGATAAGACAGCTTCTTAAAATACACGAGTGTGCGTCCTCAAAACATACTGTGACCTTGGTTCTTTCGGTAAAGTCACGTAGAATGGAAATCATAAAATAATAAAAATAAAACATGTTTTATGTTTAAATTTTTATTATTTTATTATTTCCCTTCTACGTGACTTTACCGAAAGAACCAAGAAGATGAATCCCTGCAGTCACGAAAGCTTTAAATCGATACTGTGACCTGCATATAACGTGGATTTTTTGGGGTCCTCGTGTAAAAAAATGTAATGGTAAAAATGTGAAAACGTTGGCAATTTCAACGGCGTGCAGAGCCATGCTGAATCTTTGCCGACTGCGTCTCCACGCTGCACAGAAACGTGACTGAGTCTGGCGGTACCAGTTTTTGGGACTGGACTGAGCGCCCCCCCCCCCCGCTCCTCCACACACACCTCGGGGGAGCAAGTAAGTTCTGATAACGTTACACTTTTTTTCAAGTCACTTTACAACATGTCATACACTATTTGTATTTTAACATCCTTTGACATTTTTCAGCACTCAAAATTAGGGGCAAAAAATCGGCCTCAATCGGTGTTCATTGAAATAATATTTTTTTGTTAATTAAGAAAATGGATGAGCCTGGTATTTCGAGGACGGCACTGTAAAAAAAATCATTGACGGGACAGGGCTTAGGGGTGAGAGGTGGGTGGGACAACGTTCCCTGGGTGATGCTTTTATATTTTAATAATCTGTGCAGAGAGGACATGGTGACACCCTGTCGGTCCCGGTGCTCGGCACGCGATCCAGAGCGATGCGCGCGAACGTGCCGCCCACGTGACCCTTGGTGAGGCGGCCGGGGTTGATGCAGACGCAGCCGCACGCGGTCTGAGGATGATACGATATGACAAAGGAGTGCGATGATTGCATGCGCATGTGTGTGTGTGTGCTCCGACGTATCCGCAACATCCACAGGAGACTAAACATAGTGGTGACCATATTCTTGGTTCTTTCGGTAAAGTCACGTAGAAGGGAAATAGTAATAAAATAATAAAAATAAAACATAATAAAATTCTCACGACGTTTCGGCCACAACGCAAGCAGACGTCCTCAGGTGACGAAACAGAGCCGTCGGAAAGACAGCGTCCAAATGGACACTGCTAAGCTTGGCAGCGCATATTAAGCTGGGTGGGAGGAGAGCGCCTTGACAAAGGAGTTTACATATCAACAGAGGAATTTAGCATATTGATGACAAATAACTAATCCCATATCTGACCATGTTCAGGACTTGTAGGCGACCAGATGAGTCGACTGGTTTATCTCCACTGTGTTCAACCGGCATACTGTAAGAGGTCAGAACACTTCCTCGCACAGATCGACTTTGGACTTCCCTCCCATCGTCTCTTTTCACAATTGTGCTGTTTGTTTCTGGCTCTTTGGCTTTTATTGGCCCTTTGACTTTGTGTTCGGCAATCCCAATAAAAAAAGCAAAGATCACACATACAGTACGTGAAAAGTCCATTACAATTTAGCGAAAAGATCATGACACACAAAGGATATTTTGGGAAAATCATTGGCAATAATATTCACTGGCACATTGACTGTGTGAGCTATGCCAAGTTGTACAGCAATGGCAGTGACCCAGTTCTGTCTGGAATACAACAAGAGGAGGAGATGGTGCAGCAGCAGACAGTGCCGGTAGAGATTGCCATGACAACTGCCCTAAATTTTTGGAAGTGGCCTTCATAGACTGTAAATTATTATAAAGTTGATGCTTCGGTGGGCTTGTACGTAAAATAAGAGGCTACTTAAAAATAATAAAAGGGTAATTTATACTGTGCCTGAAATGAGAGGAAGATCTTGATGCTTTGGCTAAATGGCATTGTTCCTCCTCTCAGTGATGGTATTGAAATCCTGTAATTATTCGAAATTAACCTCTCATTTTATAGACAGCAAAGGCACATGATGTTAGCGAACACCGGGGAAAAGAGGACAGATTGTCAGCATCGTAGAGCAGCGTGCAAACCGCTGCATCTCCACTCCCCACTTGCATACACAGGCACAAAGTAAAATGGAAAACAAACTATCTGAATGGTTAAAGCTTTCACCAAACAGTATTTATGCTCCGCCTATTTGCATAGTAAATAGTCCTTTTGTACAAAGACAATGACACAGTTTACTCTCCTGTATCCATGGGCAGATTATTCGGTTTGCAGATTAGCCATGCCGTACAAGAAAATATATTTAAGTGTGCATTGGTTTAATTATTAAATCTCCTCTTTAAGAGTAAGACGCCCACGTGATGGCAAACATGTTATTGTTACGCTTGTTTGTATGCAGAACTGCTTTCGCAAAGTACGTAGCTAACCTTGCTAACCGGAGGTATCCAGAAAATCCTCGAGTCTCAAGACACTTTTTCAGAAGGGTACCTGCAGTAGCGGGTAATGTTGCTGTGTCATCCTGAATTAACAATTTGCAAGCAAACGTATTACTCTAAGGTGCAATAAACAATATACACTTTATATAGTCTAACTCACGCACGTTCCACATCATGAGTTTTTAAAAAATCTGGACCACCTTGTCCACCACCGTTACCTCAGAGCTGACTAACATAAAGCTCCCCTACTCACACAGACACACGGCGACTCACCGTGTAGCCGTGACTGTTGAGGCAAGGGCTGTTACCGAGTATCACCTATGAAACCCAGAATGGCACACGAGGGGGTGGGTGGCCAGCACCACGCCCGACCGCCTTTGTCTCCCCAGTAGCGATGTATTTACACACCGCACCAGGTACTCATTTGAGGCTGAGTCGACCTAGGGGAGGCCCAGGACTGATTCAGATAATCGTCACTGGTGTTGGCCGTGAGCGGGAATCGAACTCGGGTAACCGGGGTTCGTAGTGCAGCGCGCTAACCGCTACACTACCGCTCCCGTGGGTGTGGTTACCAGGCCTACATACACACACTCACACATCCGGGGGAAAGAGCAGTTAAGCAACACCCAACGAAATCATAACCACAGGATGTGACAACACCACGGCACCGCACCTTGACGAAGTAGCGGAGATCCGAAGGGATGATCAGGACGTCGGGCGTGACGGGAAAGCGTGCGTGCACCTGCACGGTCTCGTAGTTCACGTTGATCTCCTCGGCCGGCGGGTAGAGCGGGTAGTAACTGCAATGCGTAGGAGTAACGAAGCCACACATTAACTGACGAGAGGGAGCATGTGCGCTGTTGCCTCTGTTTAAACGTATGCTATTGGGAAACACTCATATGGGAATGCCACCCTCCCTTAGTTTGTTGTCCTTACCCCGCACCTCCGATTAGCACGGTTGGCTACGTATGGTGCGGAAGAAGTTCAACATACACACATACACAATCCTTATGGATGAAATGCCGTTTAAAGTTGTCAATTTAACACACGCGGACTTATTTTGTTGTGCTGTATACGATTCTGGCAAATGAACATTAAGTGGCCTTTGGCAGGCCACGTGGCGAGAATAACCACCAAGTGACATCTAAAGGGGGGAAACGCAGCACCCAAGAGGACGTCTACCCCGACGAGATCGGCTCGTGTGCTGGTGCCGAGTCTTTGCATCTCTGGACCGGGAAGGATGGTGGCAACTTGGTGGGGGGGATGGGGCGGCCTTCATCCAGCAGTGGATTGCTCACGGCTGAAATGATGATTCGATATAACGACGTAAATATTTATTCATTAAAGGTCTTGGGGAATATAAGGATATTTCAGGAGAATCCTGCATTGGGCCATTAACGCCAATCAATTTCATTTTCAAAGATCGGTTTTGCATTTAAGAGCAAAAAAGAGTACGTAGAAGAACCCCCCCCCCCCCCCCGCACATTTACAGATTCACAAACTAATTTTCCAACTCCTTGGCCACCTTACATGTCAGTGGCTTTTTGAAGTGTCATGCATCTTTAGTGCTAGCTTACTGGCGTGCGTCACCATGCCTGGCTGTATGTAACGGCAAACTAGGAGATATGCTCATCTTATCGGCATTACGAGTCCGTAGAGGACATTGTTTCACCTCGAAGGTCACTGTGAGCTCTCCCGTAATTCTTTATCCTTGTACGACCTCTCACATTACCAGCAGTGCTCCTGTAAATGAAGTAAAAAAAAAAATTCCCCAAATCCTACGCTTCACGCAGTGGCAATTTCCATTCTCATCGACCCATGTATATTATTTTCAGCAGATTAACGTAGATTAAGTCATCCACATTTGAAAGAGAAAACCTTCTTTGTAGTAGGGGGAGTGCAGTAGAAGGGTCACCATGACACGGGAATACGACATCGTACGATGCAAAGTCCACGATACTCGCATCGTCGTTTATAGAAAATTTGTTTTATCATTGCTCCCTTTTTTTTATTGCGTTAGGGCCTGACAAGGTATTTATCAAACAACAAAAGCAATCATTTATGTTCGAAATAAAGAGATAATTTCCATTAAGCTAGTGATTTGCAAAAAGGTTTTCTGTAGTTGACAGTACAGCGGTAATGCGACACCATAATTTCCGTAGTCCATTTAAAATGAATTGTGTAGCTAACATCATGTGCATTATACACATTATAGATATTTAAGTTGCAATGATTAGAAGACTTATGGCAGACTTTTGTTAAGTGAACTGGAGTTGAAGAACGTCCAATCCTCATTAATATTGGGAGTACAGAAAAGCACAACACAATACAATAAACATGCGAAATAATAGTTATGGGAAACTGATATCACCATGAATGTCATATCTTAAACCAGATGGTTGCATGCTGTAAGGGTATATCTTGGAGGTCGATGCGTGTCTAATGTGCAGCAGCTGCGGGATCTGGCATAGGGCAGAAAGTCCTGGCGAGATGTGGTGGTGGCATCAATAGCTTTAGCCACGGTAACATCTCAATCTTTGTAAAAATTTACATCGTATTATTAAAATCATATCGTGGCAACCTCGCGCGTGGACCATCTGGAGTTTGGCCACTGCTGGCTCGAGGAGTTTAAACGACGGCGGTGGAGGCGTCGCTCACCTTCTCTGTGTCAGCAAGTGCGTGACGAGTCGCGTGAAGCGGTCCACACCACCAGGAGGGCTGCGGGTCAAAACGACGCAGCGCGCATCACAAACCTACGAACGGTAGAAACCCTGAGCCTCGTCTTATGGGTTAGGCCACAATGTTTATCAATCTTCTCCCAAAATTTTGCCACGCACTATTATCCTGGATCAAGGCGAAGGGAAATCAAGTGGAAATGGGCAGGCCAAGTCGCAAGAACTGACGAGAGATAAGGGACAAAATGAACTCAAGTGGATACCGAGCAGAGGAAGACAGTGGAAGAGATAGCGGCTAGATGAATTCAAAGAGTTTGAACGCCAATCCTCAACAGGAGCGACTGGATATATTCGAGGAACGGCGAATAAATGTCCGAGGCCTTTGGCCAGCAGTGGGAAATTACATGCGGACAACAACAACGGACAAGGGACCCAGTCTCCAAATCATGACAACTCCTTGAAATGTGGAAGGGGTGATCATTACATCTCTACTCGACAAACGGCCGCAGTGCCTGTGCGTATAACGCTCCCGCTTTCACCGTTAATTTTGCTAACCTTAGGTTGGACGACGCATTGATTTGGCGACCAACGATAATGCTTCGTAAGCTCGACAAAACACACACCAAATCGCACCTGCGATTAGCAAGGTTGGCTAGGTACGATGCAAAAGAAGTTCAACATACATGCCAATGACGTGTGTAAGAAACTATTTTTAGATTTGACTATATGCTGGGCACAATGGGGTTCACGTCACCCTTGCAGACACTAAGAGGCGCTATAATTTGCCCTGAAATGTTAAAGTTTCCATCCTCGAGTTGAAACCCCGACCCTGAATTACAACATCTCATCGAACTGCAGCAGGGTGTGGAGGGAGAGCCGAATAATTCCGCCCTGGTTTTTGCAGGACGACAAACACTCACCTGATCTCCTCGGAGCTCATGTGGAAGAGGATGTCGGTGGACGTGACGCCGACCACGACGCCGTTCACATTGAGCGTGCACGGCTCCGACACAAACATCACCCTCTGTGGGGGAACCACGGCAACGGCTCAGGGCGGGCATATAGGGGGAACCTTCTCCTTACCGCTGGATGAATAGAAATGTTAAATACCCTCGACGACAGGTAACCACACACGTTGGTAAAGTCTGATCACCCCAGGACTGTACCTATCGACCGTGTGCTCGGAAATACCTGAAAGATAGAAGCAGGTGGTTAATCGTGGCGCTACTAAATTTAGAGGCAAGGTGTTGTCAGCTTGAATATATCCCTCTTGCTGGTATCCGATTAGTGTTCCCAAGTTGCTTGCAAGAGATGGAGATTCATCGTTTGCGGGCTGTTCCTTGAGTTTGATTCCCAGCCGTGACAAACGCTACTGGCGAGTGATATGTGAACCGGTCCGGGGACTTTTGTTATTTCGAATTGGCATAAAATGAGTATGTGGTGCGGTGCGTAAACCATCAGCACTCGGGACACAAAGGCGGTCCGGCACGGTGTTGGCCATAATCAACACCTTTGCGTGCCATGCTGGCCTTAATATGTGCCCGCTAACTGCACTTCCCCTAAAAGTCGATGTAGGCTAAATGGGGGATCTTTATCTTTTGTGTGTGCACATCCAGTGGCGAACCTGTAAGCCTTTGAAAAAATCCGGGAGGGTGAACGGAGGCTGAGGGTAGATGCAGCAATGATGCACGTCCCTAAGCGATGGCACGATCACCAGTCGCGAGCCCGAGCTACAATGACAAACAGCAAGTTCAGTAAACAACAAAGCCAAAGGATCCCCCTTATAGCCTTAACAGAGCATTGGGGCAAATGCTGTTAAGCGAGCACCGATGAAGGCCGACATGGTACACAAGCAGGTCGGGTGGCCCGCACCTCGGCCGGCCACCTTTGTCTCCCTAGTGGCGATGTTTACACACCACAACAGGCACTCACTTGAGTCGACCGAGGGGAGGTCAAACTTTGTGGAAACCCACTGCGACCCTGGGCGGAAATCTTGGACTCATCCACTTTTGAAAAAAAAAAAATTCTAAAAAGTGTTAACATCTTAACACTCTGAAACCTAGGACAGCAAAATAATCGAGTATATTTGATATTAAATTAATTCTGCTTTGCCTGGCACTGGGGGTTAAAATGCGTACATTGCACACTATTGACTTCACACGAACTACCCTTGACAGAGCGTCTGGTGCAGGGAAATAAATGGGGGGGGGGGGGGGGGGGGGGGAGTCCCTCCCGGGCCCCTCCCCTTGTCCGACTCCCCCCCCCCCCAACCCCCCAGCATCTTCATAGCCCAGCACCTAGGACCCTTCGGCCTGCGGATCCTTGTGCAGTTGCACCTCCTGCACGCTCTAGCTACGCCACTGGTCGAGTGTTGAGCCGTAGATGCATTTTGAAGCTCTGCGGTTTCACGGGCAGGGATTTGTCGCTGACAACGATGTGAGGCCACACTGGCTGCAGGAGTGTGCGAAGAAGGTTAGGTTGGTGGTGTTCGAGGGGAAGGGTTAAGACGAGGGTGACAATCTGATCTCACGCGTACCTCTGTGTCCGCTCCACAAGGAGCCTGATTGTGTTCGCAAAGAGCTCTGCAAAGGTCTCCTTTAGCTGGCATTTCTATAAAGGAAGAAAAACAAACAGGGGTGCACCTTTAAGAAAGCTTAGTAAATGCAGAATCGGTCTTGAGTCAAAGGAAATACTGAACGTGTGTGCGTGTTACGAGGGCAGGGCGACGCACGAGATGAAGTATCGACAGCGGTGTTCGTACCTCCACGTGCTCGTGCTTGGCATCAACAAACGGCCCCATCTGACCACAGCGCGAGATTTCACAAGAGCGACGGTTAGAGGAGCGGACTCAAAACACCACCGACAAGCAGCAACAGAATGTTCCCCTTGAAATTGTGACGGCGCGTTGTGACCATGTGGTGCGACACACCAGCAGGCAGACTTGCGGGCGTTCGCGGTTGATGACAGTGATGAGGTCGCACAGAGGCTCGTAGTTGATGCTGTCCGACGTGCTGAACGGTCCGCACGCCACCAGCATCGTCACACTGCCTATGTTGCACGCACACACACGTGGAAACAAATAGACAAAAATGAAAATATCCAACATATATCCTTTATTAAGAGTATAAGAGCAGGTGCTGCTAGTAATCATAATAATGCAATTTATAACGCGCGCAAATTTGCGGACGTAACGGCCGCAACTCAGAGGCGCGGAGCCAAGCTCAGAGTCGCTCGAAAGCACGGTTAAGTCTCTCTTGAAGGAGGCGATTGAGGTGATGCTGCGAATGTGCAGAGGGGTGACGGCGTTCCAGACTGTTGGGGCTGCCACCGAGACGCGGCGCATAGACATGACCATCCTGGATCTAGGTATCAAGAGGAGGTCGTGAGTCGCGCTGCGCAGGCATCTGCCGTGTGCTGAGCTGCAAGTTGTCAATAATGGCCCTTACCATGCCCGGCCACCTTTGTCTCACCAGCCGTGATGTTTAAGGACAGCGCAAGCAGACCGCTTAAGGTTATATCAAAGTAGAGAGGCTCAGGACAGGTGCACTGATGTGCATCACCAGGAATTAAACCCAGGGGTGTCAGGTTGGCAGCAGTGTGTAAACCACCGCACCACCATTTCCCACTCAGACAAAGTAAAATGCCAAACAAACCATCATAATTTTGACTTAAAACTTTCGCGACTGCAGGAATTCATATTCTTTGGTTCTTTCGGCAAAGTCACGTAGGTAGAAAAATAATAATAAAGTGAATACAAATAATAAACACAAGTGGTCGTCATTATTTTTCCTGATGACGACCACTTGTGTTGTCATCGAAACGTCGTGGTTTTTAAATCCTTTATATTAAGTTCACTTGCTTGCGTGCTTGTTTGCTTGCTTACGACCGTGCAAATCTTTCAGTCGTTTTTTAACCCACTTCCCGTGATCCAATCGAGCTGACATTTTGCACACAGACTCGTTGTGCGTGACAATTAATGTTCGTGAAAAAAACATTTCCATAATTTTACACTTTTTAGGACAAAAATATAATATTTAATTACCAATTGCTTAATGGTGCCATGCAATCATCTGACCCATAGGTGGCAGCCATCTCAAGCCAGAGGACGAGAGGACTCTAGCCGCTACGCATATAAAGGATTTATAGTGAAAAACTTGGTTTTTACAGGTTATACTTGTTATTTGTATTTTTCTATATACGTGAATTTATCGAAATAACCAAAGAATATGAAAACCATCATAATGGCTATTACTTTCTCCAAATCAACATCTACATGTCTGCTATAAATACAAAGAGTGGTTTTGTATTAACATAATGAGTGCTGGCATAGCACAAAAGGAGATGATGTGCTCCAAGTAATAATTTGAGGCTAAGAGGACACAGAGCAGGCCCTAGTCTAGTTTAGATATTACTTGCCACTGACATTAACCATGGCCGGGAATTGAACTCGGGTCGCCAGGTTCTTTGTGCAGTGCGTAACTGCTCCTTCACTCACACAGGTACATGCACACACACACACACACGTGCACAGACACTACCACACCATCTTTCGAGTGATTATTATTCATGATCATCATCATTGCCATCACTAACACCATCAAGATTCTCACCAGTATCTGAATGACCTCAACTTAAATCATTGCATTGTTTTTTTTGCAATTGTCATATATTATCTAAACAGATGACCTAACAAAAACCACAACGATGACCACGATGACGTCTTCACCATAATCAACACCACGGCAATCTCTGTTACCCACTGTAACTGCACTGAACATAAGCGTAGTAAAAAATGTAATTTCTCACTGCAAGTATTCTGGGTAGCTGGTAGATTGGAATAGACAGACGTCACTGGTAGCCACAGTCATAGAGAGAGGAACCCTGAATGTGGTGTGCCAGGTGCAGAAATACTGTCTGGGTCACTGTTCCAAACGTACCCACCTGAAATGAAGCCCTGAGCAGAGTAACCATAATCCTCTTCACCAACTCTCATCGTCATTCACTCATCCGCTGCGTAATCAGAAAGTGAAGTCTTCCTTACCATCACTGATGTTCTCTTCCTCCTCCGGCTCGGGACAGTAAAAGGGCAGAGGCACAGCCTGTCCCAGAAACAGTGAACACAATGCAGAGCATTCCATTGTTGTACCGTACTTCATCAACACCTTTGCTCCCCACCTTCACCAACCAGTACTGACTAAGCACGGTGAAATTCAGACGCTGTCTTTCCGACAGACTTGTTCTTCACCTGAGGACGGCTGCTTACGTTGTGGCCGAAACGTCGTGAGATTTTATTATGTTTTATTTTTATTATTTTATTATTTCCCTTCTACGTGACTTTACCGAAAGAACCAAGAAGATTAATCCCTGCAGTCACGAAAGCTTTAAATCGACATTTATGGTCAAATAACCTCCCATGACCCACACGGCATGGGCAAGGTACTTGTACAGCAGTGGACTGACAGGAGGGCTGTGCATGTCCACGTGCATACACGTGCACACAAGTGCATGCATATACGTGCCCATGTGCACAGCCGTTCAATGCAACATTCCCGGCCGGCTCGTACCTCGTAAAGCTTTGACGCCACAAACTTCTTTCCGGTCGGGTTCAGTCCATCGAACATCGCCACCTTTCACACGTGCACAGATTGAGACAGAATAGCAAGTACGTTTTCTTAATACGGCGGTGTTCTAATAGACCCGAGTTCACAATTGCACTTTTTTCTGTCATGTTTTGAAATGCCAATGAACAAACCCCAATCCCGACTGCATCTGTGCGGGCGAACTTTTAAACAACGGAACACAACGTCGTGAACGGTCGCCCATTCACGTCCTCCCAAAGGGACAACAAAAGTTAATTCGGCATTCGACGATATTCTCAGACTGGATATCTGAACTCAATTTAACGTTGTGATTGTTGCTGTTTTCGTACAACAAAACAAGTAAACCACACAACACATTAAAGCTTACTTGTAGGCCTTAGAACAAGCATTAGAATGATACTCTTCACCAAGCGATTGATCGTTTTGTCTCATTTTCACCATCGCATTTCCATTGCTTCAGCCCGCATTTAAAAAACTTTCCTTTGCGTTTCACTTTTGCTAAGGCACCTACCTGTCCAGGGAAGAGCGAGAATTCTGGGATCTGGGAGAGGTCGAGGGGTGTCGCCAGGCCGGCCGATATGTCCAGGTCTCCCTGGAGCAGCACCGACTTGGCGTTGAGTTTCCCGTTGCAGTCGCAGCAAATGCGGCCGAGGACCGTCACTGTGCTCTGCGTGACCACAAGCACGGTCACCGCCCAGACAAAAAGCAGCCTTTCATCACAAACGATCGTCGTGTGTGTTATTGTCCTCAAGGGACACTACTGCCTTGACGGGGCAAGGAGACTCAAAGTGGCTTGTAGACCCGAGTAACTATACTGCATAGAGGCACCCTTACCAGTCAGGTACTTAGCAAGTGGTGATACAAATTCGTTCAAGTGTAGAAAGCTGATAGTCTGAACCCAGTCATCAGTGATGAGACAAACACCCAGCATATTTAGTGTTTTTTTCCTTAAATCCACATGGTATCCCTATTGACACGCACAAACACGCATTACCTCTAAAGCCAGTGAGACAATGGTAGCAGGTTAATAGTGTAAGCACAAGGGTTCTAAATAAGACAACCCAATGACAGTGTTGTGTGTGTGGAGCAAGGGTGGCACAGTCGGGTTTTTTACAATCGGGTTTAATTGTTTTTTTATATTAAACCCGATCATCTGAGATTGGGAGAAATGCGGTTTAATTGGTTCTAATTGCAGAACCGCACTTCTCAACGATGGGCTTTATCCATCCATTCCAAGCTAAGGAACTCACTGGCGCCCACGATTGTGGAGGAGAAGCTCGTGTTCATCAAGACCAACCTGCCCGCCGCATTCTACGACTACCCCGTGCCCGACGGCCCCCCGAGTACGACAGCAGCACCGACGAGGAAGCAGCCTAAGCCTTGGATCAGAGTTTCGTATTCATTAAACCAGGCTTTAAATCCCCGAAATCGGGTTTAATTGTATTAAAGAAAAAACCCGATGCCTGTCACTGGAAAAATCGGGTTTTTCCCACCCATGGTGTGGAGAGCCGCGCTGCAGTGGTTAGCACACTTGTGCTTGAACCCGTTGACTCGAGTTCATTTCCCACTCATAGCCAACATCGGCGACGATTATTTGAACGGTCCTGGGCCTCTCCCAGGTTTACTCAGCCTCAAATGAGTACCCCGTGCGGTGTGTACACATCAGCACTGAGGGAGACAAAGGCGGTCGGGCGTGGTGCTGGCCACCCACCCCCTCGTGTGCCGTGTTGGCCTTCAACGGTGCTCGCCGACAGCACTTGCCCCGAACAAACTGAAAAAGCTATACGGGGAGGATCTTGTCTTTGTGTGGCGAAGAGCGTAGCCCCCACCTGCACCGAGTTAGTGACCGAAGTAAGCTCCTCCACATTGTAGTGCGCCTGCAGCTGCTGCCCCAGGTCTTCTATTTGTTGGTTAAAAACTGTGAGAGACAATAAAAAATAAGAGCAGTGCAGTGAGATTTGCAAACCTCACATCTCCAAACCAGCACACGATGTGATGGGTCGGTGCGAGAGGCCAATGTGCTCCACACAGATCGTTCAACATCGAGGCCATATGTTAATTCATTTGGTTTAATAAAATGTTAGTTTCCCATATATCACCCACAAATATAACCCTGACCTTAACCCTTTTGTCTACCCCAAGTTCAACTATAACCCTTAACTGCATCCAGACACAAACCCCGACGCTTTCATTTGACACCAAATGATCATAATGCTTACCTTATGCACTTTTAAATCTAGATTGAAAACTAATTTCTGCAGAACTGCTTTTTGCGTTTAGTTTGCTGTCCTTCCCCTGCACCTCCGATTAGCACGACTGGCTGCGTACTGTACGAAAGAACTTAAACATACATACATACATGACTTTGACGCTCAACTAACTGTGGTGTACACATTAATGCTGATGGGCAGACATCGGCGGCGGGAGAAGATTAAAGAAGCTCATATCGTTCTTTCAAGTGCCGCACCGGGAGACCGAATCAAACCGGCAACCCGTGGCAGAATTCCCATCATCTCTAACCCAGTCTCGCTCTCCAGACGAACAATCCAAGGCAAGCCCGTACCCTCGCGCACGTCGTGCAGCTTCTGGAACATGTGTAGGTAGGTCTGGCTCAGCGGCTCCCCGCCGGGCCGGGAGAACACGTGGACGCGCACGGGCGCTCGCCCGCTCGTACCGCTCGGCTCCGAGCCGAATGTCACCACGACCTCGCCGGGGTTTTTGCGGGAGCTGTACTTTTGTGACGGCGTGGTGCTGCGGCGAGCAAGGGGGGGAACACCCGAGAAGGGGGCGATATTACACGCAATTAAAAAACACTCGTCAAGAGTAGAACATGTATGATGGCGTCGTGGTTCAATTTAACCAAATTTGAAATTACCTAGAAATTACTTAATTGCGAAATTGACATAGTAACTCTGCCCCCTACTGGCATACTATACACAGCTGTGAAACATCGCACCTGCGAGATAGCCTTGCACTATAAAAACGGCGCGAATATATGTTTTCATTTGATTTGCTGCATAGACAAACTACGCTATCAGCGTTGAGATGCACCTGGGGGAGAAGCTGGATGGGGAGAGGTGGGAACTCTGGGACAGGATGCGTTTCGATTGAGGGTTCTCCGGGGTCGTCAGCTGTCTCTTCTGAGAAGCCTGGCGTTGCAGTCGCCAGTGCGCACATACATACACACACAGGGACAGACCCGTAGAACACAAGTACATAGTTTAACACGTAGGCTTTCGCGACCAATATTATTCACAATCAACGTTTTTGGGTTCTGCTCTATATAAGAACGGGAGACAGAGCAGAGCCTCACCATTGTGGCGAATTGCCCGATGATGCTGGATGCAATTACCAGCGAAACGTCGTACTACTCAAATTGTAAATGTTGTGGTTTCACACTTCAACACACCGGTGGGCTAAAGCAGTGAACTATTTGTCTTTTGTCAACGTGACACTTTTTTACTGATTGGCCGTGTCGGGTGGTGGAGGGTTACGACACATTTATAAATAACGCGATCTAAACCCAAAAACGTTGATTATGAACAAGTACATACATTGCACACATTTAACATGAAATATGCCATGGGTGAGAATCCTACAGAACATAGGCGTAACCGGCTCACAGCTTACTGTCATATGGCCTGCGGCAACTTGGGGCCTACCTACCACTTCCAAGTGGCAAAGGGCCCACAAGCAAATTATTTACCCATCACTGCAAGCATCATAGCCGTGCTAATCGGGTGCTAGAGGGGAATATTTTGGAATTGACAACACCGTGTTTAGAAGTTAATCACACTCAAGTCACTTCTGTCAAAGCCAGGTTGAAAATATTTTGCTCTAATACCCGATAAGTCCAGCTAAAATGCTTGTAGTGATAAACATAACTTGTAGGCCATTTGGAAGTTGTTGGTCTCAAGTTGCCACGGGCTGTATGAAATAAAGTAACAATCCAAAGGATCCCCATAGCTCAGGGGTCGGCAACCAAAATAACAAGAAGAGCCATTTTTTTCCAATTCGGTACAAAATTCAGTATTTCAAGAGCCGCAATGCATCTGAGTACATACTGTACATACTGTACTCATCGTCAAGAAGCAGCTCGTAAAGAGCCGCATGCGGCTCCGGAGCCGTAGGTTGCCGACCCCTGGTATAGCTGGTCTACCCTGTCCAGTGATTCAACATGAACCAAAACGGTTTTTGTTTCCGTTCAGAATCTTGAAATATGGTCCAATTGTACTGTAATTGTATTGAAACAATGACAGGGGGGGAACGGTTCAATTGCCACGTGCGCTTACCTTGGCAGGCGTCGTGTAGGAGTCCATAAGGTCATCCTCTTCGTCCTCGGCAGCGATTCTGTGCAAGAACGTCAAGGTCTTCCGCTTCGACAAAATATCGCCTCGTATCGAAACAACACGTCAGTACAGCACGAACGCACACTCGTGTGCCAAGTGCACCACCAGTGGAGAATGCAAGATTAGAAACTCAACATGCAGAGCAGAAAACCGTGCTCTTAAAGGTAGCACGCTGCTCGGAGGCACTGGTGGAGCCAGTGGGACGGGGTGGGGTGGGGTGGGACGTGCCCCCCCAATGATCCGATCGAAATCCCTCATTTCGATCGGATCATTGGGGTTTATCTATATATATAAAAGGGAAATTAGTGAATATGTGTGTCTGTTCAAAATGTTTAGCGTACTTCCCGACATGCAACAAACTTGAAATTTGCCATGTGGGTACTTTCCAGACTGTACACCATGAAAAAATAAAAAAATACACTTTTGTTTTTTTTTTGGGGGGGGGGGGCGCAATAATGCATATATTTTGCACGGTGAGCTGTGACGTCACATCTGTCATGTGACCCGTATGCAGAAGCGTTACGCAGTGTGCCTGCTGATGTCACGCACCCCCCCCCAACCCTCCGTGGGTATGGTGCCATACAAATGTGTTGCAGGTATAAGGCGTTCTTCGCGCAGCGTTGCTTTATTATTTCAGTCGTTTACTGCCGTACACACCCTGACAGTTGTGTGCGTCTGCAGCAAGTGCGTGTATGTGTACCTATGAACGCGCGTTTGTGTGTGTGGGGGGAGCGGTGGTGTAGTGGTTAGCACGCTGCGCTACGAACCCGGTGTCCCGAGTTCGATTCCCGCTCACGGCCACCACCGGTGACGATTATTTGAACCGGTCCTGGGCCTCCCCTAGGTCGACTCAGCCTCAAACGAGTAACTGGTGTGATGTGTGAACATCGCCACTGGGGAGACAAAGGCGGCTGGGCGTGGTGACTCCAAGTCCCGGGCGAAGCCGGGTAGTCAAGCTAGTTAGTAATAAAGCGGAATTTTGTGACCCTTACTGCCACTGTGTGGCATATTATTACGTGCCAGGGACTCTATGAGATGATAGGACAATAGTCCGAGTTCATAATTGGCAATAAGTAACGGCAAAGCAGTTATAAGTGACTCAGAATTGTGCGCAGTTGCGTATACAGAACACGACTTCCCGGAAGGCAAACACCTTCAGTGAGCGCAATGCGATGCCGATCACACAACGCAGTTCGAATTCGACCCTTGATCGATGGCTGCGCTATCGCCGCACACGCGTCGAATAAAAAGCAAGGGACAAGTCCTTACTTACTAACAACTCCTCTATCATTTTTCATTGCTGGAGGGGTTGCTGCCCCCCCCCCACCTGAAAATCCTGGCTCCGCCATTGCTCGGAGGACTAAAATACCATGGGCCATCACCGCTGAGATCCGAGGTTCAAATCCAGACAGCCATCCAGAATGCATTTTAAAGTGCAGCAAGTTGTATCAACCAACTGGTATGTATACATTCTAGATTTGAAGTTTTCGTGACTGCAAGGATCCATACTCTTTGGTTTTTTCGGTAAAGTCACGTAGGTGAAAAAAGAAAACAAATAAATGACACAGCAAAATTTTGCTGTGACGGTTTCACCTGAAGACGGAAGCTTGTGTTGCCTCCGAAACGTCGTGATTTAATTTGTTTTCTTTTTTAACCTACGTGACTTTACTGAAAAAAACAGAGTATGGTATGTATACATTTTGTTCAAGCTCCCCCGCCCCTCTCCGTTATTGACGGGCGGACTGACATGGCTAATGCATAAACAATTTCAACCTTGTTGGAAAGAGTGAAAAAAACTGGCAGCACTCTAATTGGGTCCTTCATGCATGTTGTATCTCACCCTGCCATGAAACGTGGCCAACTCTCGCACACAAGGATACAAGTCGCTGAGCGTGTTGGCGTCTTGAAAGATCTTGTTCTGTGAGGGCGTGCGCGAGTTGGACCGTTTTGCAAGGTGCTGCAAGGAAAAAGGGGTCGGAGAACAACACAGCAGGCTTTTATCTCCACGAGCTTCGTGACTGCAACATCGTTGACTCAATCACAACACTTGCAAAGTGAGTTGCGAGATCACTTTTAAGCCAGCAGTTGGTCTCATGTGTCAATGATCACATCAAGTGATTTCTCGAGCAAAATGAACAATAGATGATCATTAATTCAGGTTATTCACAAATCTAGACTTGGTATAATGTAGCTGCCAAAATTTCCATGGTTCAGTGATTTATCCTTGGATCGGAGATTGAATTAAATGAGGTGACGTGACCACTATTACTGTTACAATGCCCAAACACTCCAGCAGTCTTGAAAAACAGTGGTCAAAGCCGACGCGCTGCTTTGGGCCATTGTTGGGTCTCGTGAAAAGCCGATGGTGGCCCAGTGTCACCACAGCAGTGCACGCTACAAACCACGGGGAGGCCTTGGCCCAGAGTAGCTAGCGGCAGCACAGGCTACCAGACCACAAAGAGATCCTGAGTATGCCGACCTCGTGGTCGAAGCGTTCCAAGGTGTCCACGCACAGCTCCAGGCTCTTGTTGTATGAAAAGGCCATCCACTCTGATGCCATCTTCTCCTCGGTCAGCCCATGCACAATGCACAGCTCCTGAACTGCATACATTGGACAACAAGCAGAGCCCTGCGGTCAATTGAGCACTGTACGTGTGACAATGTGTTTCCGTAACATTTGGGTCTGTCTCGTGACCTCCTGCCAAGGGGGCCTTCAAGACTTCACATGGCTTCAATGTGCACTTAAGCCTGGCACAAGTCCTGTGGTGATGCCACCGTGTAAATAAATATCAGCACGGGGGGGGGGGGGGGGGGGAGACAAAGGCGGCCAGGCGTGGTGCGGCTCGTACCACCCTCACCCTGTTCTGTGCGTTTACGGAGATATTTGGTGCTCACGAACAGCAATTGTACCTATCATTTACAAAGGCTACACTGGAAGTGACTACTTTTGCATAGTCTCATTTCGTTAGTGATCTTACAGAGCTCGGTGTAGATGTAACGTGCATATAGCAAGGGATCAGTCTACGCATCTGTTGACTTCCACAAAGTAGAAGCTATTTTACCAAATCCCGAAGGGATAACATATTGAATGAAGTACTGGGCATCGGTAACAGAAAATCATTTTAACTTTGTAAGCTGCCAATAACCCCACTCATGGATATAGGTTGAGAATTTAAACAAAAGTAGCTTCCATATCACAATTGCTCACCGAGCCAGAGGTGGAAATTCCACATTCCTATGGCGGGGGATCTAATCACTCCACCTTTGTCGATTACACCAGACAATACAGGTGATCACAGTGAACCTCTTAGCGCTAAACCAACACATCACAGCATACCGTAGTGGTTTACAATGGACACGGTTAATACTGGTAGTATCCTCCTGGTTACACCAGCCCACAGGGGATTATTCTGTCCATCCGTCCGTCGTGCATCCAAAAATGGGAGGGGTGGGGCTGGGTGGAACGGGGAGGGTGGGGAGGGGCTGGGTGGGAGGGGCTTGGTGGGGAGGGGCTGGGTGGGGAGGGTGGAAAGGGGCTGGGTGGGGAGGGTGGAAAGGGGCTGGGTGAGGAGGGGCTGGGTGAGGGTGGGGAGGGGCTGGGTGGGGGGTGGGAGGAGTGGGGCTGGGTGGGGAGGGGCTGGTCACCCCGTGGTGCCCTTATAAAACTCAACGTTTAACCTACTCACGCCGGCCTGTGCCCGCCCTCACAGTCGGGCATATTTGCGGAATATACCACGCCGCCATTGACCGAGCAACCCAACGTTCCTACCAGCTCCCTCCGCAGGAATGTGTTGAGTGTACTTGTAGTACACTCTGCTTTCGTTCGGCTCAATGCGCACCTACACTGCCCGGCAGGCTCCGCCAAGCCTGACGGTGGGAGCCGTAGGGGAGACTTGGGGCCACCAGTTATGGGTTAACGAATAAGGCCCCGGCTGTATGATGACAACAGGGATTTGGGTTAGGGCTGGGGTGTTAAGGTAAAGATTAGGTTGGGTCTTAATTTGAAGCTTTCGTGACTGCAAGAGTCCATACTCTTTTGTTCGTTCGGTAAAGTCACGTAGGTAGAATTTTTTTTAATCGATCACGACGGTTGTTTGTGTTGCAATCGAAACGTCGTGATCTATTGCGTTTTCTACCTACGTGACTTTACGGAAAAAGAACCAAATCGATTAGGTTGGGGTTAAGGGCTTGGGGTTAGCAGTGCTACTCGCGTGAAACATCTGGACCCCGCTGTGTGAGGGTTGGGGTCAGAGTCAGGCGACCTAAAAGTGTTGGGGTTGGGGTCAGGAGACCTCGCTGTGTCAGGGTTGGGGTTAGGGCAAGGGCCTGGCTGTGTCAGGGTTGGGGTTGGGGTCAGGAGACCCCGCTGTGTCAGGGTTGGGGTCAGACCTCACTGCGTCAGGGTTGATGTTAGGGTCAGGAGACCCCGCTGTGTCAGGGTTGGGGTTGTAGCGAGGAGACCCCGCTGTGTCAGGGTTGTAGTTGTAGCGAGGAGACCCCGCTGTGTCAGGGTTGGGGTTGTAGCGAGGAGACACAGCTGTGTCAGGGTTGGGGTTGTAGCGAGGAGACACAGCTGTGTCAGGGTTGTGGTTGTAGCGAGGAGACCCCGCTGTGTCAGGGTTGGGGTTGTAGCGAGGAGACACAGCTGTGTCAGGGTTGGGGTTGTAGCGAGGAGACACAGCTGTGTCAGGGTTGTGGTTGTAGCGAGGAGACCCCGCTGTGTCAGGGTTGGGGTTGTAGCGAGGAGACCCCGCTGTGTCAGGGTTGGGGTTGTAGCGAGGAGACCCCGCTGTGTCAGGGTTGGGGTTGTAGCGAGGAGACACAGCTGTGTCAGGGTTGTGGTTGTAGCGAGGAGACCCCGCTGTGTCAGGGTTGGGGTTAGGGCAAGGGCCTGGCTGTGTGAGGGTTGTGGTTGTAGCGAGGAGACCTCGCTGTGTCAGGGTTGGGGTTGTAGCGAGGAGACCCCGCTGCGTCAGGGTTGTGGTTGTAGCGAGGAGACACAGCTGTGTCAGTGTTGTGGTTGTAGCGAGGAGACCCCACTGTGTCAGGGTTGGGGTTGTAGCGAGGAGACACAGCTGTGTCAGTGTTGTGGTTGTAGCGAGGAGACACAGCTGTGTCAGGGTTGGGGTTGTAGCGAGGAGACCCCGCTGTGTCAGGGTTGTAGCGAGGAGACCCCGCTGTGTCAGGGTTGGGGTTGTAGCGAGGGGACCCCGCTGTGTCAGGGTTGGGGTTGTAGCGAGGAGACCCCGCTGTGTCAGGGTTGATGTTAGGGTCAGGAGACCCCGCTGTGTCAGGGTTGGGGTTGTAGCGAGGAGACCTCGCTGTGTCAGGGTTGTGGTTGTAGCGAGGAGACCCCGCTGTGTCAGGGTTGGGGTTGTAGCGAGGGGACCCCGCTGTGTCAGGGTTGGGGTTGTAGCGAGGAGACCCCGCTGTGTCAGGGTTGGGGTTGTAGCGAGGGGACCCCGCTGTGTCAGGGTTGGGGTTGTAGCGAGGAGACCCCGCTGTGTCAGGGTTGGGGTTGTAGCGAGGAGACCCCGCTGCGTCAGGGTTGTGGTTGTAGCGCGGGGACCCCGCTGTGTCAGGGTTGGGGTTGTAGCGAGGAGACCCCGCTGTGTCAGGGTTGGGGTTGTAGCGAGGAGACCCCGCTGTGTCAGGGTTGATGTTAGGGTCAGGAGACCCCGCTGTGTTAGTGTTGTGGTTGTAGCGAGGAGACCTCGCTGTGTCAGGGTTGGGGTTGTAGCGAGGAGACCCCGCTGTGTCAGGGTTGATGTTAGGGTCAGGAGACCCCGCTGTGTCAGGGTTGGGGTTGTAGCGAGGAGACCTCGCTGTGTCAGGGTTGTGGTTGTAGCGAGGAGACCCCGCTGTGTCAGGGTTGGGGTTGTAGCGAGGGGACCCCGCTGTGTCAGGGTTGGGGTTGTAGCGAGGGGACCCCGCTGTGTCAGTGTTGTGGTTGTAGCGAGGAGACCCCGCTGTGTCAGTGTTGTGGTTGTAGCGAGGGGACCCCGCTGTGTCAGGGTTGTGGTTGTAGCGAGGGGACCCCGCTGTGTCAGTGTTGTGGTTGTAGCGAGGGGACCTCGCTGTGTCAGGGTTGTGGTTGTAGCGAGGGGACCTCGCTGTGTCAGGGTTGTGGTTGTAGCGAGGGGACCCCGCTGTGTCAGGGGTTGTGGTTGTAGCGAGGAGACCCCGCTGTGTCAGGGTTGTGGTTGTAGCGAGGAGACCCCGCTGTGTCAGGGTTGTGGTTGTAGCGAGGAGACCCCGCTGTGTCAGGGTTGTGGTTGTAGCGAGGAGACCCCGCTGTGTCAGGGTTGTGGTTAGGGTCAGGAGACCCCGCTGCGTCAGTGTTGTGGTTGTAGCGAGGAGACCCCGCTGTGTCAGGGTTGATGTTAGGGTCAGGAGACCCCGCTGTGTCAGGGTTGGGGTTGTAGCGAGGAGACCTCGTTGTGTCAGGGTTGTGGTTGTAGCGAGGAGACCCCGCTGTGTCAGGGTTGGGGTTGTAGCGAGGGGACCCCGCTGTGTCAGGGTTGGGGTTGTAGCGAAGGGACCCCGCTGTGTCAGTGTTGTGGTTGTAGCGAGGAGACCCCGCTGTGTCAGTGTTGTGGTTGTAGCGAGGGGACCCCGCTGTGTCAGGGTTGTGGTTGTAGCGAGGGGACCCCGCTGTGTCAGTGTTGTGGTTGTAGCGAGGGGACCTCGCTGTGTCAGGGTTGTGGTTGTAGCGAGGGGACCTCGCTGTGTCAGGGTTGTGGTTGTAGCGAGGGGACCCCGCTGTGTCAGGGGTTGTGGTTGTAGCGAGGAGACCCCGCTGTGTTAGGGTTGTGGTTGTAGCGAGGAGACCCCGCTGTGTCAGGGTTGGGGTTGTAGCGAGGGGACCCCGCTGTGTCAGGGTTGGGGTTGTAGCGAGGAGACCCCGCTGTGTCAGGGTTGATGTTAGGGTCAGGAGACCCCGCTGTGTCAGGGTTGGGGTTGTAGCGAGGAGACCTCGCTGTGTCAGGGTTGTGGTTGTAGCGAGGAGACCCCGCTGTGTCAGGGTTGGGGTTGTAGCGAGGGGACCCCGCTGTGTCAGGGTTGGGGTTGTAGCGAGGAGACCCCGCTGTGTCAGGGTTGGGGTTGTAGCGAGGGGACCCCGCTGTGTCAGGGTTGGGGTTGTAGCGAGGAGACCCCGCTGTGTCAGGGTTGGGGTTGTAGCGAGGAGACCCCGCTGCGTCAGGGTTGTGGTTGTAGCGAGGGGACCCCGCTGTGTCAGGGTTGGGGTTGTAGCGAGGAGACCCCGCTGTGTCAGGGTTGGGGTTGTAGCGAGGAGACCCCGCTGTGTCAGGGTTGATGTTAGGGTCAGGAGACCCCGCTGTGTCAGTGTTGTAGCGAGGAGACCTCGCTGTGTCAGGGTTGGGGTTGTAGCGAGGAGACCCCGCTGTGTCAGGGTTGATGTTAGGGTCAGGAGACCCCGCTGTGTCAGGGTTGGGGTTGTAGCGAGGAGACCTCGCTGTGTCAGGGTTGTGGTTGTAGCGAGGAGACCCCGCTGTGTCAGGGTTGGGGTTGTAGCGAGGGGACCCCGCTGTGTCAGGGTTGGGGTTGTAGCGAGGAGACACAGCTGTGTCAGGGTTGTGGTTGTAGCGAGGAGACCCCGCTGTGTCAGGGTTGGGGTTAGGGCAAGGGCCTGGCTGTGTGAGGGTTGTGGTTGTAGCGAGGAGACCTCGCTGTGTCAGGGTTGGGGTTGTAGCGAGGAGACCCCGCTGCGTCAGGGTTGTGGTTGTAGCGAGGAGACACAGCTGCGTCAGGGTTGTGGTTGTAGCGAGGGGACCCCGCTGTGTCAGTGTTGTGGTTGTAGCGAGGAGACACAGCTGTGTCAGTGTTGTGGTTGTAGCGAGGAGACCCCGCTGTGTCAGGGTTGGGGTTGTAGCGAGGAGACACAGCTGTGTCAGTGTTGTGGTTGTAGCGAGGAGACACAGCTGTGTCAGGGTTGGGGTTGTAGCGAGGAGACCCCGCTGTGTCAGGGTTGTAGCGAGGAGACCCCGCTGTGTCAGGGTTGGGGTTGTAGCGAGGGGACCCCGCTGTGTCAGGGTTGGGGTTGTAGCGAGGAGACCCCGCTGTGTCAGGGTTGATGTTAGGGTCAGGAGACCCTGCTGTGTCAGGGTTGGGGTTGTAGCGAGGAGACCTCGCTGTGTCAGGGTTGTGGTTGTAGCGAGGAGACCCCGCTGTGTCAGGGTTGGGGTTGTAGCGAGGGGACCCCGCTGTGTCAGGGTTGGGGTTGTAGCGAGGAGACCCCGCTGTGTCAGGGTTGGGGTTGTAGCGAGGGGACCCCGCTGTGTCAGGGTTGGGGTTGTAGCGAGGAGACCCCGCTGTGTCAGGGTTGGGGTTGTAGCGAGGAGACCCCGCTGCGTCAGGGTTGTGGTTGTAGCGAGGGGACCCCGCTGTGTCAGGGTTGGAGTTGTAGCGAGGAGACCCCGCTGTGTCAGGGTTGATGTTAGGGTCAGGAGACCCCGCTGTGTCAGTGTTGTGGTTGTAGCGAGGAGACCTCGCTGTGTCAGGGTTGGGGTTGTAGCGAGGAGACCCCGCTGTGTCAGGGTTGATGTTAGGGTCAGGAGACCCCGCTGTGTCAGGGTTGGGGTTGTAGCGAGGAGACCTCGCTGTGTCAGGGTTGTGGTTGTAGCGAGGAGACCCCGCTGTGTCAGGGTTGTGGTTGTAGCGAGGAAACCCCGCTGTGTCAGGGTTGGGGTTGTAGCGAGGGGACCCCGCTGTGTCAGGGTTGTGGTTGTAGCGAGGAGACCCCGCTGTGTCAGGGTTGGGGTTGTAGCGAGGGGACCCCGCTGTGTCAGGGTTGGGGTTGTAGCGAGGGGACCCCGCTGTGTCAGGGTTGGGGTTGTAGCGAGGAGACCTCGCTGTGTCAGGGTTGTGGTTGTAGCGAGGAGACCCCGCTGTGTCAGGGTTGGGGTTGTAGCGAGGGGACCCCGCTGTGTCAGGGTTGGGGTTGTAGCGAGGGGACCCCGCTGTGTCAGGGTTGTGGTTGTAGCGAGGAGACCCCGCTGTGTCAGGGTTGGGGTTGTAGCGAGGGGACCCCGCTGTGTCAGGGTTGGGGTTGTAGCGAGGGGACCCCGCTGTGTCAGGGTTGGGGTTGTAGCGAGGAGACCTCGCTGTGTCAGGGTTGTGGTTGTAGCGAGGAGACCCCGCTGTGTCAGTGTTGTGGTTGTAGCGAGGGGACCCCGCTGTGTCAGTGTTGTGGTTGTAGCGAGGAGACCCCGCTGTGTCAGGGTTGTGGTTGTAGCGAGGAGACCCCGCTGCGTCAGGGTTGTGGTTGTAGCGAGGGGACCCCGCTGTGTCAGGGTTGTGGTTGTAGCGAGGATACCCCGCTGTGTCAGGGTTGGGGTTAGGGCAAGGGCCTGGCTGTGTCAGGCTTGAGGTTGTAGCGAGGGGACCCCGCTGTGTCAGGGTTGTGGTTGTAGCGAGGAGACCCCGCTGTGTCAGTGTTGGGGTTAGGGCAAGGGCCTGGCTGTGTCAGGCTTGAGGTTGTAGCGAGGGGACCCCGCTGTGTCAGTGTTGTGGTTGTAGCGAGGGGACCCCGCCGTGCGAGGCCCTCCCTCTCTCACGTTTGTCCAGGAGGTCCGAGTCGTCCACGGTGAACCCGAACGTGTCGAGCTCCTCCGCCAACTTCTGCGCGTCGATCGGCATCTCGGAGCTCGGCCTCTGCAGCTCCCTAACGCGGCGGCGAGGGGAGTTAATAGGCGATCGGTGGTGGTGCCGCGCAGTGCACAAGGGCTCAGCCTACTCAATGAGGTGGACTGACAAGGGGGTGAACTCGACCGCACTTTTCCCGCCAAATCGCGGCCTCCCACGTGACGGCGGCGGCGGCCAACGACGTCGAGATGTGCGCCAAGACGCCGTCGACTTAACACTGAGAGTGGAGTTGTTGGTAGATGTGCGCCAAGACGCCGGTGATGTAACACTGAGAGTGGAGTTGTTGGTAGATGTGCGCCAAGACGCCGTCGACTTAACACTGAGAGTGGAGTTGTTGGTAGATGTGCGCCAAGACGCCGGTGATTTAACACTGAGAGTGGAGTTGTTGGTAGATGTGCGCCAAGACGCCGGTGATTTAACACTGAGAGTGGAGTTGTTGGTAGATGTGTGCCAAGACGCTGTCGACTTAACACTGAGAGTGGAGTTGTTGGTAGATGTGCGCCAAGACGCCGGTGATGTAACACTGAGAGTGGAGTTGTTGGTAGATGTGCGCCAAGACGCCGGTGATTTAACACTGAGAGTGGAGTTGTTGGTAGATGTGCGCCAAGACGCCGGTGATGTAACACTGAGAGTGGAGTTGTTGGTAGATGTGCGCCAAGACGCCGGTGATTTAACACTGAGAGTGGAGTTGTTGGTAGATGTGCGCCAAGACGCCGGTGATGTAACACTGAGAGTGGAGTTGTTGGTAGATGTGCGCCAAGACGCCGTCGACTTAACACTGAGAGTGGAGTTGTTGGTAGATGTGCGCCAAGACGCCGTCGACTTAACACTGAGAGTGGAGTTGTTGGTAGATGTGCGCCAAGACGCCGTCGACTTAACACTGAGAGTGGAGTTGTTGGTAGATGTGCGCCAAGACGCCGGTGATGTAACACTGAGAGTGGAGTTGTTGGTAGATGTGCGCCAAGACGCCGGTGATGTAACACTGAGAGTGGAGTTGTTGGTAGATGTGCGCCAAGACGCCGGTGATTTAACACTGAGAGTGGAGTTGTTGGTAGATGTGCGCCAAGACGCCGGTGATGTAACACTGAGAGTGGAGTTGTTGGTAGATGTGCGCCAAGACGCAGGTGATTTAACACTGAGAGTGGAGTTGTTGGTAGATGTGCGCCAAGACGCCGGTGATGTAACACTGAGAGTGGAGTTGTTGGTAGATGTGCGCCAAGACGCCGGTGATTTAACACTGAGAGTGGAGTTGTTGGTAGATGTGCGCCAAGACGCCGGTGATTTAACACTGAGAGTGAAGTTGTTGGTAGATGCGCGCCAAGACGCCGGTGATTTAACACTGAGAGTGGAGTTGTTGGTAGATGTGCGCCAAGACGCTGTCGACTTAACACTGAGAGTGGAGTTGTTGGTAGATGTGCGCCAAGACGCCGGTGATTTAACACTGAGAGTGAAGTTGTTGGTAGATGTGTGCCAAGACGCTGTCGACTTAACACTGAGAGTGGAGTTGTTGGTAGATGTGCGCCAAGACGCTGTCGACTTAACACTGAGAGTGGAGTTGTTAGTGGCAACCCAACGTTGGTATGAACGTCGGGTTGCTCGGTCAATGGCCAGGGTCAACGGCGGCGTGGTGTATTCCGCAAATATGCCCGACTGTGAAGGCGGGCACAAGCCGGCGTGAGTAGGTTAAACGTTGAGTTTTATAAGGGCACCACGGGGTGACCAGCCCCTCCCCACCCAGCCCCACCCAGCCCCAGCCAGCCCCTCCCCACCCAGCCCCTCCCTGCACGACGGACGGACGGACACAATAATCCCCTGTGGGATGGTGTAACCAGGAGGTTCCTTCCAGTATAACAGGAAAGGTAGCTAACATCTGACCACCGCAGCGCCTACAACGGCTATGGGAGGACTTCCTTTAGAGGTGCATCTACGATGGCTTATGTCGGGCTGTACCATAGACACAAGCTTATTAAGGAGGTGCACAAGAAAGCCAATCATTCGACGTTCCATGCAGTGTTTTAGGCTATGCATACGTATTTTTTTTAGGATGGCAAATCAAACAAAAGGGAAATAAATCGCTCAACACAAGGCCTTTTGCCCACTTCAGCAATTGTTTCTTGCTGTGGTTGTCCCACCTGATGAGGGATGCTTGTGTTGTGCCCGAAACGTCGTGATTTATTTTATTTTCTACCTACGTGACTTTACCGAAAGAACCAAAGAGTATGGATCACTACAGTCGCGAAAACTTCAAATCTAGATTCAAAACAAGGCCGTTCACAAGATATACTGTCAAATGCATTTTCCCAAAAAGCACGACACGCCAGAATACAGACAAGTTTCTTCTCACAATAATGATAAGATACAGACGGAAACATTATGCAATGGCTTTATTTAGCAATGTAAGAATTCTGGGTGGCTCTTTTAGTGTCAGCTCTTCACAAGCAATGCGATTGCTTTAAAATAGGAATCAGGTGACGAATGACCGCAGCCAACAAAATAATAAATCCGTTTAGTCCACCAGTTTAGTCCACCGTTTAGCTGCCATATTCACTCACGATTCAGAATTAAGGTATTTTATGCTTTGCACGTAACCAGTGTCATCTCATAAGGCATTATATTTATAAAATATGTACATGTACAGCCCTTGTCAATCCACTGCTGGATAAGGGCCTCCGGCACGGCGTGTGGATTGCGTCGGTGAATTAACAAGAACTGACCACAGTTATCAGTGAAGGTGGAGACCATTGCCCTCACCAATCCAAACACGATCCAATCTCAACCCAGCTTAGCTTTTTTAGATCTGGCGCATTACAGGTCAGTGAAACATAATGCGAATACTTAACTGTAATCAAAAATGGGTATCATTATGTATAACAAGGCAGGTCTGCATACGTACTATTTGTATCACTTATTCAAGCCTAAAATCCTTTGCGCAATGTTCCATCACACAGGCATGCGTCTTTTCTAGGGCTCATTGCATCAAACGAGAAACAACGCACACAACTAAACCTGCACGTGTGTAACGAACGGCAGCACACACAAGAGAAATAAATTCACAAGCACTCTCCTAGCATAAACTGAAATCAAATATTTCACGATGCGACAGATTAAAATAAAAGCTAAAGTATTTTGTGAAGGGGTCTCACAAATTACCGAGGCAGCAATAATTTACCGAAAAAGCCGTAAAATACTCAACGTTAACATGGTCAACCCTGCACCAAAAGTAGCCTGATACAATTGCCAATTGTGATGTCATTTCCACGTCACCTTAAACTGAAATGTCACAACAAAAATCCACACTGAAAATACAGGTGTAGCAAACCAAACAAATATTAGGATATGTTAAGTAATATAGCAACCCATGTATGAAATAATCAATCCGATAAGAGTGGGCTACGGCGCTTTTGAGACTGGCAGTGTTGATGATGGATTGTGCAATGTAATAGAACAATACAAATCATGCATTCCCATGGACTGCAACACTTTCCAACGTTTGTTAGCCTTCGGAAGTATGTAACTTGTACAAGGGAAAACTGACAGCCGTTTGTATATTTACAACAGCAATTCATTTGCATATTTGTAATAGTATATTTTTGCTCTGGTTTTAGACATCCCGAGTTTTTCAACCCTTTGATCATTTTGACTAGTTTTCAACAGGGTAGGTACAACACAGTAGCACAACTTTATACTAAAGTTTCTTTCATACGAGACCATGTTTGACAGAGTGTCCAGCCCCTACCATTACGAATGGACTGAGCTAAAGGAGAAACACGTTCAACCCTCGTTGGAAAGCGTGACAAATGCATGCGTTACCCTTTGGCCAATTACACTGATCTTTGACCAGTTTAAGCAAAAGCTTGGGGATTCTCAATGTTTTACTTGAGAATGTCTGCACAAACCCTACCCCCCCACCCGCCATACCTTTTCCTTTAAATCAGGAATGTGAATATTCACCAGCACTCTGCGCAAATTAGGAATAAACTGTGGAATGGTTAAATATGTTCACTCGCCACCATTACGCACTCTTTGTTACGTTTGGCCCATTGCAAACAACAGTGTCCACGCCGACTATTGTATATAAATACAAACTTCGTTAAAAGACTACACAAGTTATTGCACGGGCAATCCGCCTTCACAGTACAGTGCATCGCCCACACCTTTCACACCAATTCCTGGTGAAATATGAAGGCTGAGTAAAATCCAATGTGTCACATAAGAGGTTGAAGTGTTTTTTTATGTCTGGAAATTTATCAGACTGATACCACCATGAACAAACGCCAATAGTTACTGCTCTAAAGGTTTTATCTCGGCACCTTAAAACACAATCGCATGAAAACAACACACCGGCTCAAAAACCACCTTTAAAACATAGGTGTGATTAAAATCCTTACAAAGATCTATGTTCTTAAAATATATAAAATTCGTATACGGGCAACTATTGCAGCTAAGAATATGCATACATAATTGTGCTAAAGTGGACAGACTTGAAAATTCGCTTTGAAATAGATCCGCGGTACACTGTCTGTCCTGCTGTGGTTCCAGCATTGTGGCTCCAGTCCATATTTTCTGACATTCAAACACGAAAGTTTTTCATCATCTCCTCCAAATCACGAGTTGCCTCTTCGTCCTGTTGAATTCATGGGCAACGGGGGTTTTGGGCAACAGAGCAAGCACAATGAGAGAAGAGAGACACCGAGTTAAACGTGAACATTTCTCATTTCAAAACGTATTATTAAAACACATTCACCACGACACATTCACAACCACCACACTGTAAGTCAGGACACTGCTATTGCTGCTTCTTTACTTGTACCAATGGAATTTGGAATTCCCTCGCATTATCAATTTATTTTCCCGTGTTCTTAAAACCTTGCCAAATTTAAGAAATGCACTCACGCTTATCTACTGTGATATTGTTCTTATTTTTAGTTCTATTACTTTTTCTATCTACGTGGCTTTACCGAAAGAACATCTACTGTGCCTTCAGTAGCGCTGTGTGTTTCTGGCTACTTGGCAATCTGGGCCCTTAGGGGCATGTGCTCAACAAATTGAGATAGATTAAACCCATTCACAAGCGGCAAGACAACATTCACAACAGGCAGGTGATTGGAAGTGGTGCGAGACGCAGAACACGACGGATGGCTGACCTCAGCGGTGACGCTATCCATGAGAGAGGCAGAGTTGAGCCACTTCAAAGTATTGCCGCTGTCTCCCAGTTGATCATAGCACTGCAACACACACGGTCACCACAGCAGTGTGTAATATCCAGCACTTGGCTCAGCAACACCCAATGAACATTAATATAGCACAATAGTCATTGTTTGCAGGAACATTTTGCAAACCTGTGATTTAAATAAATGCAGAGGTTTCTTGATTGTGGAAAAGGTAACTTCAATAAGCAAAATTTGGAGAACCACAATTTGAACGACCTATTCACCCAGCAATGACATAACCAAGTGTGAAGAGTCGTTCTCTGGAGCATCAAGGTGCTTACCTTAGCTATGAACACCTGATTGGCTTTGGAAAACTTTGGCTTCAATTCTTCTGTCTGAAAAACAAAGAAACCAACGTTGCATATCATCATCAAAAAAGATTTATAATTAATCAATTTGAAACATCTGCCCATTAAACCTTTGCCAAGTAGCTACCCAGAAATGAAAGCAACGCAGTAAATATATAGGACGACACAATCGAAAAACAGAAAAATACCACAAAAGACAAAGATTCACAATGTCGCATTTGAGCAGACTGTTGGGGCAAGTGTTGTTAGCGAGCACCTATGGGGGCCGGCTTGGCGTAAGAAGGGGTGGTTGTGACCAGCACCACGCCCGGCCGCCTTTGTCCCTCCATTGGTGAGGCTTTCCACATCACACCAGGTATTAATTTAAGGCTGAGCCCACCTAGGGTAGACCCGGGACCAGTTCAGATATCCATCATTGATGTTGGCTGTGAGCGGCAATCGCACTCGGGCTTGGCAGGGCAGTGCGCTAACCACTTCACACTATCGCTCTCCACCGCAACTACCACCACCAGCAACCACTGCAGCAGTCACCTTTAGAAAGTTGTCGAGGGCATCCTGGATGGTCGCCATTGGGGTGACCGCAAACAGAGTGGCTGCCACCTTTCGTTCGATCCACGTGAGCTGAGACACCTGGATAGGTGGGATGATGGAGGAGAGAGGAGGGATCGAAGGTTCAGAAGGAAGAAAAGGAGGTAGGTAGATACACAGTCATTTGTGCACATCGGTAGCGTATCCAATGCTAAATAAAACGAAGTGCTGCTCATAAAGTTTATTCTAGCGTTAAGCCATATTAACACGTAGCTAATGCTTAACCTAGCACTGACCTTTACAATACCATCAACCTAACACCTGTAAAATTAAATTGGCTGGCTACACAACTAGAAATTAATGGTGACTGGCCAGGATTTTCATTTTTTCATGGCTTGGCTTCGCGAACGAAGATCTAGGAAGGACATCCACGTCTTCTGCAGGCACGCTGGTGGCTGAAGAGGCCTATGCGGGACAAGCAGGTCCTGCCACAACAGCTGCAAGTATAGGTCTCATCTGGGATGGGTGCTGAGGGATCATGGTTCTTCCTCCTCCTTTTGTCCTCCATACGGGCCCTGCGGGTATCTTCGAAGAAGGAGGTGGCCTGGTGGACTGTGTGCCGCCAGGAGTTGCGATCAGCTGCTTGTGTTGCCCACTGACGACTGGCCAGGATAATTTGCAGTCTATTGGCAATCCACTGCTGAATGAAAGCCCCTCCCCCCCCAGATGCGTGTCGCTCATGGGAGTTGTTTGAACGTACTTCACCACTCTGGTCAGTGCAGGGGTGGGGGCCCCACAACTGGTTCCAATATCACTCACCACCGACGTTTGCTGTGACCAGGAATCAAACTCAGATGATCTGGACTCATGGATCAATCAGCGAGGGCTACCCACGCGGCGCAGTGTGAGGCGCGGATTGGCGTAAGTCTTTACCCCGTAGCACCAGCGTCCCAGGAGGTAGTAGTTGAGCGGATCGCTGGGATCGAGCTCGATAGCGCGGTCGATGTGCTCCTGTAAGACGGCAACAAAACACAATCACATTGCCACACAACACGCACACAAGGCATGGCTCGTATTCACCAACTCAGCCAGCGTCTCCCCACTCAAACGAGCCACAGGGCGGCGCTCAACTCTCTTATCGGCAGCCCCGAGGCAGCGGGAGGGGGGGGGAATTCCATTCGTATGGCGATGGCCTGGTCAAACATTAAAAAAATACAACACCACAATTACAATTTAACGTGGATTGATGTACACGTTTAGTCCTTTAGACAATCAACTGTTGTTCAGGGCAACCCCATGGTGTCTCTTTGTACATGCTAACAAAGAGGCCTAAACCTCTAATTTACACTTAACCAGCTTCATTACAAATATTCGGCTACAGCTGTGCCTTCAACACTGAAGTTGAACAACCCCCATGGCAGCTTCATTATTATTATTAGCCACTGCGGAACTAAGGCCTCCCCCAAGCTCATTCTAAATTTGAAGCTTTCGTGACTGCAAGGATTCATATTCTTAGGTCACCTAAGTAAAAAATTAAAATTAATAAAAGTAAAATAAAAATAAAATCACGACGTTTCGGAGGCAACACAAGCTTCCGTCTTCAGGTGGAACCGTCACAGCACGACTGCTGCATCAAGTGCTGTGACGGTTCCACCTGAAGACGGAAGCTTGTGTTGCCTCCGAAACGTCGTGATTTTAATTTTATTTTACTTTTATTCATTTAAAATTTTTACCTACGTGACTTTACCGAAAAAACCTAAGAATATGCCTCCCCAAGCCATCATCCCTCATGATCCTGCAATGTCACATTCCACCAAGTATCTGCTCTCAAGCTGATCGTGTCACTTCCTATGATATAAAATTTAACGTAATAAAAGAAAACACGATAACAACATTGCGCTCAAATATCATACAATAATGCTGCATCAATGAACGATAAGTCGATTCCACTCACCGTTAGAGAAACAGGTGCTTGCTATTAAAGTGAGTACAATGGGCCTAAAGTAAGCAGATTAGAAATAAAAAAGGCTACCAAAGTCAGGATTTACCTTGAAAAGAAATCCATTCTTGATCCTGTTCTGTGTCGTTTCATAGTCGGCTAAAAATCCGCACATGACTGCATACCTGACACAAGAATACCGGGCAAAATATTAACTCAAAATTGCATTTGACAGCGTTTTTTAAAGATAAAAAGTAGTAATATTAAAATAAAAGTCGCGTGATAACACTACTACAATTTATTAAAACATTTTAAGTGTGTTTTTTTTTATACACTTGAAGATGGATTAATAATCTGTTGAATTTCATTTAATTGTTGTTTTTTCTGTACTTATGTAGATTCAAGCTGGGAGGATTACGTGATGGGATTAATAGACTAAAAATTGTAATCAATTACTCGGACTCCTTTAAAAATGGCAGCCACCCTGACATCCTGTCTCCTAAAGGCAGGGAATGCTGAAACAGGCACGCCGCCCAATGTGACACCGCCGATGAAGCAGATGTCACCAAGCCCATGCGCTCACCTCCCGTCCAGCGGCACAAATGGGGCGAGGGGTTGAGGACTTGTTTTTCACCAATTGTTTTCGTGTTATCAATTCGTCGCGTAATGGAACCGATAATCCATGACTTAAATAATGGATATCTCAGCTCTGATTTAATAATAGTAACTTATTTTTTTATACTGCGCCTTTCATCGTAATATCACATGTTGAAATTGCAATGCTCCACACAAAACAAAGTGTGATAATAGGCAATAATAGCATTAGCGTAAACACATTGTTTGAGTGCTCCAAAAGCAATGATATAGAAAGTAAATCAATGACCCCCACCACGGTCGTATAGGTCATCTATATAAAAAGAAGATATTGAAACCTGCCGCGCACACACACTTGTCATTAGGTCACAAAGTTACATTTGAGCCTTCAGAACGTGCTTTGGATTTGTCACGTTCCATTGTATTGGACGACCTGCAAATGTTTTGCAAGGCAATGTCAATCACATATGAAACGATATATAGGAAAACGAATGCCACTCACCACTGATGGCAGTTTGCACTCTGTTCGTTGACCTTGATACTTTCTACTGCCACTTCCTTTCCTGGTTCATTTCAAGTAAACAGACATGAGTTAGTGCGTTTTTATTTTACAATAATCACAATGATGCATGGACTGTGTGATGCTTTCCAACATGCATGTTGTCCTCGCAAGCATCTAAAACAGTAGCTTGCCGCCAACTTCGCTGACCAGCGCGGCGAAGCATGATCAGGTATCCCCCCCCCCCAGGAACCAGAGAGCGTGGAGAGGCCTTCATCCAAAAGTGGATTTGCAGGCCGTCTGGCACGAGTTTGAAGCGTCATTAATGATAAGCAAAAAAAAAGGATTTTAAATCACGGTGAGATGGCTACTTCATCAATCTGTAGTGATGTTACTGTGACCGATGTATTAAAACGTGCGGGGAGTGCCATCACAATGACATCTCTAAAGTCTAATAATAACAATGCCTGATGTGCAGGGACCAAATGGTAGTGTCAAGGCAATGTGTTATGGCAAGTGTTGAACGCTCACCGGCATTGGCGTAGATTTTCTTCTGTTCCGTGTCCGTGGTCATCTCGAACAAGTCGCTGTACCCACGTACGAGGCGCCATAGGAATTCTGCGCTGTTGCTGTACTGCAGAGACGGTAGGGGAACCGATAATTCAACATCGCTTCCATGTGGTGGGTGTGGCAGCAGTGAATTGTGCTGATACATCCATTATTATACAATACTTTAAAACGCTCACATCTATGGCTTACCACCTCGCAAATCCATATGGACCAGCTTCGTTAGTCAAGGTCAAATAGCTCCCAAGAACTGCAGGGTGCAGGGAGATCCTCATCCAGCAGCATATTGACAAGAGTTCTACGTGTACATGCACGACTGAAAAAGACCAACACCTCTTCTCTACAATGTGTCACCTGGGCATTTAAACACGAGTTTCAAGCTTCAATAATGTGAAAGTAGACTTGTATTTATACATATGTTGAACTTCTTTCGCACCATACATTGCCAACCGTGCTAATCGGAGGTGCGGACTTCACAGTTCATGTGTTTGGGTTAAATAAGAGATAGACTTGCGGATGCACCACCTTTGCTTCCCACTGTGCTACATTGCTGTGTTTTAGCCACATGTTCTGTTTGTTGATATCTCTCATCGTTGTAGAAACCACAGGCCCGATTCGCAATAAGTAACGGTGATATCACCACAACGACTGCACCAGGCTCCCTGGTAGGTGCACACACACAGACGGACACACCGTGCCCCTCTGCTGATCCAGGACGCGGAACCCCTCCTCTCGGCTGCTGGCGTCGCCCGAGTGCAACCGGTCGGCCTCCACGAGCAGCCGCATCAACTCCTCATCTGCGGTGCTGTCCAGTGGCACAACGACAGCTTCAACCTCAGCGTCGTTCACTCCCTCTTCCACCTCCTGCTTCACTGCTTCGCCGCCCACCAAGGAGGCCTGAGTCACGCATCGCGCTGGGACAGAATTCTCGTTGTCTTCATCATCGTCCGAGTCGCCTCTTGCCGTGGCGTAGCTGCAACCAGGAAACGAGAAGGACGCGTTATGTAATTTGGTGCGTTCAGTAATTTCTGTCCAACTGTTCCACTGGCAAGGGCGACCTGTTTAAAATATTCTGAGCAGGTGCTGCAGGAGCAAGTGGAAGACCCATGGGGAATTCGGCAGCGATGCCATTAACTTACAAATATCATTGTGAAGCGGACGTGCAGTGCATTCAAAGTCAAACGATCACCTCCACTGGTGGTCCCGATCCCGTAGTGGTGGACATTTTAACATGCCAATGCATGTGAAGGAGTGGTGGAACGGTGGCTAGCTCAGTGTTATGAAACCCGATTAATATCAATGGTTAGTGATATCTTAACCAATCCTGGGCATTCTCCACAAACCAAAGTGAAGTATGGTCAGACAACCCCCATGACTGACACAGCATAGGGAGTTATTTCGTCCAGGATTGATTCTATGTACGTATAACAAAAAAATATTATGTGCGTCGTCTCTGCTTAAATAGGCGTTGGGCATCGCTTACATCCATTGCTGGCCCTCAGCCAGCCGTGGAAATTCACATTCCTATGGTGGGGGCAGTTTTTCCACTGAGTGTTGGGATGCAATGACATTAATAACCTAGTTTCAAGGGGCACGTATTTTAGTAATGCCCGGTGCTTTCCATTGTGTGTTTGCAAGATCACATGCTTATTCAAACTACAGTATAATGCAGTTCCATCATAATGGGCGAAGATTACCGAGTTTCTATGGGAACCACGACATGAAGAGGCCAGTTTTTATAAAATATATACATTATCAATGCCTGCTAATTACTGTTATCCGACCGAAGCTCCAGTTCAAGAATACCCTGTATTGTCTGTGTAATGAATAGGATTCTTATTCAATTCGACGTGCCCTTTTCAGCAGTATCACTCTGCACATGAACGCAAAGCACAATTGCATCACTGTGTTGCAATGCCATGGCAATAACACACAATTAGGCCACTTTAAAAGGCCAAAAAATGAGGCCATTCTCTGGAACGCAATAGCCTTGAAAGGGTTCACGGTTTTAAAAATGTAGCTTATCTTATCAGTGCGCAACCTTTTGTCCCTCAAACCTTGAATCAAAGGTTATCCTGTGTTCTAGTCCAAGGATACACCAACAACAAATAAAACGTATTAAAATGTGTCTCCGTAACGTTGACTGAATGCACTGAAAAACTTTGCAAATTGAAAAATCTAAAATTCAAATATAAGTTTATGGTCCAGCAAATGGTACATGTGGGCAGACAATGAGCATGAAGTAATGTTGAAATGTTTACTGATTTTAAACGTTGTGGTTTAGAACGCGGTGTACGGATTCTTAGCCACGATATGAATTAACACGTCCATTTCTGTCGAGTGTAGAGAATAAAGATTTTACGACCACGAGTGTGACCACCACCATCACAATATCACGAAATCTATCCCCAAAATAAACGTTACCGTAAACATGACACATTAAAACAAAATTCACAAGTGCCAACAAAGCCATGACCGAATTAACCATCAAGTGCATACAAACTCGCACCACAACCTCCATCACTACAACCACCACCATAGCCTTCACCAAGCGGTCAGTCATCACCGTCTCTACGTCCATCATTATCACCACCACCAACCACTACCATCCTCAAAATCTACAACCACAACAATCCCATACTCTTAGGTTTCTTCGGCAGTCACGTAGGTAAAAAATAAAATTAATAGAATAATAGAAATTAAATAATAAATCACATTTTATTCCTATTATTACTTCTATTAATTGTATTTTTTACCTACGTGACTTTACCGAAAAAAACCTAAGCGCATGAATCATTGCAGTCACGAAACCTTCAAATCTAGAACACAACAATCCCAACCAACGCCACAAGCACCATCAACCACAACCACCTCCACCATCAACGCATCCTCCACCAAAAACCCACCGCGCCACCACACCGCGTCCGCTCACCCGCCCTCGCTCTCGGCGCCGCCGCCGTTGCTGGCGCCGAAGTAGATGGAGTCGGATCCGTCCGAGTCGGAGTTGCGTCTGCGAGGCAGTCCCCTGCGTCTGCGTCCGCCTCCCCAGGCACCCCCGGGAGGCGCAAGGCTCTCGGTTCTTCTCCTCACCTCCTCCACGGCCGCGGGCAATCCATCGCGCAGCAGGGCGCTCAGCTCCTCCCTCAGGCCCTCCATACCGTGCATCACGGCCACGATCTGCTCGGCCATCTGGGCCTGCCGCTCCAGCAGAGCCGCGACGGCTTCAGAGACCGGAGACATCGCGAAGAACCCGGTCGCGTCATCGCGGTCTCCGCCGCCCAAGGCGCCCTGATCTCGGCGGCGGATCCAGGAGAGACCGAGGCCTAGGCCTACTGCACCGGTAACGGCTCCTGCGCCCGCGAGGAAAGCGAGCACCAGCGACGTCCGCCCGCCGCCGCCGCTGCTACCGCTAGCGGCGACGACGCCGACTGTCTGCAGACTCGACATCATCGCGTCGTCCTCGCTTACTGCTGTTGCGGTGACTCCGGAGAGACGGCAGCCGTGGACCGAGGAGCCCCGATTCAATTCAAGCTCTCGGACACGTGGTCTCCAATTCCCTAACATTCTTCTGCACGGGCACCCCAAGCGGCTCTCCCATTGGCGCACGGCTCGCCGCATCGACGCGCTCATTGGTTCGCGAGAAGCACGTGCTAGTCTGCACCAATCAGCGGCAGCAAGGCCAGTGCTTGGCGCTTGTCGAGTGTAGGGATTATACTGCAGGGGTGTGGCTTGACGGTGGAGGGGCGGGGGGACTGACCTTGGTGTACCCCCCCCTCACATCCACCACGTGGTGCCTCAATGGATCGTGCCAAGGAATGAATAATTATGAATGAATAATGATGAATTATGAATGAATAATGATTCAAAAGTATATTGATAGTGTTTTTACAAAAGTCAGAATCTTGTCGGGTGGTATAGGGTCAATAATACGTTTTTGAAAGAAACTACACCACGTGGCATACAACCCAAAATTAAATGTAAGATCAGTGATGATTGAATAGAAAATGATTTAATTATTTAATCTCACATGACATTAATTGCCGAATAGATTTTTGTATTGTTAAATGAGCGGTACGGCTGAATTAATACTCTTGAATGAATACCGTATTGAATTAGTGAATACTGATTAATAAATAAATAAATATTGAAAATATGAAGAGTTTAATGAATAGATATGCATTAACATCTTGCGAATACGGAGTACTGAATTGGTCGGTGTTTTATTGTTGAATAAATTAAGTAGTGAACGAATATTGTTCAATGAATGAATCGTGATGAATGAGTCAACCGCGCGCAATGAATTAATATGTGCATTGTTTCATGCAGAAACCTTGAGATATGGTGACGGATGGGTAACGGCCTTCATCAAAAAGTGGACTGATTATTGAAGATGATGCATGGATAAAATATGAATACTTGAAACATGTAAAGTGCTTAACGATGTGTAGAATGTTGTCAAATTAACGAATACGAATTCATGAACATTGCGTGAGTAGTGTTAAATTAATAGCTTGTAATAATGGTCCGATAGGACGCCCAGCGCAGAGATGAGATCAGCTTATATATGCAGAGATGAGATCAGCTTATATATGCAGGGATGAGATCAGCTTATATATGCAGGGATGAGATGGATGGTAGAATCCATTGCACCGTGAGGAATGGCGGCGGCGTGGTCAGAGGCCCTTTATCCAAGTCCTCCCTTTGCTCAACCTCTATGACCAAAATATCCGAGTGTTGCCGAGTTAATGATGAATCAAGCAAAAGGGACGGACAGGTCTAAGAGGCTTGAGCACTCAACCGTCAGAAACACTCCCCTTGTCAATATTCCGATCTGTGGGGGTTAGCAAATACAACGATTATAAGACGGTCTTTGTTTGTGCGCAAGTTGTTTCGAACAATCGCGTAGCAGTGGCTGAAATGATGGCGGTGATTGTCGACTCTGGGGGTTGCTTGCAGGACTTAATTTCAGTTGAGTTAGCGGCCCGAAAATGTATTCCGCACACAACATCCAAGATATCTCTCGCTACGGCTGTGGCCTCACTTGTCACGTACCCATACATCTCCCGGTCTACCAGCGATCCGGACAATATTGCATGAGAAACCGAAGCCGTGGTTACATGTGGATACTGTTGTTTTGTGGGGAATTAAGCCATCATTGGTTGTCCTGTGGAGAGACTGTTCCCGTCATGGCAATGTGGATTTGACACACCAGGATCGCCAGTACAAACGAGCGTTCACAGAGTGCCACACGTTGTACGGAAATAAAAACTAAAACTACCCGAAATTAATGGTATACGGTAGTTAATGGGAAACATTTAAATGAATACACATCCGTCTAGCCACATACAAATATAACGCGTTCGGCCCATCGACCTATGGGTACTGCGGAAACATGTTTACCTGCAGATAATAAACAAGTGATTAGTTATTCTTTGGGTCTTTCGGTAAAGTCACGGAGAAAGGTTGAAATAAAATAACAAAAAACTACGACGTTTCGATCACAACACACGCGATCGGGAGGATGACGACCGCGTGTGTTGTGATCGAAACGTCGTAGTTTTTTGTTAATTTATTTCAAACTATCTACGTGATTTTACCGAAAGACCCAAAGAATATGAATTCCTGCAGTCACGAAAGCTTTAAGTCAAGATTTAAGTGATTCGTTTTTACGTTTGAATCAAATATTACACACATCCAGATGTCTATCGAACCACAGCGCGATAGAAAACCCAACATCATATACCGCACAACCCTTTTTGCCAATTCACCGATGGATGAGGGCCTCCCCACGACTTTTCGGCCGCGGTCGATGATTGTGTAAACATTTTTACATCACGCGAGTCCAGGACCTGGCCATCGAATGCCACTGACCACTGATGTTAGCCGTGGCGGGGACTCGAACTCAGGTCGCATGATCCGCTGGGTTCTTAGTCAACACTCCACACCACAATATTTAGAAGAACAACAACAACAACAAATAAAATACCTGGTCGAAAGCGCGCCCGTTGTCCACCTTAATTGAGACGGGCGGATCGATGTTCTACCGAGAATGACGATGTCGACACAAACTAGGTCAGTGAACTGGTCGTTTAATCGGGCAGAGAGTGCTGCCCATTGTTATTGAAAACAATCGCCACCCCCTCACCTCCACCACCCGCTTGGTTAAAAGCTGACACGTTGCGGGTGGATAGATGCACCAACATGCCTTCCCAAACCACGAGCTCATTTGGGGTCTCCATGGGTGGCATTCCTTTTGCGCGGGTGGGGGGGGCGGTTTCTGTGTAATGAATAAACGTTGCACGTTTACAAATGTACATTTCCCGAGAGGCAGTCAGACTGCTTTAAAGCTGGAATTTCCAACAGAGTTTGGAGACATTCTTTGCCTCGCTCACAAATGCGTGGAGAAAATGCGAACCGGACAGGACTCGCGCTGAGCCATAGACATTTAAATTCACCTGCAGCGCTCGTTTAACAAAATAAGAATCCACAGCGGATGCCGATGATTGTCTTAAACTAAAAAAATATATATACCGTATGGTAGGCAACGTTTGAATCAATGGGGTTTCTTCACAATTACGTGTAATGTTATTGGCAAATTTGTTTATTTTTGTTTGTTATTTGTGCTTATCCACCACTGCCAAATCTCGTAGCACAATGTTTATCTTAAACTGCTGCTGAACTGGGTTTCTCATAGGCCAGAGAGTCTTGCCCATTGTTTTTTCAGAGATCCTCGTCAGCCATGCTGGATGAAGACCTCGCCAAACCTCTGCCACCCTCTCACGATCTTGCGATGTAGTAATTATCCATCCCGCACATGCACATGAACTCATTTCATCTCTTCGACCCATCCCCCGCCCTACCGATTAAAGCTGATAATATAAAAGTTGTAAAAGGAAATGTATAATGAGTTACTACTCTGTTCTGTCTTCACATATATATAATATTAACAACATGTTTAAGTCCATTAGCTTATTGCAATTCCAGAGCAATATTTTCAAAGTACCAATTGTTGAATTAAGCAAGCAAACTGTGGGCCGTTTTCGACATCAACACATTTACACTACCCTTAGAGCAGTGGTTCTTAATCTGGGGTGCACGCACCCCCTGTGGGTGCGAGACATGCCATATTTTTTTTAGAAGGTAAATAATCGGAACACACATTAGGCACGGGCGCGTAAGTACAACTACTTTGTTTCATCAAACATGTATTTATTAACATTATAAAAAAAATTAACCATTAAGAACCAAAGGGGCGTAAGGCTGAAGTAAAGGTTAACAACAACATGTATTAAAGAATACACAGTATATATGTGTGTGTATAAAATAGGCGACGCTTCGGGCAATGGTCTTTTAACTGACAATGACCGTTCATAGCAGATAGATCCTTCACGGAAAAGGTGTCATTGCCCGAAACGTCGCTTGTCATATCGTTTCATGTTTTTCCTCTTAAGGTAGCGTTCTTGATAAATGCGTTGAGTTGTTATGTTGATTGTGCACCAATGCCGACGCGGGATCCCACAAACGAGAGGGTTTTTAACAGGAAGGTGCTGCGTGCCTGCAATGTTTGGTCAGTTCCTTGGTTTTATTCAACACTTTGCCCATTGCGGGTTGCTTAACAGCGGGGGTGGGCGGTGGACGTGGTAGGGGGTCCCCAAGGTTTGTTCAGATCGTACCACTGATGTTGGCCACGAGTGGGAATCGAACCGTACAAGCGATGGTCGTAGGCTATCTTTTATAATAGCGAGCTCAAATCACCGAAAGCCAACTAATAGTATTGGATTGTTATTCTTGGTTCTTTCGGTAAAGTCACGTGACTTTGCCGAAAGAACCAAGAATATGAATCCCTGCAGTCACGAAAGCTTTAAATCGAAAAAGTATTGGATTGTGTTGATGTTCGTTGGCTATTTTTACTATTGAAACAATCACCTGACGTTTCGCAAAGTCTTGCTCTGTTTTTTTTTATAACTCAATAGAGATCATTGGCTGGCTTCATTTCTGACGAAGATGTTGAAATTGAAAGTGTACAAGTTGCTGATTAGGTGCTGCGCTCTCATCCCGCAGCGGAATGCCGTTTACGGATTTGGCGATTTTGGATTGTTCAACTGTGAGACTGCCTGATTTGTGGAACTGACTGCCCACACAAAGTCTGCTAATGGATCGGATAACTTAGACTTCGTCAGGATATTTCCAGGAGAGCTTTATATTGCGGTGAATCATTTGTAAGTAGCGCACTAAACTAATAGGAAGCAATTATAGGGAAAAACAGCAGTGCCAAAGAGTAAAACAAATCTGGTCACACACCAGAGGTCGCAACCGGGTACCCGATACCCGTACCCTACCCGATACCCGGCTACCCGTACCCGGCCGGGTACGGGTAGCCGTTTGCGACCCTGGTGCGGCCGGGTACGGGTACGGGTAGGCCGTGAGTCACTGGTGAGTAACTGTTTGTCACTCATTTCGGGTAGGGTACGGGTACGGGTAGCGTACGGGTACCAATACCCGGCCGGGTACGGGTACCCGTTTGCGACCCTGGTGCGGCCGGGTACGGGTAGACCGTGAGTCACTGGTGAGTAACTGTTTGTCACTTATTTCCCAACGTCTTGTCTCTTCTCACAATTCAAGTTCCTAGAATCAACCCACCCGCGCCTGCAACATGGCTTCATCCCAGAGGTCGCAATCAGGTACCCGATACCCGTACCCTACCCGTACCCGGCCGGGTACCGGTAGGGTACGGGTACCCGGCCGGGTACGGGTACCCATTTGCGACCCTGATGCGGCCGGGTACGGGTAAGGAATCAAAACCCGTTTGGGACCTCTGTCACACACACACCTACAGGATTATAAGACGCACCCTATTTTTTGTATTTAAGGTTTGATGAGTGGGGGGGGGGGTATTATAATATGGAGAATTTGGTAATTCGTGAACGTTCTTCTCTGTACGATGTGGTGGAGGCTTTGCTTTTGCAATACATTACTGAATTAATCGTTGCGGAGAAACATTATTGGATTTCCCTGTAAAGCAGCGGTCCCCAACCTTTTTGGCACCAGGTACCGGTTTCGTGGAAGACAATTTTTTCACGGACCGGGGTGGGGGGGGGGGGGTCATCATTGGGTCTTTCCTCCTTAATTCTAGATTTGAAGCTTTCGTGACTGCAAGGATTTATACTCCTAGGTTTTTTTCGGTAAAGTCACGTCGGTAAAAAAAAAAAATCACGACGTTTCGGAGGCAACACAAGTCTCCGTCTTCAGGTGAATCTAGCTGTGACGGTCCCACCTGAAGACGGAGACTTGTGTTGCCTCCGAAACGTCGTGATTTATTATTATTTTATTTTTTTACCCACGTGACTTTACCGGAAAAAAAACCTAAGAGTATCTTTCCCCCTTTTCAAAGAAGCTCTCCAGCGACGTTTGTTTTTTTTTACTCATTTAGAGCTTGTGGGCTTACCAAAACTGTGAGCGAACCCTGGGGTCGGGAACCCCTGCTGTAAAGTTGTTAATGCCTTCCACTCTCCGCCACAACCGCCCTCTATTGTGCCCCAGCTAATTTAATTTTTAAGATAACCGCTCAGCTCACTGCCGTGATGTTGAGTGTGTGTACCATGGAAATGCGGGATAGGGGCCGTCCATAAATGACTTTACGCGATTTTGGACGTTTTTTGACTCCCCCCCCCACCCTCGTCACATGGCGTCAAGTCAGACCCCCCCCCCTCAATATGACGTCACAAAGCTCTGCCCCCCCCCCCAAAACCATATTTACATTTTGAAAATAAAACATGCTTCAAATCGCTTTAAACTATTGTCATTGTAGTGCGTATTTAATGTGGCGCTGCACTCTGATGTTGTAGGAGTGTTGTTATGACAATTAGTGTTGTTATAACAATTCTATATTTATTTAAAGTTGCGCATTTTGTTGTGACGTCACATTTCTCACACCCCCCCGTCACACATCGTCACAAATGTCTGACCCCCCCCCCCCTAGGTGCGTGACGTCATTTATGGACGGCCCTTTATGCGGCCGCTGTGAATCTGCCTGTGTTGGTGGGGAACGCTCGAGTGCAGCGAACCCGGCCACCCAATGCCGATTCCCAACAACTCCGTACTTCGAACCGGTTCCTGACCCTCCGTCCCCTAGGTCGACTCAGCCTTAAACGAGTACAACGGTTGGCGTTGCGTAAACCCCCATCAGCACTGGGGGAGAGAAATGCGACCGGGCATGGTTGGTTGGTTGGTGGTGGTGGGTCACAGGCGCTCTCGCTGCCAGCCACGTGGCCCCAATCGATCTGTTGAAGGCGACACGGGCGACCGGTGGTGCCACTGTTGCACCCCCGACCCCCTTTGTTACCCAACGCCTGTTGCGGTGCGGCGTTGTGCCTCGTTGGAGATTGGCGTCCATTCAACTGCGATCCCACCACCCCCTTATTCCGTGCTAAAGTCCTAGCGAAACGTGATGCAATAGTTGGGGTATTACACCACTACCACCACCACCAACCAACAACTTCAACAACATCACCACCACCAAACAACCACCATCCCCCCCACACACACTGCCCGGGGCACGCGACATCGTCAGCCACGCAGCAAAACCTCGTGGGGCGAGGCTCTTACTGCCTTCTTCTTTTGAGACATTTCGCAAACAGTGTTCGTAACACAATTCACGTTGTCTCCGCGTGTGAACCCATCCCAGGGTGACCTCGCTTGCCTTCGCGGGGCAATCATTCGAACGGTATTTGTATTCTCCCAAAGCCTTCGGGAGAAGTCGACACGGAGCATGCCGTACATCTTGATAAGCACACAGATAAGGCTGGTAAGTACTGTAATGCGAGCTCGAAAACAGTACTGTACCGCGCGCGCGTGTGTGTGTATATTAAAAAGGTCATTCATGTATGGATATACCACGCTTCTATGCCGATGAGTTAAGCCTATTTGGACTAAACGGGCTATCGATTCGCGCGAGATCGATGGCTCTGTTAAGAGGAGCATGTTAACAGCGTTGCACTCTTTAAACGATGCCCTTTTGTTTTAGTCGGTGTGCCTATAATACATATGGCACAGGGAGTGTTTTTAAATCCTTTATATTAAGTTCGCTTGCTTGCTTAGGACCGTGCAAATCTTTCGGTCGTTTTTTAACCCACTTCCTGTGATACAATCGAGCTGACATTTTCCACACAGACTCGTTGTGCGTGACAATGCATTTTCGTGAAAAAAATGTTCCAAAATTTTACACTGTTTAGGGAATTTTTAAAAAATATTTTATTACCAATTGTTTAATTCTGCCAGACAATCATCTGACCCATAGGTGGCAGCCATCTCAAGCCAGAAGACGAGAGGACTCTAGCCGCCCCGGTGCCACGCATATATAGTGAAAAACTTTGTTTTTACGGGTTTACTTTTTTTCGGAGTCTGCTTGGGACCACGCTTTGCACCACCCCGCATCACGGCCCCACGCCCTGGGTTCGATTCCCCCCAGTCGCGTGTGTATGTTGAACTTTTTTCGCACCGTACCGTGGCCAACAGTGCCAATCGGAGGTTTGCATCAAGGGGGCGTCCATAAATGACGTCACGCGCGATTTTGGACGATTTTTGACCCCCTCCCCCTCGTCACACGGCGTCACAAGAAGTCAGACCCCCCCCCTCAAATATGACGTCACAAAGCTCTGCCCCCCCCCAAAAAAAAATAAAACATGCTTCAAATCGCTTTAAACTATTGTCATTGTAGTGCGTATTTAATGTGGCGTTGCACTCTGATGTTGTAGGAGAAAACATTTATTAAAAAGTCTATTTAATTAAGTAGAACGTGTTGTCTATGTTTATTTAAAGTTGCGCATTTTTATGTGACGTCACATTTCTCAACCACCCCCCCCCTCGTCACACATCGTCACAAATGTCTGACCCCCCCCCCCCAGGTGCGTGACGTCATTTATGAACGGCCCCCAAGTGGCAATTACGTGGCATCTGTAATATGAGTATCTAAATCGGCCCTGCGCTTTGCACATAGTTCAGCGCTCAGTCTTAAATGACAGCGTTTGTGCATCGACTAAACATCGGCACTTTGGAAATACAAAGGCGGCCGGGCGAGGTGCTAAGCACGCCAACCCCTCCATTGCGGCGTGCGCCTCAAGAGGTGCTCGCCAACAGCTACGTGGGATTATTCTACGGATTGGTAATGGCACGGGGAAACCTGCATCCCGCAGTGGATAGAACATGGCTCACGATTGATCACGACAATGATAGTGATGATGATTACATGATAACCATCAGGTTGTTATATGACCTGTTACAAAGGTGAAAGCGCAGCCCTGCAAGTGTACTTTTGGCAGAAGGGCCTCCGCAATTGGGGGAACTTTAGAGACGATCTACAGAGAGTAGTTGGCCTACTCTTCCACTGCCTACCGAACGACTAACTGTGGGTGCGCTCATTTATACTGCTGGGTGGACAGAGGCGAGGGGGGTGGGGGGTTTCAGAAACGTGACCGTTGTTCCTCCTGCCGTGCAGGGAGATCGAACCGGCCATGTGGGAACCAACATTACACTTTGACATGCGGATCATGAACATGGACGCTGACAAATAGAATGGAACAATGTCTTAAAAAATGTGCAAAGAAGGTCAAGTTTCATAATGCAGTTTTTTTTGGGTCTGATCGCGTAAATGTGTAAATGTATCGTTAAACCCGCCACCACCCGACACAGCCAACTAGTAAGGTTTGCCATGTAAATAGAACGTGGCTAATTCGTCACTAGTACAGCACACCGGTTGTGTGTTTGAGAGCAAAGCCACAACATTTACAATCTTAGTACGACGTTTTGCCAGTAATTTCTACCAGCTTCATCAGGCGACAGCCAGATTTGTGGAGAAATCCTCCTGTTTCGTGCCTTAAATAGAGGGGATAGATGTGGGTGGCAACATTTGTGAGCCCTTCTTGAGGATGAGTCTCATTTGTAAGAGGGACCTGGGTCATTGAACTAACAAAAGCAAAATAAGTACAAATTTGTGCGTACATATGTTGAACTTCTTTCACACCGTACGTAACCAACCGTGCTATCCGGGGGTTGCGGGAATACAATTAAGTACGTCTGTGACACAATTAGAAATAATAAATGAAGCAAAGAAACAACTACGGCCATGCCCGAGAGCATCGAGAGACGGAATCATGCAATTATCTTGTGTTTTGCAGGCAGATGGTCTGGTGTAAATTTCGATTTAAAGCTTTCGTGACTGCAGGGATTCATCTTCTTGGTTCTTTCGGTAAAGTCACGTAGAAGGGAAGTAATAAAATAATAAAATAATAAAACATAATAAAAATAATTCTCACGACGTTTCGGCTACAACGCAAGCAGCCGTCTTCAGGTGAAGAATGAGACACTGCCAAGCTTGGCAGGTGAAGAATGAGACACTGCCAAGCTTGGCAGTGGTCTGGTGTGCTAACGTTTTACATCACGGCAGTCATTCCCCTGTGATGACCACTGTACGGCTTGGGCTGTTTGTTTTGTGTGATCACTGGCATTACCCCGGATTATTCCGCGCAGGAATCGGGGCCAACGACGGTTGGCGATGAACTCTCGGATCCTGAACTCATGGCATTCCTGGGAGCCCAGAAGGTCACGGAGCTGGGAAACAACTTGTGAGTCACCGCACACGCACGCAAATAAACAAAGACAGCAGTCCCTGGCTTAGCCTCTTCAGAATCCAGAATCTTCCTTTATCCTGCAGGAATTCGTTGAGCTAATGAAGCTCTTTGTCACAAATGTCCAGGAGGGGCAGGTCAGCGAGTTACAAAAACAAACAATACAAAAATCCATAGGAGTGCAAAGTAGGGAAAGGGTAAGCAAGTCACTAAACCAAATTAATAAATAATAATGTATCAAGTATATAGCTACAAATCGCAAAAGTACATAAATTCCTGTCGATTTTTCAACACTAAATGCAAGCTTGGAGTGCTAACCCTAACCTGCTATGGCTCGTATGGCACACAAGCCCATCTACTTTTCTCAACATCGCTAAAACTGTGCAGAGAAGTAAGCGGGCTTTGGCCAGGGCACACATCGCTGGAAAAGGTTTGGTGGCTGGTGGTCGGGTTATAATGACAGGGATGGCAGCCAAGGGAGTGGCGAGTGCATCGACAGAGGAGGAGAAGAAGCTCCTAGCATGTGGAGAGCAAATTCGGACGTCATGCCGAATCACACCTGGTACAATCCGAAAATACATCTGAGAGCTAAGGGGCGTTATTATTGTTGTTGTTGTTGTCTGACGTGTCCTGGTATGTCATATTACAGTGTGACGTGGTCTCCTGTAACTGACGTAATGTGGCGTGGTGTGGCCTTAGCATGATGTGTTGTGGCTTGATTTGGTGTGGGATGGTGTGGCGTGGTGTATCGTGATGTGATGTGGTGTGGCGTTTTGTGGTGTGGTGTGGTGTGGTATGGTGTATCGTGGTGTGCTGTGTCACAGTTCTGAGTACCGCGTGCAGACGATGCCACGCGTCGTTCTGGACAAGCTCGCGTCGCGCGGGTACGAAGTCGTCTCCATGTGTGGCGTCGGACAAACGCTCATCTGGTGTCTCTACAAACCCTGAGGGCACGCGCTTCAAGTCGGCGCCGGGCCGGCAAGCCAACCCCGGCCACGGACTGATCTACCACGATTTGTGTTTTTTTTTGAAGGGCGAAAGAAAACTGGCCCTGTTTGCCGGCATCACGGTCCAAATTTGATCAATTACTTGCAGATTTATAATTGGGAAAAAAAAACACGTAGCAAGACCACCCCTAACCAATGAATGCCCACTTACAGGCCGATTCAACCTTCCCCGTTTAGCTGCACAGGGACAGCTGCCACTCGGTTTCCCCTTGGCTAAACTGCAGCAGGGCATTGGAATGGTTGAGATGAGATGTATGTGTATATATGTTGAAACTTCTTTCGCACCGTACGTAGCCAACCGTGCTAATCGGAGGTGTGGGGGGAAGGACAACGAACGAAACACATTGAAAGTAAGTTGCTTCGATTTGCGGAGACATTTCAACAAGCGCCCTGTAAATGCAAATCCTTACAGATACATAATTAATTTGTTTCCACTGTGCTGCTGATCATGGTCATGAGTTGTGAATTTGTGCGATCTTGACTTTGGCATTCCCATTGAAAAAAAAACCCACGTCATTTTTTAAAAGTTGGTTTTCTGTCGTGTGATTTTTTTTTTTACGTTCACCACCCCCTCCAAAATTATATTCCAGTTGTGCTATCGGAATCACTTAATGAGACAAAAGACATTTAGAGTTGTAACTCTGCAGGTAAGGGTGCATCAGTGCATCACCCTGTGTCAGAGAAAACGGCCCTGGAAAGAAGACCTCACAACGACCCCCTTTAGGTCATTTCCAAGTTGGCATCTTTATCCACACTCATATATTGCACGCAAGGAGTAATCTTCCCATGGCAAACACATTCCTGCGGAGGGAGCTGGTAGGAACGTTGGGTTGCTCGGTCAATGGCCAGGGTCAACGGCGGCGTGGTGTATTCCGCAAATATGGCCGACTGTGAGGGCGGGCAAAAGCTGGCGTGAGTAGGTTAAACATTGCGTTTTATAAGGGCACCACGGGGTGACCAGCCCCTCCCCACCCAGCCCCACCCCTCCCACCCCCCACCCACCCTCCCCACCCAGCCCCTCCCCACCCTCTCCACCCAGCCCCTGCCCACCCTCCCCTCCCCACCCAGCCCCTCCCTCTCCACCCAGCCCCACCCCTCCCATTTTTGGATGCACGACAGACGGACGGACACAATAATCCCCTGTGGGCTGGTGGAACCAGGAGGGTCCTACCAGTATTAAAGCTGAAATATAGCCACGTTTCTATTGTGGGCATTGGCGAATGGCCTGAGACCTTTAAGTCACTACACTTGAGGACTCGGAGGTTGCGCGGTTTCACGAAACAGGGCAGGTTCAGCCTCGAGTTCTCTGTTGCGTTCGTGCGTGCAAGGCACAGTGCCTACTGTGCCTAGGGACTACGGAAACTGAAGGACCCACGAAAAAGATGTTGACCATGTTTTGTTTTGTTTGTGTGTATGTTCAAAAATGTAACCCAAGATATGTTATTGATAAATATATTTATATAGCCAGGATAGGCACAGTGTGTATACAAAGAGGCAGAGTCGTGTCAATTGGTTTTTTTTTCATAAGTTGAGAAATTAACAACCGGAGATGAATTTAGAGATTTTTTTTCTAATTGCAAAATTTTCAATAACAGCTTCCAATGGTGTTTTTCGCACAATCTCATTCTCAGTAGACAGTAGTACAATGAAAGACAATCGTTGTCCTATATTTAATCGGAGAGTTTTTTAAAATCAACTTTAGCGTGTGACAGCGGCGGTAGCAACACGGGGCAGCAGCAGCATCAGCAGTACCAACTGTAGAGACTTGTCACTGAAGGCCTACGAAACAGAAATGCCTCGGGCTGACAAGAACATGAACCCGGCCCCGAGTGCGTGTTAAACACTTTGCAACGTACGACCCTCATCAGCAGTCAACCGAGTAGGTTACCTCCCATGCAATGTGACATTAACACCGATAGCCACTGGTTGTGTGCGAATATAATTTTCACTACGTGTGTTGCGGTATAACTGTTCAAGCTCATACAGAGCGAAATCTGTGTGTGTGGGGGGGGGGGGGGGGGTTCTACGTAAGTGCGCAAAACAACGCATCGCTGTGCAGAAACGGTGAGAAAGCGTTGGTCGGTTGGTAGGACAGCCGTTCATTCGCAGAAGAATGTCAAGGATGACGTTGAGGCTGGACTTGAACAGGAGCAGGGAGTCGACAGCACGGACTGCTGGGGTGGGGGAGGGACATTCCAGACAATGAGGGTAGCAGAGGAGGGAGAATAAGCGAGCCTCAATTTGTGCTTCGTTTACTGCCGTGCAGGCGTCAACCCTCTCGGACGGATCATGTCGCAACAACTTTCGTGTTCTAATTTTCAAATGAAAATACATCTGAAATATTTCCGCATTAAAGACTTTAACAGTGCCCTACAAATGTCTGCATGTGTAGTCGTTATATCAGTGCACGACCACCACGTGCGCACAGTTATTCCAAACATCGATCATCATTATCAGCCCAGGATTGATCCACTGCTGGATGAAGGTCTCCCCAAGCGGTCGCTAACTCACACAAATCGATTTAGCAATCCGCCTGGCACACGAGGTGGTGATTCAATCGCTCTTTTTCTCTTGGGTCGCCATCTCTCTCTCTCTCTCTTAGGTGTTTTCGGTAAAGTCACGTAGGTAAAAAATAAAATTTTACTTTTATTAATTTTAATTTTATTTTTCACTTACGTGGCTTTACCGAAAAAACCTAAGAGTATGAATCCTTGCAGTCACGACAGCTTCAAATCTAGAATCTCTCTCTCCTCTTGTCATTCACAGCTATCCTGCCCGAGTTGTGTGGTTTCAATCTTCCTCCATCGGAGGGCGCCGCAGGCTCCCGTCGGGGATTATCCCCCTCTGATGAGCTCTCTCCATGCATTACGGTTTCCTCTCAAAGTTTTCATCGAGAAATTGGCCAAAAATTATTCTGCCAAAGCAAGACTCACCTTTAAAATAAGTCTTCAAACGCAGTTAAGGATTTTGCATATTCATACGCTCTGGATATAAAGAAAGTGCAATTCTTTGTGAGCTTTGAATCTTTCTGCCAAATATTAAACGATAAACACTTCGCGGGCAGTCAACAGTGGCTTATGGACGGACTGGTCCCCGACTTATGAATGCGGAATTTCCACAACAACTGGTGGTCAACATCGCCTGCGAGAGCTAGGGAACACTTTGTGACGTTTAAATAAAGGGCGCGTTATTTTTTTGGGGGGGATCAAATCACCCGCAGTGCGCCTCAACTCGTCAGAAACTGGCAAGCTCAGCGGGGTTGAGCCTGGATACTCTGCCGCATTGGCACCCACCACGTACCACACTGGCCGTCACGTGGCCTGGCGGGGCTACGTTAGCCGGGCGGTGGTGGCTACGCACGTGGCATGTCGCCCAAGCACCGTGGAGCCAGCAGCGAGGGTTGTTGGATCGCCGCACACTCACGCGGTGAAACTCGGCACCTCCCGCGAGACGTCGAGGAGGTGCCGTACCCCTGGCTCGCCAGGAGAAGGCGGCACAGCAAGCGGACTAATCGACACCTTTTGCCACCCGCACGGGGATCGAGTGTTGCCCCCTCGCACGTGCGGGTTTTCTCCATGTGCTCCGGTTTCCTCCCGCACGTGTCATAAACAAATCATCGTTAATTGGCCGAAAACATATTTCCTCCCGCAACCGTCTGTAACTCCCTTCCCCTTAGTCGGCCGTGCTGTCGACTCTCTCCCTGTTCCTGTTTACTTCCGAGAACGTCCTTCATCCTCTGCCTATAGAGGAGTATTGCCGATCAGTGGTGGCTGTGCATGTGGCCTATAATCATCCAGCGGTGTGGAGGTGGTGATTGTTGGTGGATCGTACAAATATTGTGAAACTCCCTTTCCGTGGGCGTAGAGGTGCTATACCCTGGCTCGCCAGGAGAAGGCAGTACAGCAAGTGGACTAATTGCCACCTGTTGCCACCTGTACGGGGATAGAGTGTTGCTCCCTCGCGCGCCGCGTGGGTTTTCTCCATGTGCTCCGGTTTCCTCCCGCACGTGTCATAAACAACTCGTCGTTAATTGGCCGAAAACAACTTAAAATAAAAAACATAATTTAGCAGCAGGACCCTTCTGAAAACGAGTCCTACGGCTCTGCTGGATGAAAAAAAAACTGATTATGTGCTTCTAATGTCGAGGGCAGTTCAGCAGCGTGTAAATCCACACCTTACAAATGTAAAAAAACACACAATCCTGGTGGAGATGGTCCTGCGAGGTTGACCTATTTATTTTTCCCCGCTCACGGATTACCACGGCCGCACAGTGCGGCCTATTTATTATACGTTGCATGATGGATTAATGTGCCCTCTTGCGAAGCGCTCTGGAGGGCCATATGCACGAGTGACGTTCGAGTGCAATCGTTTAAGCCCTCTCCGCTGTGCCTTGTAAACAATGGTTCATGCCTGCGTGAGTGCGTGAGTGGGGTTGTGCGCGCACGTGTGTGTGTGCGTCTTAGTTGAAGTGTAAACTACAGCACTGGGGAGACGAAGGCGGCCGGGCATGGTGCTGGCCTCTTCGTGTGCAGTTCCGGCCTTAATAGGTGCTCGCTAACAGAACTTGCCTCTACAGCCCTGTGCAGGTTATACGGGGAGCTTTGTCTTTGTGTGTATTTGTGTGTGTGTGGGGGGGGTTAGCGCGCTGCGCTACGACCCTTCGATTCCCGCTCACGGACAATACCAGTGACGATTATCTGAACCGGTTCTGGGCCTCCCCTAGGTCGACTCAGCCTCAAATGAGTACCTGGTGTGGTGCGTAAAAAACATCGCCACTAGGGAGACAAAGGCGGCCGGGCGTGGTGCTGGCCACCCACCCTCTCGTGTGCCGTTCTGGCCTTCATAGGTGCTCGCTTACAGCACTTGCCCCTACAGTCTGTTAAGGCTATACGGGGGATCTTTATGCTTACACACGAAACAATGGATGAGAGGATTGGGAGGCAACAGTGGACTCAGTGGAGGTGAGACCGAGAGAAGGGAAAAGCAGCAGCGGAGGAGGAGGAGGGCCGAAGAGACGGCGGTTTTGGGAGATGAAACTAAATAATGCACAGGCCACTCGTGGACATGAGCAGCTGGGCACAGGAGGAGGCGGAGCTAAGACAACGGGAGAGACCTTGGCCAAACAGCACAAAGTTCAACATCATCATCATCTTCTTGGTTCTTTCGGTAAAGTCACGTAGAAGGGAAATAATAAAATAATACAAAGAAAACATAATAAAAATAATTCTCACGACGTTTCGGCAACAACGCAAGCAGCCGTCCTCAGGTGAATAACAGGTCTGTCGGAAAGACAGCGTCTGAATGGCTTTCACAATATACACATTCACTATACACATTCACTATACACTATACACATTCACTATACACTATACTATGCATTCAGACGCTGTCTTTCCGAGAGACATGTTCTTCACCTGAGGACGGCTGCTTGCGTTGTGGCCGAAACGTCGTGAGAATTGTATTTTATTATGTTTTATTTTTATTATTTTATTATTTCCTTTCTACGTGACTTTACCGAAAGAACCAAGAAGATGAATCCCTGCAGTCACGAAAGCTTTAAATCGAAATCATCATCGTCGTCGTCGTCGGCCATGATCAATCCACTGCTCGACGACGGCCTTGTCAAGCCGCTCGCTGCCACCTTCGATGAAATAATAATCCACCTCGGGCCTGCACGCACACACCGCTGATTTCATCGCTCCATCTCCGTGTTTCTCTTCTTTGGCCGCGGCTCTGTTGTTATTCTTGACCCATCGCGACCATTTAGTTCGGTGGCTCTTAACCTTTGGGTGCGAGATGCCCTTTCTGGGGGTGCGAGGCATGGCCAGATTTGATTTAGATGGTAAATCTTCGAAACACAAATTCAGCACGGGCGCCTAAGTTTACTTCGTTTCATAAAACCTATGTATCTATTAAAATTATTCACGTTTTAATGATTGAGAACCAAAGGGGTGCAAGGCTGCTGTTAAGGTTAAGAACCGCTGATTTAGTTGAACATTACAGACTGACGACAACAACAACAACACGTGGATAGATGCAGGCAGTGTGTTTTTTTTATTGCACCCTTGTTTGGCTGGTTGGTTGGAAACATTTTGCGAGGGCATTAAACTTGTATGCGGGACGCACGGCACATAACCACCCACTGTGACATCACAGTAGTTCTGTCCCGGTGAGACAAAGGCAGCATGTTTTTTTTCTCACGTGTTTCACTCAATCCGTCTCATTATTATTTATACACAAACTGTTCTTCCCCCCCCCCCCTTTCTGGGCTCTTAAAGGGGTCAGTGGAAACGCTTTGGGGCACGCGGCTGTAGTCAGGCGTGTAATTGTTGTAAAGCGTTACAGACATTATTAATGTACACGTGCGCCTTGGACGGCCCGTGGGGTGGTCGCATTGCATTGTTAACAGTCGTGTCGCACTCACATCACTCTGTCGCCTGGGTTCGAATCCTGACTCGGGCGCCGTTCTGTGTGACGTCTGCTATGCGTTTCTCCGTTTGTTCTGCATGGTTTTTTCCCTGTTCTCCGGATTCCTCCCAAAGATAATGGCATTTGCGATGCTATTGGTGTTGGTGTTGGACAAACATCCATCTCAGGTGCAGGATTTTCCTGAAAAAACGTCTTCGGAATCAGTATGGCTTTCCTAGGTGAACCAGTAATTATTAATTTTCATTAATTATGCAGCGAGATAATGTAATCATTGCAATAATAATGATAATAATGATGGACTGGCGTTAATATGAACAAGGTAGCCTTATGGACTGGGTAGGCATGATTCTCCCAATGCTGTTAACAATAGTAAACCTTACAAATGCTAAATGAATTGAATGCATCGTGTGCTGGCTTGGTGGAAAGTTGTTCATACATTATACAATTATTCCACCAGGGTTCTGTTTAATCACCAAAAATGTCCATCAGCCAATAGGCCTTGCGAAGCAATATTTCCCAGTAGCATGTGTACAAGCAGCAAACTCAGTGCTGGCAATGTAATACTGTCATATAATAAGAATGTAAAATGTATTTATTTTATTTTATTATTACCCTTCCACGTGACTTTACCGAAAGAACCAAGAATATGAATCCCTGCAGTCACGAAAGCTTTAAATCGAAATAATAATGTTCTTTATTTACCCAGCACAGCCTCACTGAGTCTCAATTAGAAGGGGGCCATTGCCAACGGTCAAGACTAATAACCGAGTGACAGCCCAGGAATGGAACACGTCCTAGAAGAGGCAGCGAATAATCACGGAGACGGAGCGATGAAATAAATTCATGTGCAGTTTCACGGTGGATTACAATTACATTGCGGTACCGTGAGAGGTGCACGCAGATCGGCTCGAGGAAGGCCTTCATCCAGC